TTATAAAATAATACACATTATTTAAGATCCTTACTGGCTAATGTGTTCTAGCTTAGGAGTACTTTGGACTGAGACCATTGTCTCTCCTTCTTTTCCACGCTCTCCTCTGCCATACAACCCCACCATAGTGATTATTATTTGTCTGATGATTGCTTGAACATTATGCACAAGGCCTAATGACAAAATAGAAAGTAATAAGGAAGACACTTCAACAAAATAAGTAAAAGGAAGCTCCAAAGACTCCATATGATCTTCAAGTAAAAACCTCCAGAAGGGAGCTCCAAGGACAGAGCTCCATGGCACAGCACTTGCCTGGCAAGCGAAAGGTCCTGAGTTCAATTCCCAGTACCAAAAAACAAAACAAAACAAAATGTCCCAGAAGCTCTGCCTATTTCACCATTGCTAGAGTACAGTAAATTGCAGTGTGTGTCCTGGGCACTCCCGGCTGAGACAAAGGTGTCAGTTTCAAAATATCCACTATGGGGTGCAACTGGCAGGTTTCGCCTTGGATGGGGAAAGGGAAGAAACTCAGTCGTTACAGCAACAGTCCACAGGGGCTTGCAGCAAGGGATCGAATCTATGGTCAGGAGACTGGTGAATCATGTGGCCAGTAAACAAATAGGCCACTTACTGAGGACTACTGGAGGCCAGTTTTTAAAAATAAAGGATTTACGAATTATGTACAAGTAGTATGAGAGACTAGGGTAAGCCTGGTGAAGTTAAGGTGGCGTGGAAGAGCCCTGTGAACTTGTGGTTTGTGATGTGCACAGATGGACAAGGAAAGCAGTGCAGCTGCACGCATTTCCACGTCTGGCCCTGAGACGTAGTGGCAATGACAGCACAGTAGCAATGAGCATAGCTAAGTACCCTGATCTTGATTCTAAATATCATTCTTCCCTATAGTGAACCAGGACTCTCTGGGGGAAATGTCTGATCCCACTAGGGTAGGGAAAACACAAGATGAGCCTGGAATATCTTGGGAAGCCAGAAATGTAGAACATGGGCATGTGTCAAAAGGACCCTGGGGTCAGCCTGAAAGGGTTCCCACCTGCCACACCCAGCACAATGGGATCATTAGGATAAATGGCGGTAATGTGTAGATATAAAACACGTTCCCTACCAACAGAAATGCAGGATAAATAAATGGGAAGCAAGAACGTTAATCAAAAGTAGGAGGTAGAACTAGAAAATCACCATTTGGCAGTGATTCAGACAGACATCATTGAATCATGCCAAAAGTAGAGTATAAGAACTTGCAGAAAATCAGGAGGTTGCCACAGTCTCAAAGTAGCCCCTGACAAAATGATACTTCCACGCTTGTGTTAAGAATCTGCAGCACTGATTTCACTGTGGATATACACATAGGATGCATATTCTGTCAATATCAAAAAGGAAAGAAAGGAAAAGTACAATAAATGTACTGTTACCTTCACAGTAGAGAAACCTTTAAGAGATCCTAACCAACTATGACCATCACCAACCAGTGATGGGGAAGACTGACCCTGTCCCTTCCGACACAATGCAGATACAGCACTGCTTCTCGGGCATTCCTGCCCCCAACTCATAAGCTGAGTTTATCTCCCTGAAAGAAAAAACTATATATGCTAAAAGTCACTGAGAATTAAAATTCTGTAATTTCAGATGTTTTTACATAAATGAAAATTATTCACAATCTCATGCACTTGTGACAGATAATTGTATCAACCTGATTGACTTGGCAGGTGCCTACGGCATTGGTAGAATTCACTTCCAGGTATGTTGCTGGGGTGACTCTGGGTACTACTGAGGCCGTGGTCCACCCTCGCTGGTACTGTTCCCCGCTCTACTCCCTGCTGCTGTAAACAAAACACCTCTGCTCCACTACACGCTCTGCCACAACACTGCTGCTTTAGGGCCAGTTAGCCATGGACTGAACCCCTGGAAACTCTAAGCTAAGGTAAACCTCTCCCATTAAAGTTACAGGTGTCAGACACTGTGTTCTAAGGGAAAGCTGATACAGCATTTATACTCATAAAAAAAATATGAAAGGCCGCTGAGCCATGGCCTACGGGGAAACTGAAATCACAGTCATGAACTTTTATAATTTTTGGTATACACACCACTATTTTTGAGTTTGACATTAAATGGTTTTTAGCATAAAAACTGTCTATGGTAGCAAATTTCTGTCCTTAGGCGTTTTAGTTCTTTTCCATCATTTACAGTGAAGTGGTAATGACATATTGGGCCGAGACCATCATATAGTTCCGAAGCAATTTCCATTCCTAATAAGCTTAGGAAATGAATTTGAGGGGAAAAAAAATCCAAACAATTTACAATAGGGGCAGAAGCAGTATCCTCGAAATAAAGCTTCCTACAGTGATTTGTTTCAAGGCTTCCACTAGCATTGATGTACAATTAGTGTACTTTTAGAAAGAATATAATTCTCAGGTAAAAAAGAAATACTACAAGCTGAATACTAAACAATACTTACTTCAGAAAGCAAGTGCTGAGGAATCTTCTGCGTATTTCCTGCCTGAGACTACTGCTCAGCATCAGAAGCTGGAGCAGGGGCTGGGGGAGACACCTCAGTGGGCAACTGCCTGCAGAACACGCACGGGGCCCTGTGTTCACTCCCAGTATCCATTAACGACTTCACATAAAGGCACACACACTTCTGGTTCTTCTGACATATAACAAGGGAGAGATATAAAACTCTCCAGCCTTCTATTAGGCCCTCTGGAATCATTCTGATTTTCAGAATTAAAATGAGAGGAGCCTGAATAATAAATGAAAAGCATTGAACAATGAAGCCCTATGTTGGGGGTGTTGTGGGAATGACAACAGGGAGAGATGGTGAAGCAATAGTAGGTACTTTCACTTCCAGCAAAGTTTTTTGGGTATTTTCCTATAAACACAACTGAAAAATTAAAAAGGAGGGGAAAAAACCACCCCCTGAATCTTTCCTTGGAATTGGTGCATGCTCCTATTTCAGTTCCCATTGTTGTATTCACTCTAAACCATCCTGACCTAAGTCTCATCAGTTCATCAATACTTTATTTATTTTGGTACCAGGGATCGAACTCATGACCTCGCTCTTGCCAGGCAGGCGCTTATGTCACTGAGCTAAACCCCCAGTTCATCAGTATTTTAAAGAACAATAACCTTGTGATAAAACTGTAGAAGCTTATGACCAAAGAAAAGAGCAGGTGACAGTTACTTTCTCACCTGTACTGGCCGTGACACAGAATGGCAATCAGTCTTCCTCAGCATGCTAGGGTCCTAATAACAGCTGCCAGTCTTAAGAAGAAATGAATATAAATCAGCAGAGACTGCATGGGGGACGGTTCCACGCTGAGCAATTCTTCCTACTGCACAGGCTCCTCCATTCAAAACTCAAATAGTAGGCTAGCTAGATAACTCTTCAGTCACCCTCCGCCATTATCCTCTCTAAGAGTTTTTAAGCTGTAAAAACTGCTTCCCGCCATCAGAAGTAAGTGAGCTTCTTTGCAGAAACTGATCAGCTGTTTCTAAATCTCATGTGGAAATTCAGGGACTTCACACAGATGAAATAATCTTGAAAGAACAAAGCTGAAATAGTCATACTGCCCACTTTCAAAACTTCCTACAAAGTAATCAAGATTCTACAATACTGAAATAAAGACAGATGTATAACGATCAATGAAACGACTAATTTGCACCAAGGGTGGCAAATAATCTCCCTACACCATTAACAGAAATTAATTCAAAGCTGGGTATGATGGTACATGCCTGTACCCCCAGCTACTCAAGAGGCTGAGGCAAGAGGATTCAAGTTCAAGGCTAGCCTGGAATAAAATACTTACTTACATATATATGTAAAATATATGTATGTAAAATACTGTATACATATGCATATACACATATGTAACACATATACATATAATTTACACATATAAAATATTTACTTACATATATATACATGCTCAGTATCCAGAACATGTCTAAAGAAACCTTATAACTCAATCATTAAAAAAAACAATTTAAAAGTGGAAAAAAGGATTTGAATAGATATTACTCCAAAGAAGACAGCTAATGAGCACATTATATGCTTGTTATTATTAATCAGAGAAAAATCAAACTAAAAGCTCAACAAGATACCTCTTTACACGCACTAGGATAGCCTAAATAAATAAACGTTAAAAAGAATGTGAAGAACATAAATGAAGGTATGGGATAACTGCATGTATGTTTAAGGGTACAGGACCGAGAACCATGTTACTAAGTTTCTGTTGGACAGCTGAACAGAACTGTTTGCAGTCTCGCTGTTTTAATTGCCACATTATTATGTTCCACTTTTGTATCTTGAACAACTATTTGTAAAAGGACAGTATGTAAACATTTATTAGTGATTTCTTACTGTTTATTTTTTCTCTGAATGTATGTATTATTTCTACCCATTTTCTGTTTTGTTTAGTCTTTCTTTAAATAAAATTTAAAAAAAAAGAACGTGAAGAAAACGGAACTCTCATACATACATTGGTGGAAATTTGAAATAGTATAATCACTTTGCAAAACGGTCTTCCAGCTCCTTAATTAAGCAGAATTAAAACTCAATTGTTAGGTATATACCCAAGAAGCCAGGCATTACGGTGCATTCCTGAATTCTAGCACCTGGGAAGCTGAGGCAGGAGGATCCTTGCAAGTCCGAGACCAGCCTGGGCTACAAAGTGAGCTCAAGGCCAGCCTGAACTGCATAGTGAGGACTCAAAAGAAGGGCATATATGCACAAAAATTGAAAATATATACTCAAAAAGAAAAAAAAGAAAAGCTTCATGCATGACTGTTCAAAGCAGCATTCTTAATAGCCAAAAACTGGAAACAACTCAAATGTTCACCAACTGATGAAAATACAAAATGGTATAGCATAGCCATACAACGCCATAGAGTTCCGCCATAAAAAAGGACACTCACACATGCTACTAATGGATGAAGCTTAACAGTACTATGTTAAGTGAAAGAAGTCAGACACGAAAGGCCACATGTTGCTTGTTTCAGTGTTTATGGGAAATTCATAAAGACAGAAAACTTAATGACTGACAGATACGGAGAAGGGAAAACAGGGAATAACCACCAGTGAGTATGGGGTTTCTTTCTGGAATGACGAACATGTTCTGGAATTAGACAGTAGAATAACGGTTCCACGATTCTGAAAATACACCAAATGACCTGTACATTTTAAAATGATGACTACTTTACGGCATGCTAACTACACCTCAGTTTCTAAAAAGGCGGATGGTCCTCCTTACATAACTGATTTCCTCATTTCTTTTTCTGGTCACCTATCAAGCCATGAAATCATACAAATAATTTTAACAATCTCTGACATGTATAAGCCCACAGCAACAAAATATTACTATAAAAATTTAACAAAATTATTTGTAGGTATCTGTACACAGTCCCCATATATTTTTTCTTGCTTTGAAACAATAAAGTTCTGAAAGTTTCACTGAGTTTGTGTTCTGCCTCCCAGTTGTTAGTAAAATTGGTATTTCTTTTAAGTAACATGCTAAAACAAAGGCCTTCACTTTAGTTATTTCAATAACATTATCCTCTCTCTAGAAAATAAGTCAAGGTATTGCACTTCAATGACATATAAGTAGCAAGCTTTAAGCAGCTGGTGGATTGGTTGGCTGGTTATTTACTTATTTATCTTGTTGCGCTGCCCAGGCTATCTCTGAACACGGTTCTCCTGACCCAGTCTCCCGAGCGTCTTGAACACAGGAATGTGCCACCACACCCCGCTCTGTACTGTAAAGTCTAATTATTGCTCATAGGCCAACAGAGAGGGTAGGCAAGGTAAACTATTCAACGCTGGTATTATAATATAACATGTCAACCCAGACACTTTAACCCATGAAACAAACGCAGACTTTCTATCCCCTGGGATATAAGTGGAATTATACAACAGCAAAAGTTTAAGAGAAAAATTTTTGAGGTACTAAAAAGAAAATGCAACTTAGCCATTCATCTTCTGAAACATTAGTCTGCATATATGGTTTTCAGTATCAGGAGGCTGTAAACTTTGTGTTAGTATTATAATCCACAGCAGTAGCTCTGTAAGCATGTGAAACAGAATGAAGCATTACTTCTGTTCTGATGTGACTGGGTTGAAATATACAGTTCCACAAAAATTAACAAAGGTTGATTCTCTTAAAAATGCTAAGTGTAAAGAGGGTAAGCTTCAAGGTGTACCATGAGTAAGCTACTTTCTAAAACAATAATAATAATAATCAACAAATTAAAATAGGGCACCGAGGTTTTCATTGCTAAAATCCAATGAAAATTGCATATACTCAACTTCTACTCCTAATACAAATGATTCATTCTGTATCAGGACAGTGAAGATGACCTTATCCAAATTTGGTATTTTTTTTTTTTGTTTTTTGGCAGTACTGGGGACTGAACCCAGGCCTCACACTTGCTAGGCAAACCCTCTATTACTGAGCTACATTCCCGATCCTCTTTATTTTGAGAATGTCTTGCTCAGTTTCCCAGGCTGGTCTCACACCTGTGACCCTCCTACCTCAGCTAGTAGTAGCTGAGATCATCATAAGCATGTGCTACTGTGGCTAGCCAATTCAGTGTTACTTCTGTGGCAATGTCTTCACTGCTGCACTAACCTTAGAAGAGAGCAAGCTTAAGAGGGGAAAACATTTACATACCTTAATTAAATTACACTGCTACTTTATAAAAAAATGAGAAGTTCAACTTTTTCTTACAATTACAGCACTTAACAGTTTCAAGTACAGCAACCTAGTTGGTAGTTGTATCTAATACGTAGAACCCTTAAGACTAAAACATCAAGCAGCTCTTTTGGATGACACATATTCAAATAATGGTGAAATTGAACAACAACAACAAAAATACCCCACCACCCTGAGAACAAGAAATGGGAGAAAAAAAACTGATTCCTGAACAAAATGCATACTACTTCACATTAGAGTGAATCCCTGGGAATAGATACATACCATGTGAAAACACAGACTGGAATTCAAAAGAAGAATCATAGCACATATACTTCTTTTTAAACACCTCATCTTCACGAAACTACTCTTATCAGTTAGTTTTGTTGCAGCACATCTTTGCCAAATACTTCTCTTTTCATTCTAGAAAATACAAGAAGCTATTTGCAAGAGGACATGCAAACATTTCTCTAAGGCCATGAGCTGGTTTGCTAATTGCATATGATTCAAGTAAAAAGCCCTTCTAAAGTGAGGGTCTGTTAAGGGAACTGGTCATCTTTAATTCTCAGCCTGAATACTTGTTAGAACCTCTATCACTCTCAAGCCAAAAGCAGGGTGCTCACTCTGGGTGTTTCCAAAATGGTATTTACATTTTCGATTTTCCTTCTGTCTTTCTTTTTTTCTGATGCTGGGAATTAAAGCCTCGGGCCTTGTGCATACCAGGCAAGCACTCTACCATGAACTATATGCCCAGCCTTCTATTTACATTTTTAAAAATTTAATACAGGTTCAGTTTTTCAGGCAGATTCACTTTATATGCTACAAAACCAAAGAGCAAAAACTTAGAATAAGGTAAGAACTCTTTTTCTTAGAAAGGTCAAGCAGATGCTTCTTGACATCATGTCCTTTACACGATGGCATACTGTTCATACAAAAGGTCTCTGATCCTATAAAAATCTTGACAAAGACAGCCTTCTAATCCAATGCGTCCAGTTTCCGTCTAGAAACCAAGATTAAGAAAAGTTATTTAGTACATTTGCTATTCATTAATATGCAGGAATAATAAGCAAAATATATTAAATAGATTACAACTAGTGGGAAATAGAATGTTCTGATTTATCAAATATAACTATCCAAATAACAAATTTTATATAGACACATAAATGACAGAGGATCCAAGCAATAAAAATTTACCATAAAATTATGTATTTCTTCAGAGTCACATATAGCCCTTCAAGGTCATCATTATAAATTACTGGTTTTCAGTTTCGTGACATTATCAATCAAGAAGGAATTCAAACCGACAGAGTATCTGCCGCATGCATTCAATTCGGTCCTTATTAAAAATGAACTTACCCTCCGGACTGCGACTTGATTGTTGCAGACAAGTACGCCTCCCACGAATTCGGCTTGAATCCCCTCCCGTAAAAGAACTTGTTTGAAGTCTGACAGTCTTGGTTCATTCATAAAGACTGACTGGTGTCCAGGAACCTTGGGTAAAGTGAAAGGATAAACAGTAACTTCAAATAAAGCATCGTTCACACAGTTGTACTGAATAAACTAAAGTGCTGCAGATTGCTGAGATTTTTTACTACTACACGAAGTCCTCTGAGATCTCTTTAAGACTGCAAATCACCTTCCACGTTTGTTATTCTGGGTTTCACCTCAGCACTTGACGTTACAAAGCTCTTCACAATTTCTGGATGTTTCACAATCTTATTAGTCATGCCTCCTAATAACAGAGAAGGTGTGCTAACACGCTCTTCACTCACCCGCTTGCTCGAGAGGGTCAAGTAGAGTGCCAAAAGGCAGACCTGACCAAAAACTCATTTTCCACATCCCAGTCCTTTGCTTAGTTCGGGGGATAATTCTTCCCTAATCCCACGTCCACTCCCCCACCCTCAGGGTGAAGGCAGTGAGTGCGACCGGTTCGGAATCAGAAAGGGAAGTGGTCCTTGCCCGACGCTGCCACTCTGAAATTGCTCAGAAGAGCGCTGGCTTCCACACAGAGAGAACAGAAGATTCTCTCTAATTCCTCCTGCCAATTTCAAGAGCAGCACTAAAAGGGAATCCAATGAGTTTCAGATTCATAGCTGCGCTGGACTACACTTAATGAACATGTAGAGCTCTTACAGTTCTAATACTGTTCTATGTTTCATTTCCTGAGATGTTCGCTAATTAAGCAATTCCCTCTTGAGAAAATGTAAATAAATACTAAGCTAGAATTATGGCTATGCTTAATCAAAGATTCTAACTGCATCAAATCCAAAAGTGATTTAAAGTTACCCGACAACATACAAAATGGAACGCAAGAGTATGACATTCTCAGAGAACTCTAAATCTGATTGGAAGCAGGCAGATGATCCTGACAATCAAATTTAATATTTAACAGTCCTCGATGAAAGCTGGGTGTGGTGGCACATGCCTATAATTCAGCACTTTGCAAGCTGAGGCAAGAGTGTCTCTGAGAGTTTGAGGCCAGTCTGCACTATAGAATGAGCTGCTACATAGTGTGATTTTGTCTTAAAAAAAAAACACTCAAAACCAAACCAAACCAAACCAAATCTATGCTGAAAAACCAAACCACGAAGCCAAGGATTTAGCTCAGTGGCAGAAGCACAAGGTCATGGCAAGCACAAAGTCATGAGTTTGATCCTTGGTACCAAAAACAAACAAACAAACAATCAAATAAACAACAACAACAACAAAAATCCCTAAGAAACTATTCTATATCTTCAAAGATTTGGTAAAGGTTTCCTTGAAATTGTTCTAGCCACAGAGACGGAATACACACACAGAAACCAGCAACACGACTTGAGTAATCTGTTTTTTGAGAGGGAGTAGCCAATACAGCGTCTTGCTCTGCAGTCCAGGCTGGTTCTGAACCTCACGTGTTGCCCAGGCTGGCCTCCAACTCATGATCCTTTTGCCTCAGCCTAAGTGCTAGGACTACAGGCATAGGCACCAGGCTCAGCTTGAGTAATCTTTTTTAAGAATTCCAAGATCAGCCTACATAAAACATATTTTAAATGGTTACAAACATAAAAAGAAAACTAGAAGGAAGATAAATTAAGAGGAGACTGAAAAGGCACTGGCTTTCTTTACCTCGTGCGGTGGCAGCGGCTCCAAAGTAGGGATGATCTCGCTTTCTTCCCCTGTTTCTTTCTCGTCATCTCCAAACAGACTTTTCATGGCTTTCTGTTGAGCTATTACGCTGGAATCTGAAGGAGCATCCACTTGCATTTCTGAGTCTTCTCCATCATCCTTGAGCTCTCCTTCTTCTAAAATAACGCCTGTGTCTACCTTGGAAACTCTCATGTCTAAGACACCATCTATCCACGCTAGTTCAGCGTCTTTTGCCTTACAAAACTGAAGGGAGCTGACAAGTGAGTCTTTTAATCTCACCTGGATGCGCAAAAGGGAGGGGAGATAAAACCCACGGAGTATATATTAACAAATTGCATGTGGCCTCTCACTGTCATTTCCTAAGTCTGATGCTAGGATTCAAACCTGATTCCAATCTGACAATCTCCCCCTCATCTGATGCTCATAACGGCTTGTAAGATCAGGGTCCTGGTCTCCTTCCTGAAGCGGAGGCTCTCAAGCTTGGCTGCACACTGGAATCACACGCATTGTTCTTGTCCGCTATGAGTGCCAGGCTGGTGCCTCCCATGTTTGCACTACTACTACTGAGGCTCACACGCGGCCAGGCTGGGCCACACGTCCTTCGCAGCCCCTGGTCCTTGGCACACTCCAAAGCACTACATACTCCACGCCACGTCACACCTTGTGACTTGGAATGTTGCTTCCTCTTGCTCTACCCAAAATAATTCTCCTGCCTGGTAAGTTGTAACCGCTTTCTTTCAGATACAGATATCACTCCTGTCACCAGCTCCCACAACCAGGTAAGAGCTCACCTCTCCTCTACTAGTCCTATTTGCTGTACCTGTCTCCGATTTGCTCCAATTAGGAGAATCTTGGCATCTGTGAATTTCTTTTTAAACTTGATTCTTGAACACTCGCTATTCCCTTCTACAAATATTGTTCCCTCTGCCTGGAACATGCTTTACCTCTCTTTTCTACTCTAGCTGTCTTCACAGCTGAGCTAAACATCCATCAGGATTCAGCCTACTTACCACTTCTTCCAGGAAACCTTTTCTAAGCCTCCCAATTTGGCTCAGGGATCCATCTTTATACTTTCATGGCATCCTGTATTTCCTTTCTCAGAGGCAATAACCAAGCTTAGTGGTGCATACCTGTAATCTCAACACTTGGGAGGCTGAGGCAGGAGGATGGCCATGAGTCCAAGGACAACCAGAGCTACATAGTGAGGTCAAGACCAGCCTGAACTACATAGCAAAACCCCATATCAAAAAAAAAAAACAAATGAAGCAAAACAAACAACAACAATTAAAAAAAAAAAAGTATATTCAGGATGGAAATGCTCTTTGCTCATTAGAAACCCAATGAACTCTCTCAGCTCTGCAGGGCACCATGTCCATCTCACTCACCCCAGCGTTCCTAAAGCCTCCTGGTCTGTAACACAAAGTGCTTAATTCCTATGGCTCACGGGGCAGCCTCCTTACCTGATAGATGTGCGTTTCACTGGTGGCATCAACTGTTTCATGCAGCTTTGGCATGTACACTTTAATATCTTTCCCTCCAAACGCACGGCAGCACTCTGCCAGATCCTGACTGGCCTCTGGTGGGCCATGGACAATTATCAATTGGCGTGGTTTCATCTGATTAATGATTTTTTTAATGGAATCTCCATCGGAGCGTCCTTCATAGTCTATGTAAGTAACCCTGGCTCTGCAATTAGACACGATTATTTAACCTTACTTTTCAGATAATTCCAAAGCTAAGCTTTTTTTTTTAAAAAAATGACTTTTATCATCAGGAAAGAAATGTATGCACAACTTGAGAAAACATGTGTTACACTGTCAATGTGAATTACTTATGCCCTAGTTATACCTGAGAATATATAAAACATATCACTGGGAAAATAAACCAATTTGTTCTCTGATGACTCAAAAAATTTCAAAACTATACTAAGGAGAAAGAGAAGGAAAAGGTTTCTAAGTAGAAAGGAAAAAAAGTAGTTATAAGAAGTTATGAAGATATTAAAACTTCAGTTAAATTTTCTATACATTAGGGCATTGGTGATTTTTAAGTCAAGAAGCATACTTTATGAAACAAGCAGTTAAGCAGAAAAATTAAAACTTGTAAGCTGAATTATATTATCTTTTACCTGCTGCAAGACAATGAGAAGGCCAGAAAAATTTAATGTTCATTTCCCTTTCTCTCTCATTCAGTTACTTGGACATTCAAATACCATTAATGAAGAGAAAATAGCACCATATTTCACACATCTTTTCATGGAAAAAGCAATTAATTTTAAAAGCATCAACTTGCCAGAGGATACTGAGAAATTTCACTTGGAAATAATGTAAAATTTTATCTTATAATCTATTTTCCAAATGTAACAAAAGCAAAAGCACTTACTTTATTTCAATAGATTCTGTTGTAGAAATACACTTAGTTGGGACATCAGATAAATCCTGATCCATGGGCTCATCTCCATTTGTCAAACCTGATTCTAATTTGCTTTTTTCTTCTTCAGTAGCTTGAAGTTCTGGCACTAAGAAATCCTCTGGTCTAAAGAGTAAGTCTCTAATTAGAAGTAGTAAGAAGCAAGCTGATATTATAAAAGATGTACAACTAGCAGGTATCATACATTTCTAGACTGCTCACAAATTTTAAGACTAAAATGTACATTTAATCTCATAGTATCAATCATCAAATGACTAGATACGCCGCGTTTCTCATGCCCACCGTAGCATGCTCTTTATGCACATTGTGTAGACTAGTCAAAGGCCCCTAGTGAAAGACTGCTGAAAGGTCATTAGAAGAGGTCAGTGGCTATAAGAAGTACTTTGCAATCAGGCACTACCCTCTTTTCAAATAATTATTCTTTGTCAATTTCTATGGTTTCCTTTGCCAAATCCCAAGAATGATACACCTAGGAACTCCTAAGTTGTCCTTTAGAACTGTTACTTCCTTTTTGTACAAAGAAAGCAGGAAATTCTTTATTTGTACATTTTTGAGAATACAGATACAAAATTTTTAGTTCCTTCATAAGCCTTCATCTTTATTTCAGTGTACTACTAACACGTCTTCCCATTTTTACTTCCAATATCAGTTCTAATTAAAAGTAAAATCAAAATTTGTTTTAAAAATTCTGTCTCTAACCTCCTACAACTGTCCACACCTCACTCCCAAGTCCACTCTACTCCTCTGAAAACACAGGCATCTATTCTCCAACGCCCACATTGCTGCAGCAGATTCTATCCTCTGCAGGCCAGGATCTCTAACTGTAGTTTACATAATACAGCAGCAGTAGCAATCACTTCAGGCCCATTTACTACACATCAGGTTCTATGCTCAGTGCCTTAAGAACACACCTTCAGGGCTAGGCGTGCAGTTCATGGTAGAACACCTGCCTAGCACACATAAGGTCCTGGGTTTGAAACCCAGCACCTCCCCAGCTGCAAAATAAATAAATAAATAAATAAATAAATAAATAAATAAATAAAACAAAAAAGAAAGCCCTCATATAATTCTTATTCACATTTTCAGATAAAGATCCTAAAGCTAAAAAGCAATGTCCATGTGTTAAACAGACTGCCCACTGGCCAAGTGGAACTGCAAGCAAGCTCATCAGTGGCAAGCTGTTTTCTTTTCTATTATGCTGGAGGACCAGGCAAGCAAGGGAATTTTCCTCATTAATCCCAAGAATGACCTAAGTATACTACATGCTAAAGATAGCATTACGGGGGCTGGGGATTTAGCTCAGCGGCATAAATGCCTGCCTTGCAGTAGTGAGTTCGATCCCCGGTACCGATAAAAAGGAAAAAGACAAAAAAAAAAGATAGCATTACAGCGGCTGGGGATTTAGCTTAGTGGCATAAGTACATGTCTGGCAAGTGTGCGGTCGTGAGTTTGATCCCCGGTACAAAAAAAAAAAAAAAAAAAAAAAAGCATTATGGAAGTGACAAAGAAAGCACATGGAAAACAGAGAAACAAAGCCACACATTCGTGTGAAATTGTTGTTTCCTCTCTAGCTTTAGAGAGCGAAGTAGACAATAGAATTTCCTAGTTAAACCCAGGAACGACCTAAGTCCACTTACATGTTCAAACAGCATTAAGGATACACAAAGAAAAGTACAAGAAATACGGAGAAACTAAGTCAGATAGAATGGCATGTGTGTAATCCTGGCTACTTGAGAGGCTGAGGCAGGAGAGTCATTTGAGTCTAGGAGTTCCAGAGCAGCCTGGAACTACCACAAGCCCCCATCTCAAAACAAACCATGAAGCAAACAGAAACATAAATACAGAAAACAACAGAAAAGAAGAAAGCAGATCATGAAAGATAGCACATTGTGTGCTGAGGCATCTAACATTTACCAGGGAAGTAACGGGGACCCCAAAAGCGTTTAAATCTGCATTTAGCTGATGTGATGCAGCTGTTTTCTGACCATGGGTGTAGATTTTATGGCTCTTCTATGGTTCTACTCATGCTACCTCATATTCTTCTTATAACTTAAAACGTGTATCATGTGTGGATCATAACCCATTTCCTAACACATACAACCACATCAAAATTTCCTTTTATCCCATGCTTTTCTCCAAGACGTCTCTTACTTCTTTTCACATGGGGAAGTCTTATTCATCTTTTTAAACCATTCATACAACAAAATATTATTTCCCTTAATATAAATTTTCTAGGTGGCCCTCAACATTTCTACCTTTGTTTCCAACTACAAGTCTTCTACATCTTTCGAGCCACAGTATTCAGAATCTAACAAAGCACATGCTGGCCAAATTTATTGAGCTGAAATAACACAACGGATACCTACAATCTGTAAGAAAGAAAAGTGTGTTTTGCTCACATACTTGATAATCTCTCCATACTCATCCCATTTAATCCTTTCTTCTGGGGCAGGAAACATAGGATAAGACTTTTTTGCCTGTTTGAAGAAACTTCCTTTACGACTACCTTCACCTTTCATCATCAGGTCATGCTTTGTCTTATGGGCCGACGGCTGGTCAATGTCTTCCTCGACATCACTCTCATCACTGGAGTCTATATCTGCCCTGGAGGTCATAAAGTCCCCAGAGACTTTCAATTAGTATTTATGAATCTATTACTGAATTAATATTCAATGTTGCTAACTGAATTCAATGTTATTAACTGAGTATCAATTCAACGGATGATATAACAATATTCAATATTAGATCAATGTTTTATAAAATATAGCATTAACTACCAATTGAGAAGTGCAGATTAATATCAGCATTGAAAGGAATCAGTAGTTTAGCCATTTGAAAGATGTAACAAAAGTAATGAAGTTCTAAGAAAATTTAAATATTTCCAACGGCTGCATCTGTAATCTCAGCACTCTGGGAAGCTAAAGTAGGAGGATCACAAATTTGAGCCCAGCCTGGCAAAGTTACTGATTTAGTGAGATGCTGTCTCAAAAGATTGCAAAAAAAAGAGCAGGGGATGGAACTCAGCATCAAGGCCATGGGTTCAATCCCAGTGCTGGGGCAGGGCTGGGGGACTACTTCAAAGTAAATACGTAAACTTAAAACCTACGTAAACCTGTATGCACATAACTCACTCTTTTGACTGCTCAAGTTTTTTAGCAGCTTCTTTCTTCAGTTTCTCTTTTTCCAAGTATTCCTCAAGTTCTTTCCCTTCAAGCTTCACACGTTTCCTCAACTAAAGAAAAATAGTAGACAAAAGAAACTGTCAGTATTAGGGGGTGAAGGCAGACACATCAAATTCATTTTATTTTATCTTCCCTCTAAAATTAATCAAGTTTCCATTACCTGCAATTATTGATCCTACATACATTAGAACTAAAACTGAGCTCTCACATGTCTAGGATAGGTTTAAATAAAAATGGTTAAAGTTCCAGTCAACTAGAGGAAAATATAGAAAAGTATTTTTATAATTTGGAGTAGATGAGACCACATAAAACCTATATAAAACATAAAACTCAGAAGCCAAAACCATAATGGAAAAGATGAATAAATATGGCAATATTAAAAATAAATTAAACATCTTACATTTAAAATTTTGTAAAATTAAAAGAAACAAGACATCAAAAAGACAAAAATATAAACCATTTACAAATTAACAAAGATGAGTAGTAGTCTAGAAAGGTGTCTAACTATAGTCCTCAAAAAATGCAAAATATAAAAACCCCACAAATTTTAATTGCCAAGATTGACAACACTAATTACAATGAAGAAAGGGAACCTTAATCTACTATCTGCAAAATTTAATACAGCTACATTAAAGATAATTTGCTAATATCTAAAAATGAAAATATCATTTGACAGACTATATTCCTGGGAATTCATTCTACTGAAACAATCACACAAATGTGCAAAAAAGGTACCCTGCAGTAGTGTCTGTAATAGTAAAAACTAGGCAAAACTTTAGAATCTATCTATATAAATTGATTAAATCAGTAATTCCCATACTTTTACCTAGACTACCTTAGATACTTAAAAATTAGAGAATCCCAGTTTTCTTTTGTATTTACCATAACAATTAGAATAATAAAACTATTAGATGTTAAAATATTTTCACAAAAATGATATTTTCTAAGAGAAAACAAAAAGTGAGAAGAATGGCATTACTTTACATTTTTCTACAACTCTACTCCCCGACTCAACAGGAGATGGCTGGACTCTGCATGAATCCTGCATCTGCACATGACTCCTTCCAATATGTTGTTCTGGTTAAAGCATATGAAGAAAATGCTGCCCCATCTAGATAGGATATTCTAAGGGGAAGTAGCTTTTTTCACAGATATTTATCTTTAATACAATGAAACTCAAAAAGCAGTAACTTCTGTGTGTATATGTCTGTGTGTGCACACAGTTCTAGGGACTGAACCCGGGGACTTCCCACTAAGCTATGTTCCAAATTCCTTTTTTTGAGACAAATTTTCACTACATTACTCAATTGCATGGGCTAGGCTTTAAACTTCCCACAGCCTGAAATTACAGGCTTGTGATACCATGTCTGGCTAAAAAGTGGTAATTTCTCAAAGGTTAGTTATAATGTGGACTGAAATCATACCATAGTAACTTTTTTATGTTCTGTTAAATTAAAATTTATTGATATATCTTATTTTGAATAGATCTTTTACTTATGCAATATTTGATAACAGCATTCAAGTCATTTAGAAATACCTATTCACCAAATTACAGATCTCACAAATGATAAGATTTTTAAAAGTTACATTCTCAAATGTCATCATCAATCTCATCAGAAATCTTTATAGCTACCCATGACACAGTTCCAGAATTTCCAAAATTTTTAATTTTCACTTGAAAGTTAAATGTTTATCAGATTTAGGCAACAAATGTTAACACTTTCCTTTTAATAACAGATTCTACTTATTAATTTTTAAGAAAGTATCATTCAAACTCCCAAAAGTGAATAATCATATTATTTTAAGGAAAAATGGTGTTTCAAAAACAAAGCAGCAAATTTAACTCACAATTCAATCATACAAGTCTTTTTTATTGGAAGTGAGCAAGGTACTTTGGCATGCAACACAATGCTTTATGCACATTTCTCATTTTGTTACTAAAATTATTTTTAAAAGCACTAAACAGACGGAGTAATAGCAGTGACTTTTACTGGTTTGTCAAGGATAGTGTTAAACCAAACTGGCATTTTTTTTTAAACTACATGTTAAAAAAAAAAAAAAGCATATCTGTTTATCATAAGGGGAAAGGGAATAACACATATGCCTCAAACATGTCAACCATCATGCCAATGTAACCTACCAAGTAATCCTGGATGGACATCCAGACAAAAAAGGGGCAGGAAGGAGCTGGACAGGGTCAGTGAATGATACGGCCGTATAGTATCAACACTTACCTCCTGGTTTCACTGTGAGGGAGCTCTTGCTGATCGACTGGATACAGACAGGGAACAGTTTTAAAGAACTTGTGAAGGCTGGGAATGCAACTCAGTGCTCACCTAGCATGTGTGAAGCCCTGGGTTTGGTCCCCTGTACCACCCACCAAAAGAAGAGTGGTGGTAATCTGTGAGTTAATGATCTGTGCAGGATCTGTACGTGGTTACGTTGGAGGGCACAGAGAGGGTCACGAAGGGGATGTGTGGGGAGCTGACTGGTTGCAGGTTAGACAGGTGAGTCCACTGTGTAAATTCATCACACACTATACTTCGTATGTACTTTTTAATACATTTTCCTTTAGGCAACATTTTTAACTCCAAATTTTTAGTGTGAATAAGTATGTGGAAAGGGCTGCTATTCCCATCAGAAAGACTGAAAAAAAAGAAGGTTGGCCTGAGTATAATAGTGCATGCCTGTAACTCCAACACTTGGGAGGCTGAGGCAGGAGGATCAAAGCAAGTTTAAGGCCAGCCTGAACTACGTAATGAGACCCGGTCACAATCAATCAATTGATCAATTTTTTTAAAGCAGGTTTGGAGGGGAGAGGGTAGGATAAAAATGGATTGGGATGTAATCAAGTAAAGGGAAAAAGACAATAGATGATGGGGAGGCAGCAGTAACAGCAGAGAAATAGTTCTAAAAAGGTGAGCAGGGAAAGAGTTCTAAACACTAAGCATACTTCATAAAAAATAAAACTCTGATATTTCATGTTTCAGTTGCTTCTGATACACGTCTGTGTATCATTGCCTATTCTTCAAACTTCTAATATTCTTTTATTAATTCCTCAAAAGGTGTATCAGCCTTAATTAAATTTCTAGTAATTAAAATTTCAAGTCTAGTATTTCATTTCTCATGAAACTGTTTCAAGTACTTCCGAGTTCTTTTAATTTGGTACTTCTAAGCTGGTTAATAACCCAAGACAGTATTTTACTCTGTGCTTGCCCAACAATTCTGTATTTATAGTGAATACATATATCAGATTATAGTTACTAATATCAGGCCCCTTTTTTTTGTACTGTGAAGTAAACCCAGGGCCTTTCGTATGATAGGGCCTTTCATTCTACTGCTAAGCTCTATCTCCAGCTCTTTTTTTTTTTGAAATATAAATGACATTTATTTTGAGAATGCGGGGAGAGACACTCCGATCCCCCTGGGGCGTGACACCTCCACTACAGGTCAGCGATCTCTCCAGCTCTTTTTATTTTTTGCAATTTTAGGATATGTGCTGCTAAAGGGAGCATAATTTTTTGAGCACCTGCTAAATCGCGAAGGTGCATAGCCTAGCCTCTGACTCATAATTCTCCTGGCCCAATCTCAAATGCCTGGATAACAGGTGTAAGTTACCACACCTAACTCATTTGTTTTTTTTTTTTTTTTTTTTTTTTAGCTAGAGTTATTTAAAACAAAGATACCACTTAGCTTTTGACAAACTAAACATTTCTTTAATCAATCGCCATGAAGATGAAATGAAAAGCAATGTCCATCCATGGTGGTTATTAACTATCCATCCAGCATCAACCGCTATGAACTCCAGAGTCAGGAATACCAATTCTGGAACAGCGGTGCCGTGATGCGCAGGTTATTTTATTTTATTTTATTTTATTTTTTTGTCTTTTTCCTTTTTATCAGTACCGGGGATCGAACTTATGACTGCCTGCTTCCAAGGCAGGCACTTATGCCGCTGAGCTAAACCTCCAGGCCCCACAGGTTATTTTAGGCAATACAAGTTTTAGTGTCTTAGTCATTTAGCACATTGTCTTGCTCCCATCACGGAGATAAGGGAGCAGATGAGGATGCAGATACAGGGAGGTATATTTTGTAATGGTAACCTAAAGGAAGCCCTGTCTGCTTCTATCTTCTCTATTCAATTTGTGACAAGCTATGTGCTGCGGACTGGGCTGAGAGGGAGTTAACCAATTGACATGGTTTGAAATTTTTCTTTCTCTTTGAAATAAAGTGGATTTGGAAAAATAAACTAATCAATCAAGAACTGACTCTAAGCTACAAGAATGATGAATAAAGGTGAGTTTATGAACTGAAAGGCCCAATGGGACTGAAGCATGTTGGTATGGAAGGAATAGAAAGAGTCAGCTGCAAGGTCAGAGTGGGGGTCTTGACATGAAGATTTGGGAGGGGACCGCATGACAGTGGGAATGGATGGCTGAGGTAGAGTGAAAGAAACAAGCACTAGGAGTAAGGTGTCAAGGAACTGAGAACACTTAAGAGTGGGACAGGGCATATATATGGATCTGCAAGAAAAGAGTCCTGAGCATGAGTGGACAGGCAGGTTATAAACCAGCGACTAAAGTCACTGACAAATGACAGATAATGACCAACAGACTAATGAATGTCAGAAATAAGGAACACATCATCAGATCTGATGGCGTGAACTGCAAAGGGAAAAAAATGGCTTGAAAACTGCAATCCAGAACAAGGACAGCTGCCAACCCCACTTAAAGTAAAAGAAACATGGGGAAAAAAAAAAAAAACCCAAAACAAGAGGTCCAAGAGGTATGATTAGAGAGCAACCAAATTTCAATTAAAGAACAGGCTGACTGACACTTTTCAGAGATCAAGAATACAGTGTACATGGATATATTCCTTCAGGGATGGTACCACAGAGCACAGCGAAGAGTTCTGAGATAAGAATTTCCAGTTAGGAGAGTCTCAAGTTTTTGTTTTAAATGCTCTATTCTGTTAATTCTGAAAAAGCAACTGTAAGTTTTATTTTTAAACACTAATTTTTAAATAACTTACTACTAAACAATTCTAAGATAGAAGTTCACATACAAGTGCTTACCTCTATTTCTGTGATTTTTTCAGAAGGATTATCAATTAGGAAACGTGCTAAAGTCCCAGGAGTAGTTCTATAAGTTAGAATGATTGAGTTTTTAGGGTCCTGGCACCACTGAATAAAGAGATCTCTTGAAAATCCACATTCCAGGTCAGGCTGGCTGGCAAGGACAACTTTGGGACTAGGTACTCGAGCCAAGTCAGAAAGACCATGGCATAAAGAAAGATGGCGAAACTGAAATGGGTTATTCCTTTTATCTTCAAAACATCTCATCAATTTATCACTCATCCATTCTACCTAAAATAGGGGGAAAGATAACAGTGATTAGAAAATACTATCACCTCAGTGTATTCCACAATAGTCACGAAATTCAAGTTCTATCTCAAGTCTTTTGTTCCCACTACTTGCTGCAATCTGTGCTCTCCTGACAAGTAGCAATTTTCTGATTCTTCCCCTATTAAATTCTCCCAGTCCAGTTCTCAGCCTAAAACTTCAGTTTTCCAGTGATTATAATTATTTAAGTAGCCTTAAATCTTTTTGAGAAAGCAGTGTATGTGCTAAATAAGGATCTTATCCTAGAGATTGCTATTTCAAAGGAAAAAGTTTACACAAAAGAAAGAATAATGAATTTTAACAGTTATATCCTGTCAGGTAGGTTCTATCTTTGTCCTCATTTTACAGAATAGGATATCAAGAATTACACAAAAAGCCACCTGCTCAATCTGGGAAACAGACACAAAAATAGAAACTATCTCATAAGGTATATATAGAGTAAATAGTTACATAAAGCATACAGGACAATAAGTAGTTAACGTTAGCTACTGTTATCAACTCTTCAGAAAAGTAATATCCAAATGGCAATTAAGCTACTAATTTCATAGGACCAACCACTGGCAAACTTTGTTGTTATAAATGATGACATGAAAACAAACCTGGGACTTAGAAAACTCCACCACATTGTAACTGACATTATTTAGGAGCGCCAGTGAGTAAACACCCAACCCTGCATCTTTAGTTCTCCAAATCTGATCAAGAAGCTGAGCGAGTTCCAAAACTCTGCCTGCGGTATCCACTGCTATTAACACATTTCCATCGCCTCGAAGGGTTTCCAAGACATTAGCTAGAAAACAAGAATGCAAAATTCCTATAGAACAAAAATAATACAGTGCTACAAAATTAAAGATAATGCTGTCTCCCTGTGTTTATAATGCAGAGTACAATTTATAAACAAGCTATTACTAGGCCTGGTATAAAATGAAAAATTTTGTTTAGCACAACTTCTAATTTTCTTAAGCTTATCTTCATTAGAGGTAAAAACTAAGGCTATTAACGCTCAGCTTTTTCATTTAAATATTATAAACTGGTAGTTTCCACTTCTTTCACATCAAATATGCATAGAAAATAGTATCTTAGCCAGGTGTGGTGGCACATGCCCATAATCCCAGTACTTGAGAGATCAAGCAAAGAGGATCCCTATGAGTCCAAACCCAGCCTGGGCTACGTGGTAAGTTAAGTCCAGCCTAAACTATGTAGCAAAATCCTGCCTCAAAAAAAAAAAAAAAAAAAAAAAAAAAAATTCACTGGGAAAACTGACCAGGTCTAACGCAATAAGCATGGGGGCTTCCAAGCCACCCTGCATTCACCTGTCTATCCTAGTAATGTTTATTAATCCCAGTATTTACATAGACACACAAACACTCAAATATATACATACATATCCATCATGTATACAATACATGTTTTCTTTTTCTTTTTTTCTTTGGTACTAGGGATTGAATTCATGACCCTATGCTTGCCAGGCAGGTGCTTATGCTGCTAAGCTAAATGCCCAGCCCTAAAATACATGTTTTCTATGCATACCCACAGAATATAATCACATTTTCTTTAAAAACCAAACAACAATAACAAAAAACAAAGTATAAAAGTCTTCACATGTGTATATATTTTTAACCTTCACAGATTTCTTTACATGAAAGTCTACTTGGAAATAATTGGTAAAAAAAAAGAAAAACTAGCAGAAACAAACAAAAAACCATGACCTGAAGAACTTCAAGTTAGTGATTAGTCACACAATATACAAGTTATACTTTCTGGGGCCAGGAACATAGCTCAGCAGTATAGCGCCTGCCTGGTAAGCACAAGGCCCTGAGTTTGATTTCTGGTACCACGAGGAAAAAAAAAAAGAGACTAAGAGAGTGGATGCTAACATACTAAAAAATGTAATTCAATTTTCCCTCCTGAAATTCCATATGACTTATAAAAAAGAACATGAAGTGAAGTAGCTCAAATCAAAACAAAAGCAGCAACAGTTTAGAGATATCTCTTTAAAACCAAGAAGACTAGAGGGTAAAAACCCAGCACTAAAACCAGCAGAGAAGCTCCCTCTGTGTACCCTCTTGTATCTGTTTTTTCAGTTTCTCTTAGAGTGCGTTTTTCCAATTAATATGCATGAAGTCTTAATATACAGACATATCGGTGAGTGCCTGGGAGAACAAGCTGTATGCTAAATGGCAGCGAGAAGCCAGCCTACATCCTCGTATTTTAAATGCTGGTATGGTCACATATTTCTTCAAAACTACTGGAGTTAGCTAAGTTCTTATGACCAAGGTCAGCACAACAAAAAGAATTCCATGCTATCATGCACTTCCACAGCTCTAGAAGGAGTGCTGGGTAAAACATACTTAGCAGCTGCTCATCTCTCTGTTTTCTTCTGGGCTGCACATAGGTAGCATTAAATGAATCCGTGATGAGGAGAGAGGGTCTGCTCAGCATTTCCAGGGAACATCCATTTAAGTGGCTGTTAAAGTTTAAAGAGAATAATATATCACTTGAAATCAAAAGTAATAGATTCTCTAAACAATGAACAACTGCTTTTATAAAGCTTTTTTTCTTCCTGCTAACTGTAAAATTATATATGCTCACTGATTCAGAAGAAGTCAAGTAAATTTTTTAAAAGTACGCATAAAAGGAAAATAAAAATCTTCCAGTGGAGCACCACAGACCAAAATAATTGATAGCTTTTGAGTATATCCTTCAAATTATAAAAGTTTTGGCTGGGCATGGTGGCATACATCTATAATCCTAGCACTCAGGAGGTTGAGGCAGGACAACTGCCATGAATTTGGACCATCTAGGTTACATCTTGAGTTCAAGTCCAGCCTAGACTACACAGCAAAATCCTTTCTCAAAAAACCAAAACCAAATAAAAATAAAGTGTGAAAGCTTTTATATGCATATATATTTTTAATTTTAGAAAATGGATATCCCACTGAGCATGGTGGTACTCATCTGTACTCTGAGCTACTCTGGAAGCTGAGGAAGGAGGATAGCAAGTTTTGGGGTTTAGCTTAGTGTTACAGAGCGCTTCAAGGCCTACACAAGGCCTTCAAAATAGTACCTCAAGCTGAAGGAAAAAAAGTGGATATTCCATACATAGTCCTACATTCTCATTTCTATGGACTAGGTGTTTTTTGTTTGTTTTTTAAGACAGGGTCTCACTGTGTAGTTCTGGCTGGCCTGAACTCATTATGCAGCCCAGGTTGGTCTTGAATTTAAGACAATCCTGGCTCAGCCTCCTGAGTGCTGGGATTACGAACATGTATAATCATGACCGGATATATCCTACTTTTTTCCCATGACACTAAAATTGTTTTCTAAACCAGTTTTTAGCAACTGTAAAAGCTTCCTATCATATTTGTACTGTATTTATTCAAACCTTTCCTTTTGTTTATATTTGTCACTTTTTTGCCATTAAAATCTTTCAAAAAAATTTTTAAAAGCTTCAGCTACATTTCTAAACATCTCTTTGGGGCACTTTCCTAGAAATGTATTTACTGAACTATACAAGTATTGGTAAATGGCTCGCCACAGCACTTAATCTTTTCCATAAAGGTTCAAACAGAAAGATCAATTCACAAAATACTTCCTAAAAGACTACTATTATTAAAAAATTTTAACATACTTAATAAAGGAATATTATTATTTACATTCTTTTTTCACTTTATTTTGAAACTATATTTGATTAATACTTGATCATACATATATATATATATATATATATATATATATATACATATATATATGTGCCTAAGTTTTCTGGCCATTTGTGATTATTTTCCCTAGTTCATTGGTTTTGTAATTTAGTTTACTGTTATGTACAGTTTAATCCTGTATTTAATCAAATCTTCTCCTTTGTAAATTGGTCTGTTATCTTCATGCTTAAATTTTTCCAAATCAGATAACCAATATCGATTCCTTTTCTAGTTAATTCTAATCCATCTGAAATTTGTTATATTGTAAAAGAATGAAATTCACCACTTACTCAAATATCCATCTTTTATTAATCTACTAAGTCTAAATTCAATCTATTAGTCTTAAACGTTTCTTAACATAAAGATTTAAGACTATTGTAATCTAATACAAACAAGCTTCCAACTTACTATACAAATATAACAAAAATCTATACGGAACTGAATACCAAAAAATGTATAGTAATGCTGTAAGTGCAAAATGAAATATGTAAAACTGTAACTACTGTGTTCCTTTTAAAGAGAATGTGATATTAAATATGGATATATTAACAATTCCTGATTTTACAAAACTCCCTAAATGTTCTGTTAAGTACTAGGTTGAGAGCATCTAAAACAGTTTGAGGTACAAAAATTCACTTTCTTCACAACACCTTCAGGAAGGCAGTTATTTTACAGTGAAGAATCTTACATAAATTTTAAAAACTTCTTTCATGTCTTACACCAAAGTTTTTCCCTTACAATGCAAGTAAAAATAAAAATATTCACTACTTAATGCTTTTAAATTGTTCTAGATTTTGGTTAAAAACAAAATGCTTCTAATTTTGCCTTTACAGAATTAAATGATGCTATTTGCATTTCCTTTAGTTTTTGTCTTCATATACCTACATCTCCCTCTTGTGGTTGAAGTCAACTGCATAAACAATTTCTTCTTCTCCATCTTTGACTATTTTCCATATTGTTCCACCTATCATATGCCCAGCTGGCAGAGGTGTGATAGACAAACCATGTCCTTTACCTATGACAACAAGATAATGACAATATTCAAGTTTCTTTCACAACCCTATAAAATGGTTATATTTCAAAGCTGTGTTAAGAGATATCATATGCAATAATATAAAGTTCAGAAGTAAAAATGCATACAGTGAAAAGCAAATCTTATACTCCTATTCTCAGCTATTAGACTTCTTCCATGGAGGCAAACATTTGCAATTATATTTTGTATTCTTGCAAAGATAACTGTGTTCCTAAGTAGACAGCTAGAGATTAATCCTTAAATCTAGTACACTACTAAATAACACTATTAACTAACAAATTTATCTTTTGTGTGCATGTGTCTGATGTTGGCTATTGAACCCAGAGTTTCATACATGCAAGGCAGGTACTCTCCCACTGAGTTTTAACGTTCATGTTATACGAGCATGTGTTTCCATTTTTTCTAACATCTAAGCTAATAATTCAACTCTCAGGGTAATTTATTCCTACAGAAAAACTAAATACAAGCAAAATTACTAAGACTATAGTTACTTCCTTATTAAATTCTCAAGAGTCCATTATTTAAAGATTAAAGAAAAGAGAGTCCATTATTGCACCATATTTTCAATACTAAAGCTTATTTTTAAGAAAATCTCTAATGCATTCTCCTCTAGATGACAAATACACTGAAAATATATCTCGACCCAATAACCCTCTAATGTCCAATACTAGAATTTAGTAATTTTCTACTCCGTTATCACGGCACTTTATTTACTTCAATCACTGTATTTAGCCATCTGGGCTAATATCTCTTGAATCCAACTGTAAGCTCCAAGGAGTAGGATCTGCACCCTTTATTTGCATTCTTTCTACATAATAAACACTAAAATAAGTCTTTTCCAAGCTAGCTAACAAAAATGCTAACAGCTCAAGCTGTCAAATTGTTGTTAAAATTTAATCTAGAATACTTTAAAAATTCAGATGGAAGTTCAGAGTTTCCTGTCAAGGCAGAAAAGGTTAATCTTCTATTCTCAGACTAAAGTGCCTACAAGCTGTATTATGATTCTCCTAAACATTTTTCTGAAGGTTAAATTCCACTAGTCCAGGCTGAGAATGAGGCTCCATGGCATAGCGCTTGCCTAGCCTGTGTGAGACCCTAGGTTCAATCCTCAGCAGCACAGAAACACAAAACAAAACTCATTCTTACAGAAATGTTTACTATGATTATTTATCACAGAAACATTTTTTACCTTTCAAATTCACAATCTGAGAGAATTTTAGCTGCTGTATTTTATCAAAGGCTGCATCCACATCGTCTAACGTAAAGAGTGTAAAATCTTCTGTATTGTGCCGAGACTAAAAGAATGACACAAGTGGGAGGTTAAAAGCAATCACTGATGCTGTGGAACAGTTTTCCTTAACGGTGTAAATTACCTGATAGAGATCATACATGAACATCTGGCCCATTTTATACACAGGGATGGTTGCATAGATGGCGCAGTTCAGACCCAACTTTCCCACAGCGTAAGGGAGGGCACCGAGATGGAGAGGGTCGGGGTGCGACAGCAGCACTGCGTCAATCTGGTGAACATGCCTGGGAGAACACAACCAATAAGACAACTTGCTCTGGCTTTTGGTGGGGCGGAGTTGGTACCAGGAATTGAACTCAGGACCCTGCACTTGCCAGGCAGGTGCTGTGCCATTGAGCTAAATCCCCAGCCCTCCATTCTTGTTTTTAAGGGTAAAAGCAGAATGGTCAAAATTACTCATTCTGAACTGAAGACTATTTTGGGGTAGAAAAGCAAAACAATTAAGTAAAATTATATACCTACGAATTTCAATTATTACTACGCCCTGTATTACATAGACAACAAAATTATGGCATAAATTCCATTAGACATATGATGTTATGATGTCTAGACATATTTTAAAAAGAAAGAGGTAAACAAAACAAGTTGATGAATGGCTACCTTATATAGTATTAAGTTCAGGAACTCAGCTTGGAATTTTAGAAACTGTTAAGCAGAAAATAACTAATCAGCCACCCACTTACCATGGATATTTAACCAACAGTACAGTAAAACATCAATCAGTGAAGTTTCTACTGGCAATAGATTTTTTCTTTTTTGGCTTAAAAGTCTTTACAAAATTTAAGTCTCCCTCCTTCATTAATTAGTTATATATGTATTTTTGTTTGTTTGTTTTATTTTGTTTTTTGTTTTGTTTTTGAGACAGGGCCCCATTTTGTAATTCAGGTTGGCCTTAAACTCACTATGTAGCCCAGGCTGGCCCTGAATTCATAATGACCCTCCTGCCTCAGTCTCTGGAGTGCTGGGATTACAGACATGAGACACTACACTTGGCTGAATCTTTTTGATAGATTAAGATTCTTTAGTATCTCATAGTTATTATTCTAAGAGACAAGTCAACACGTCAAGGATCAAAACAACAGAAAGTAAGCTAATGTAATACACCCCAGCACTGGCAAATGGAAGGTTTTACAAACTCCTGCTCTTTCCTGAAACTAGAGAGCAACATTTTTACAATGATCCATTAGCCAAGTGACAATTTAAGATTTCACTCAATTCAAATCAATAGAGCTAATAACTCAACCAAGACTTTACAGGCTAAAATGGTCACTATTCAGTTTTTTGGCATAAATAACATTCTTACTATATACTTAATGAAAAGATAGCAATACTATATAACGTCTAAATCGTATTTTAAAAGTATATGAAACACAAGTTGATTTATCTTTTTCAAAAAGTCAATTGAATGAAGTCTAGAAATGTGAAAGAGAACTTACTTCCTTAGGGAATCTATAATATCCATGGAAAAGTGCTCATCCCAGCCACAGTCCAGTAAAAATCTAAACTCATCCACTTGGAGAAGATAGCAAAGAGCAGATTCTTCCTGGACCCCAGACAGGGTAGTTAACTTGATAATCGATGTCATCTTTTTGGTCCAGTAAGAGTAATCTAAAAGGTTCTTTCAAAAGAAAAACATACTTGAAACATAAAAGCACAATCTTACACATATAACAGACAAGTTAACTAAAATTACCTTACATTTTTAAGTGCTCAGAAATTTTGTAAACATGGAAAGCAAACATTAAACACTCACTGCCATCACTATGAAGTTTAAAAGTATAAGCACAGTCCCACCCTTGTATTTACAGTTCTTCGGTGTTTCCCTATAGTACCTTAATACAAAATAGCGGACTTTGGAATCGGAGATACCCAGATTTGAAATTGTTCCTGTGTGATTCAGAGCAAGTAAGTCAACTAACCTTATCTCACCTACATATCTGATTATATAAACATTAGTATTAATATATATGTAACAGGATGTTGAAGGCTTTCAGATACCATGCTGGTTTACTGCAATTAGAGACTGCACCACCCAAGCTCGCCAATACATAAGAGTTTACTCAATTAATGAACTCATTCCTCACAATGAACCTGTCCCTCCTCTGTCTTGCCCTATATGATGGCATAGACTACACTGCATTACAATGACTAGTTTACATGTCCTTCTCTTTTTTAGACCAGTAACCCTGAATAAATAGACCACATTCAGAATCTGATAAAGTGACAAACTCTCCTTTCTCTCCAATCCTTAAAATAACACTCAAAAATTCAAAACATACATATAAACATAAAAATTCACATACTTTTCAAGGAGTTTCATGCTAAGAAGCTTGTGTTGGAATGCAAGTGAAAACAGAAGTGGTATCTTATGTTTGAAATCCCTGAAGTAAAATCTGACACACCAAGTCCTCAACACTATTTGATAGAATGTGGCTGGGATACCTTTCGCATGGATGTATTTCCAAAAGATATGACATCAACACATCTACTGGGATTTGGGGTCTAGAACTGTGTGTCTGTAAACAGACATGATAAAACTGTTGATTAACTGAAAGCTCATCTCTACAACTTTCCAACTTTAGTTCCTTAAAATCAGGCCAGGATACAAGCCTGTAATCCCAACACTTAGGAGAGATCTCTGCAAATTCAAGGCCAGCCTGGGCTACACAGTGAGTTCAAGCCAGCCTGAAATGCATAAAGACCCTGTCTCAAAAACCAAAAATAAATGAAAGGAAAGGAAAGGAAATAAGGCTAACTATGTAAGGAGGACAGCCGGTCACTGAGCTACCTGATGATGTTTTACCATCTAGCCAAGCTCTTCTCCTGACGATCCCACCAGAGGCTAATCACCCCACACCTCCTATTCTTGTTTACCTGAGTAAAGGTCCCAAATCAAAGACTTCTCTCTTATCCATTATTACTGACATGTACTTCTCATGGTTGGACACAAACTCCTACCTTCCCACCTCCTAAAGCCTTCCAGTCTGCCTTCCGCAGTATGTTTCTTCTCACCTGTAACCTGCCTGCCTGTCTTCATAGACATTAAGCAGTTCCCAATGATGCTGTTCCTTCTCAACAGCTTTTAAAATTTTTAAAGCTCTTGCGCTCCTTGGACCTCAAAAGCTCCTCAGTTCAGCTACCCTTTTGCCCAAGTTCCCTTTTGCCTTTTAAACATTCCAGTCCTAATAAAGCCTATGCCACTCAGCTAGTTCATTAGTAGCCTTCCAAATTTCCCTCTCAGTGCTAGCATTTATTGATCTATCTGATTCACTAAGAACTTAAGCTCCTGAGCTGGTCTTCCTCCCAGTAGCTTCAATACTGAGCTCTCAATGCCTTGACTTTCTTAACTGCAGTAATCCTTGTTTCACTTCAGGCACCCACTACCACTTCCCCCTCCCTGATCATTACCACTGCATATGCTACTTTTGAAATTTCTCAAGCATCCCATTCTTATCATGTCCCACTTACTCAAGTATTTCCCCTGCAGAAATCCTTGGTCTCACTGCGAACCACTGACCACACTTTCACTATCCATGACCCCTTCTTACCTCTACTCAGATCCTCGGCCTTCCATGTATGATCCATCATTATTTTGCAGACACTCTGAAATACCTACTTTTCTAGTCCTTTGTATCCACTTGGCAAAATCCCAACCCTAGCTGACCCCAGTCATTTACGGTCTACTCCAGCAGCTGTCAGACAAGCGGAAACTCCCCACAAAACTATGCTGCTTGCTCTTTAAATTCACATCAAAATTCTCAAATAGCTGTATTTGTGTCAGCCCTACTTTTCTTTGCAGGTCAACTTCCACCTTGGAATCCTGCGCATACCAATTCCCTGCTCAGACCACGCCACTCTGCCCTCCCTACTTTCACTTGATGATGTCACTTCATTCTTCAATCAGAAAATAAAACCGGACAGCAACTCCTCATTTTCCAGATGGCATGTCAGTTCATCAATCCGCACGTACACTGCTGAGTCTCCTTTTATGTGTAATAAATAGCCCTGACCCCATTCAAGGCCAATCCTCCCGTGAGTCCTTGATCCCACTCTTCACCTTCTAGGACCGGACTTCTTCAGCCATTTCCTCTTTTCCCTCCGTCACTGACATGCCGCTTTCATGAGCATTCAAAGGCACTCGAGAATTTGGGCTTGTAAGAAGCCCCATGACTCTAAACCCGTTGTAATACTTTTATGTTCTTCTTTCAAGCACAATTTCTGAAGTATTTTCTCACAAATGTGTCTCCCCATCCTCACCCCCTTCCTATTCACGGCACCACATGGAGCAGCCAGGGAATGCACGCTGGCTGAGTGGTACACGGAGGTTTATCAGTGACCCTAACAACCCATTTGATTTCTCTAATTTCCTATCACTAGTCACCAAAGTGACTCACTAGCTTGTGTGTTTCCTATGTCTCCCTGTGATTCTATCATACCTTTTGTGTATTCTGGAGTCCTTTTCCACTCCTGGTACACTGTGGCATCTTTTCTTTTGGGGGAGGTGTTACTTAGGCTCGAACACAGATCTCCTCACTGAGTCACACCCCAGCCCCTTTCGCTCCTTCTTTAATTTTGAGACAGGGTTTCACTAAATTGCCAGGCAGGACTCGGACGTGTGATCCTCCTACCTTGATCTCTTAAAGTACAGAAGTACAAGGGTGCCTGACCAAGACGAGCTTTGCAAGATCATTCGATTTCCTTAAAAATGCTTAGTGCTCTCTGTAATTGCTTATTATTTATTTACTTGCTTTGCCTGACTCCTCTTGCCTGACATTTACATTAGAATGTGGACTTCGTGTGTATCGGTCAGTGATATTCCAATGCCTCCAGAGTGCCTAATGTAAGGCAGTCAACACATGTTTCTTAAGTGAAGGAATGAGGCATAACTAGTATTAAATGAACTTAACCAGTTGAGCATGGTGGCACATGTCTGTAATCCAGCACCTATTAGGCTAAGGTAGGAGGATTCCAAGTTTGAGACCAGCCTGGGGTACTTTCCATGCTAGCCTGAACTACAAAACAAGATCCCTGTCTCCAAAACAAAACAAAACAAAACAAAACACTTAGTGCTCTTAACACACCATTAATAGTTACCTACTTGTATTTCCCTTTCCTTGGGAGACCTCTCTCTAATACAGGAATATACTTGATCCACCTGGTGCATTAGCACAAGCCTTGCAGAGTAGTTGTTCAATAAATAATTGTTGGCAAATTAAAACCTGAAATATAGTGACTTAGGCTGTTCCCATTTGAGGTATAAGAACCACAAAAACAACATTATTTTATGAAAAATGTTTATAAATACAATTTTGGGAACTAGAAAACGCCTTTACCAAAATTATAATAAAGCTTCCTTTATCGTAATTTATAATAAAGGCCTAAACCTTTTTTTTTTTTTTTGCTCAACTTTACTTTAACTTATACATTTTTCCATTTAGATTGTGAGTTAAAATACAAAGTGTCTTGCAGACACTATCAAATGGTTTCATCTTAAACCTTTTTTACAATGGCATGGTGATGTACTCCTACAATCTCTGGCTTAAAATAAGAAAAACAAAGAGCTGGGGAATGTACCTCAGCACAAAGGGTCTGGATTCAATTCTCAGTACCACCATACCTACTACACACACCTAAATAAACAAATTTAAAAAACAGCTAAATATTTATTAGACATTCATTACTTACTGAAATCCCAGTTGTATATATGATGAAACACAAGTTCAGAGGAAGAGTTCTTTATAAATCTAAAAAAGGGGGGAAAAAAGACTCCTATGAATGCAGTGTAATGAGAATTGTGTTTTAATTTGTACACTTTGCTCAAGATGCCATGAATAACAGTGGACAGTATAACATTCACTCCATTAAAAAAATAAATACCACAGTTTAGGAAGTTTAGGTTCACATAAAATAAGGATAATATAATAAAAGACGTAAAATAATAAAGAGCCAAGTTGGTTATGATCACAAGCTTGAATATGCAGGTTAAGAATGAAGAGTTTTCAAAATTCTTAGTAACAGAAATCCCACAAGCAGGAAGTAAGATTATTCATCAAGGTTTTGTGGGACCTGGGTAGAGAGAACATACTTCAAGTGGAGATAAGCAAAACACAGGAGAGGGGCGCTAATGAAGAGAAAGGGGCCACATAATGAACGGCTTTGGAAACCTTAGCCCTAGTTCAACAGACAACAGAGAAAGATTGTATGGTTAATTAACAAATAGAAAGATCATTTTGTTGTTGTTTTGAGGCATGGTCTCACTGTGTAGTACAGCTGGCCTTGAACTTACTTATGACGCCCAGACTGGCCTCGAACTTATAATTATCTTCCTGCCTCAGCCTCTTGGATGCTGGGATTACAGGCGGGCACCACCACGCCTGATGAAAGACTGTAATTCTGTATTTTAGGAAAACGAGCTGACGTGTACGATTGAACAGTAACAGAAAGGAGGGAGATAGATTTAAGAGAATTTAGCAGACTGCCTGCCCCTCTCAACTGTGCCAGTCCCATTCTGCGACTAAATTTTTTTAGCCTCAAAAAGTACTTTATGATTCTATAATATCATTCACTAATCAAGTAAATAAGGCTTGAAATTCCTGCAGTTTCACATTTGTTCCCTCAGAAAGCCTAGCGCGTGCATCACCCCTTTCTAGTCCTGCCACCAGTACCTTATTACTGCGGGGCCTCTTTCCCTTGTATTTGGATCTTTTTATTTCTTTGTAAGTTTTTTCTTTCTTCATCTCAATCTAAACATTCTTGCCAACCTGAATTACCAAATGAGACCCTGTCTCAAAACCAACAAACAAAAAAACAATTAAAAACACCTCTACACAACTTTTTGCTTGGAAACTTCTGAAGGCCTTTCTGCCCAACGACAAAAGACAAAAACAGCTCAGTGCCTTCACTGGGAATGGAGTGCCATGACATCACTGCTCATCATCCTCTCACGGCCCAGCTCGAATTTACCTCCTTATTCATTCCCCATCATTCGTCTAGACCAGTAGTGGAAAACCTTTCAGAGCTCTCGATGATACAAACAGCCTGCTGCATCACACACGCCATAGATTCACCATCACTGGCCCAGAACAGACTAGTTTCGACATCAGAAATATGCCTCACATAATTTAAAAACTTTTCATTGCCACACTGAAAAAAGCAGATGAAATTTTAATAGTTTAATCTAAACTGTTATTTCAACTCATAATCCTCAAAAAATTGAAGCATTTTACATTCTGGTTTTTGTACTGACTTCAAAATCCAGGGTGTACCTAGGATATACAGCACATCTCAATTCAAACTAATCACGTTTCAAGTGCTCATTATCCAATATGGCTGGTGGCTACCAAACAGTATAGGTCTAGACTCCAAAATAAATGCTTTAGAATGTGGAGCATCATGCTTGTCACTTAAAAGAGCAGGATGGCAACACTGTCATCTTGTTTTTATGTTCATGACTCAAATTTGATTTGTTGATTTTTTCGTTTGCTTGAACCCAGCCAAGGGTCACGGAATTACATCTCTAGACCTTCTATTTTGAGTCAGGGTCTCATTAAGTTGCCCACTCGGGTCTTGATCTCCTGATCCTTCTGCTCAGCATTCCAGAGACCATGGCTGAGGCTGCAGGCATATGCCACCCAACAGCCACCAAACTGGATTTTAATGCTATCCTCAACCCCAGATGGTCTTCGAGACAGAAAACCAGTCATCTTCTAGCCAACAAGCTGGAAGACACTAGTTAAAATTCTATTTGGCATTCAGTCTAACATTCTCAACTGACCTACCTCAACAGAGGAATTCACTGCCTTACCTGAATGATTGCAAATTTCCTCTTCTTTTCTTGTACCAAACTGATGTTTCATAAGGCTATTAATGAAAACATCTTGAGACAAATGGTCTCAAACCCAATCCTTCCACAAAGAATTCAATGGTTCCTTGATAACTACTGAATAAAAATCTCAACTTCTTGATTGAAAATCAAGATTCACAAACTGATCTCAATCTACCTCTTATGTCTTCATTAATCACCTTTGCACTGCATGCTCAAACATTTATTTTCCCCTTTTTCCTACATTTTTCATTTCCTACTTTTTCCAAACTTCATCCATGCTCTCCATCCAGGAATGATCTCCTGGCCTAGCAAATTCTTTTTGATCATTTCATGCCCTGTTCAAATACTCTTTCATAAAGCTATTTCATTGTCTTCAAATGGTTATTTTTACTTAGCATACACAATAGGTGTTGCATGGATGTTGAATGTATACACAAAGTTAAAGTCATAACATTTGTATCTCCAAAACTAAGCGTGGTGCTCAGAGCAAAGGAAACGTGTGCTGAGAGTGAAGCTTCATCATATCATAAATCCTTCCAGGGCAGTGATTCTGACCAGCACTACTGCATCACAAATACTATATATCGGTTCGTGCTCTCTGAATAGGGATCATGCATGTTGATGATGACAATCAAAGGAAAGTATGCAAAATACAAAGGAAAGGAGAGACTGGGTAAGCCCTAGAGCTCACTGAACGGCAAGACTCTCCCAGATCGTTCAGGGAGAGCAGCACTTCCTAACAGGATCAAAGGGGAGTAAAATTAAAGATTTGGAAATGGGCAAGACCGATGGCTCAGATTTGCCTGGTCACAGATTCGCAAATATCAGTGCTAATCTGACCTCCTGTTTTCTGATGAGCATGTAAAAGAGTACGAAGTTGAAAAGAATGAATGCAGTGGCAGTGGAAGCGCTCGAGAGCGATGGAGAGAGGCGACTCTGTTAAGACGCGGTACTAGCATCTGAAGTCTCCAGAGTTGATGACTGGACGCCTACTTTGTGCCCAGTGCTTAGCAGCTTCGCGGAGGCTAAGCCCCAGAAAGCAAGAAGACCCCGGGTAGGGAGGCTGAGAGCAGAGGCAGCCACGAGGCGAAGGCCAAAGCCGGCGTCGGATGAGTCCCCCAGTCCTAGACGGAAAGGGCGGAGGAAACCGCAGAAAGGGAAGGAGAGCGAGCGCGGGAGTGAACCGTACGGACTGTCACAAACAACCCGAGAGTATTCCACCCGTGAAGTCACTTCTCTTTCACTCGCGGAGAACTTCCAGGACAGTCGCAACCGGAACCGCAAGAGCACTTTCCCCCGAGACTGGGTCGGAGTCCGGCTCTCCTCCGGGGCCGAGGACGCCCCACCCCCATCCAAAGGCTCGCTTCCTTCTCCCGCCCTCACCTGCCTCCTAAGGCCTCCCCCAGCGCCGTCCACTGCCCTTCCCAAACCCCTGTCGAAGCCTGGCTCAAGGAGGAAAAACGCTGACGCGCGCTCAACAGCACCCTTGACCACCGGCAAGCAGAAACCCCTCACCGGTGGCCGCCATTTTGAACCTGCAGGCGCGCGGCGGAGGCGGGGACGACCCGGGCGATACCAATTCAGGGGTGATGGGGACGAAGCCGCTAGAAGGCGTTAGTATTTGCATCAACAGATCTTTTCACTTTGGACTGCAGTTGTATTCACAAGCTAGGTATAATTTTTGAATTTTTTAAAATGTGGAGAATAAACAATTTGAATAAGAAGAAATATAAAGAGGCCGCTACGCGTTCCCCCGTGAGGGCGCTGCATATGGCAAGTCCTGAGGGCCAGGCAGCGTCCGCCAGTGTTGGTGGGTGAGCTCGCAGCTGTCCTTGGTCGCTGGGTCGTTGTTGGCCCCGAGGTCGCAGGTGGGTCGGGGGACCCTGGGAGGAGTGATGCCAGCGATCACGGTTGTTCAGGCGGGAAGGGTTCTGGGAAAGCGCTCGGCGGTGGTGTGCGCGTATGGTACGGCTGTCTGGTCCTCAGAGAAGGGGAAAGAAAAACAACTGTTTGTCTTGGAGTGAACAAATGAGGTATGTTTCCCGTCCGGAGGCTTTTGGGAAGGGTACTCCAAGGCCATCATAACTAGAAAACGGCTTTAGAGGGACCCCGACCGAACTGAAGAGACCACCAGCCTAGATCCCTTGCCTGGCCAGAAGCAGGGGAAGGGACTGCTTCTCAGGAGCGTCCACATTTGTCCCAGTCTCAGCGATCTGACTTCTTCACCTGACTGTAAATATCATACCCTTTTGCGTCGATCATTCCACAAAGTATACACTTGCCAGTTTGTTTTTTAAAAACGTAATAAACTTGTGTTTGGTTTCCAGGGTATATATGGCATTAACACCGCAGGAGTAGATTCTTCCATGCATTGAGTACAGTTTTTCATAGGTTACCTTTTTAAAATTTATTTTGTTCTACTGGGCTCGAACTCTCTCACTTGATAGATAAGAGCTCTGCTACCGAGCTACGACCCTGCTCCCCTTTGGTTTATCTTGTGTAGGTGTCCCGCTGCTTAATTGCTGGCCTTTGATTTAAGATCCTCCTGACTTAACCCTCCAGAGTAGCCTGGATTGCAGGCATAGGCGATTAAATGCGTACTTTCAAAGCAAAACATGTAAAATACTGCTGAGGGTACAGTTAGCAGAATGTATATTTTAAAATATCTAATTATCTGTATGTTTCCAACGTGGCTTCACAGTGACTTACAAAAATAAAATACATTTCATATAGTTTTCTTTTTAAAAGTTAAAGGGAAGAGAATTAAATTGAAGAAAAAGTAGTATTAGGAAAAAAATGAAATACGGTTAATAAAAATATTTACCCCTACTGGAGACAGCAAAGCACAAGAAAAGAGCTTGGGCCAAAGAGCAAACTTGCCAGAGTATGTACTCATCCTAATTCCACCTCTTAGTATCGTTATCACTGGATATTTTCTTATCCAGTAAAGGTGATACTGCTGCATTGGGAGGCATTATATTATTTAACACCCACATGGTGCTGTTTGTTTTGTTTTGTTTTTGAGACTGTCTGGTTCTACAGTTTAGGCTGCCCTTGAACTCACTATTGACTGGCTTTGAACTCAAGGCAGTCCTGCCTCGGCCTGCCTAATGCTGGGATTACATGTGTGCACCATTATGTCCAGTGTTACAAGTAAAATTCTTTTAAACTCTGCTGTTCAGCCCTAAATCAAGTCACTGGTAAAGTGAGAAATAAAATTTAATAAGTATGTTTTACTGAAGTGTAATTTTTTTCTTTTTTTAACTTTTCTTTTGCAGTGTAATTTTAAACTGATCATTGTCACCTATTTATCAAGGAGATGTGTGTGTGTGTGTGTATGTGTGTGTGTGTGTGTACCAGGGATCGAACTCATGACCTCGAGTTTGCCAGACAGGTGAGCTAAATCCCCAGCCATATCAAGTAGATTTTAATGATTATACTACATTCTTTTTTATTATTATTACTATACTACTGTGTATTCTTATGCCAAGCAGATTTTGAGGCACATTTGGGTTTTAAGAGCTATTTCACATCCACAACTTTCTGTTTCAGATACAATTTAGAAAATATTTTAAGGGAAATTATATTTCTGATACTCTTTTTGTTTTGCTTTTAGCAATCATGGTGAACTTAGCTCAGATTGTGCGTGACCACTGGGTACATATATTTGTCCCTATGGGATTTGTCTTTGGATGTTATCTGGACAGAAAGAATGATGAAAAGCTAACTGCCTTCCGGAACAAGAGTATGCTATATAAAAGGTTAGTTCATGCATTTATTTCTTTTAAAGCTGGCTATTGGCCAACTAGAATATTCTTAATATGTGCCAAAGATAAACAGGAACGATAATTTTTCTTCCCTGAGAACTTAGATTCAAGTGATACTATTTTTTAGGCTTGTTATTTACTGCTTTGATAAAATTACATGATTACCTCTGGAATATAAACAGTCTTCAGTTTATGGATAGGCTATAGTGGATCTTTGAGAAAGTCTCATTTCTTGACATTCAGGGTGCATTTTAGTATAAAAACAAAGTTTTAAAACAGTCAAATCTTATCCTGTGTAAAGCTTTTGTATATATTATTATATATTACCTTACTTCAGCCATGACCCAAGTCAAGTAAGTATAGTACAAGTGACCCAGTGCTGTGTTTTCATTAGCACCCCTCGGAGCTTTCAATACAGTGGTGCAGTGATCACAGCTGGCAGCTGCCTGGTCCCATTGTGTCTTTAGAGATGGCTCCTCTGGCAGCAGAAGGTTATAGTTACATAGAGCATGTGCCAGGGGTTACACATCTATCTGGATTGGAAGAAGCTCAAGAGACAAGAGGGCTGTAGCTGGGTGTAGTAGCACACACGTGTAATCCCAGCATTGGAGAGACTGAGGCAGAAGGATTGCCCTAAGTGTAAGGTCAGTTTGGGATACAATAGTGAGTTCAGGGCCAAGCTGAACTGTATAGCAAAACCATGTCTCAACAAAACAAAAACAAAAAGGAAAAGAGGAGCAAGTAATATCCACAGGTACTACATAGAAGTGGTTTACAACTCAGGATTTTAAAAAAGACTCAGTGAGCTAAAAAGTATATAGAAAACATTGAATAAACCCATTGAAAGGATAATAGCTATTATATGTATTAAGAAATTAATGTCTTTAATCCAGGAAAATGAGATACAGTAGGAGTTTGAAGTCATAAGAGAAAATAAGATTAATATAAATTTTTAATGGGTCAGTTTAATAGACTATAAAATACTTTTCTGACCATCTCTTAAAAATGTTATTTACAGTTTTTCCTTTCGTTCTTTCTATATAGGGAATTGAGGCCCAATGAAGAAGTTACCTGGAAATAAAGACTGTGGCTAAATTACAGAATATTCACATTTTAAAATATATGAGAAAAATAAAAACATGTTTGTTATTTAATTATAAGATTTTTGAAGTGTGATTCTTTTTATACTGTTGTTTAGTGAGGTTTTTTTGTGTGTCTTTTGTTGTTTTTGATGGTGAGGGAACAAGATCTATATAGTCTAGGACAGCCTTCAACTTGCTTTGATTCCTAGGCTGGCCTTGAACTCACAATTTTCCTGCCTCATCCTCCTGAGTACTAATTACAGGTATGTGCATCACTCCTGGCATCTTTTTACACTTCTTACTGAGATACTTTTTTTAAAAATCGATTTTATTTCAAATAGAAAAAATTTCAAAACGACAATCAGGGGACTACAATGGTACATACACTGCCATCCCATATGAGTCACCCAGAGCACATCTGCATTCTGTTTCCTGAACAGTACCACTGCAAACCTTTCTTTTCAATGAACTCAGAAAAATCAGTATATAATGTTTCTTTCAGCTTCTCACAGTAGTGAGACAATACTATTTTTACACATACATGTCTGATTTCACTTATGAGTATGGTCTCAAGTTGATTCCTCTACCCACAAAAGTCTCAAGTTTGTCCTTTATGGCTAAGTAGTACTCCATTGTATAAAAATACCACATCTTTTTTATCCATTCCTCAGTCATGAGCATTTAGGTTGTTTCCAAGATTTAGCTATTGCAAACTGTGTTGCTCTGAACATGACTACCTATATATCATTGTAGTACAAGGTTTTAATTCTGGATGATGCCCACAAGGAGAGTAGCTGAGTCAAATGGGACCTCCAATCCAGTTTTTTGAAGAATCTCCACACTAATTTACACAGTAGCTGCACTAGTCTACACTCCCACCAGTATTGGAGAAGGTTCCTTTTTCCCCAAAGCTCCACCAGCATGTTATTGCTTGATTTCTTGGTAACATCCATTCTTTCTGGGGTGAGATAGAATTTCAGTGTTATTTTAATTTATATCTTTTGACCAGTGATACTGAATATTTTTTCATATATTTATTTGCTGTTTGTATTTCATCTGATACATGTATATTCATCTCAGATGCCCATTTTACTATTGGATTTTTAAATATGGGAGGACTGATTTTTTTTTTTTTTTAGTCCTTTATGTGTTCTTGATAGTATTCCTTTGTCTGAGGAGCAGCTGGTATTTTCTCTCACATTGTGGGTCATCTGTTGCACTCTGTTGGTGCTTACTCTTGCTGTGCAAAAGCTTTTCAATATGAAGCAATCCCAGTTGCTTCTTTGTGATGGTTCCTGTGCAATCAGTTTTGTTCATAAAGTCTTTGCCTACACCAATACTTCAAGAGTTTTATTTATTCTATCTTCCACCAGATTTGTTTCTGTCTTAATATTTAGATCTTTGATCCATTTAGAATTTAGTGCATGGTGAAAGATACGAGTCCAAATTTAATCGTTGGCATGTGCAGAGCCACTATATATATATATATATATATATATATATATATATATATATAGTTATAGTTTTATTAAGTTAGTCTTCAAGTTTTAAGTAAACTTGGTTTATAAAATCATTACTGAGGCTCTGACTCTATAGATGTTAAATTTGTAATTAGCATTTACCTTTTGTTTCTTACTTTGGTCCACAATACTATTAAATCATATATGTACTATTTTTTGTTCAGATATTTTTCCAAAAAATTTTTTCAAATTGTGTGTGCTATGATGGTTCCATTGTGTCCCTCAAGAGTTCACACATGAAAATGTAATCCCCACTGTGACATTAAGATAGTAGGAACAATTTAACAATATCTAGAGTTTTAGACCTTTGAGAGAGGATTGGGATTAGATAAGGTCATCAAGGTTGAATCCCCATGATTGAATTATTGGTGGCTTTATAAGAAGAGAGACCAGAAAATACACACAGCTCAAGGGACAGGAAGGCTATAGCTGAGTATGTTGGTGCCTGTCTCTTACCAAGTCCTAAACTATCTCAATACTGTTCCAACAAGAAAGCCATCACCAGATGTGGTCCTTGACCTTGGAACTCCAGAACTGTGAACTGAAATAACCCCCCTTCTCTTATAAACTTACCCAGCCTCAGATGCTTTGTTACAGTGATACAAAGTAAGATAGTGTACTCCAAGGGAACTGTAATAGGATGATACAAAATTTTATTTGGCAAAAATCATAGTTGAAAATTTTAGTGATTCTGAGTTTGTCAAAGATTTATTAACTTCAACACAAAGCATAAATTGTTTTATAAACTAATAAATTGTAATTAAATTTAAAGCTTTTACTCTTTAAAAAGGTATCTGTGCAATCTCACATGACATAATTCAAGGAAGCAGATTAAAGAAAATGAGCTGTCCAAGATGATACATAGGGGTACCTATTTGGTTATCAAACTTAGTAGCATCCTTCTCCTGAATTACTGAGATACTTTTTTCTTTTTGCTTTACATCAACCCTTGATAAAATAACCAAGACTTTGGTGACCCTCAAAAGGTGACAGTTTAGCAGTACGTCAAGTAATAATGCTAGTATGGTGTGACAGGTACAAGCATAGTCAAAGTTTCCAAGTCAAGGGAAGAAGTTGGTTTGACTGGAGCAGAAAAAATTTAGGGAGTTAAAAGTGAGAAAGGAGATTGGCTCAGACCACAAAGAGCTTTTTAATGTGACAACAGGAAGGTAATGGTAAGCCTCTGAAGGACTTTAAAGATTTAGATAATTGTGTAAGGGGGCTGGAGATTTAGCTCAGCGGCATAAGCGCCTGCCTTGCAAGCAGGCAGTCGTGAGTTCGATCCCCGGTACCAATAAAAATGAAAAAGACAAAGAAAAAAAAATAGGTAATTGTGTAAGAACCTCTCCCAATACAAATGCATTGAAGGCGATACTAGTTGTCTTTATGATTACAACTCCATTGCCTGATAAACTTCTTTGGTACAATAAAAGGAAAACGGTAAGATTTGTATTTTTGAAAGCAAGATCACTGACAACACTATGAATTAGACACATTGAGACTGAAAGCAGCAATCCATTCAGCATTCCATGGACGAGCTACAGAAGAATCCAAGAAGGCTTGCACCAAGTGATAGTGAAGAGACCATCAGAGCCCATGTGTAACATCTGCAGACTTATAATTAAGGGTGAGGTGGAAGTGCTGTGCAAACAGAATCCAGAATGATCTTCAGATCATTATGCTGTGATCTGCTATGGTTTGAAGGTGTCCCTTCAACGTGTTAGTAAAAGTGGACATTCTGGTCACTAGTAGCTCATGACGGCATAAGTCTTATGAAAGGCAGTAGGTCCTTTATACAAGAGGCCCTACAGAGCTTATTCCATCTGCCTTTCTGCCATGTAAGGATGACAAGAAAGTCACCACAATGAGGAGAAGGACCTCAGTAGACACCAAATTCAATGATGCCTTAACCTGAGACTTTTCAGCCTCTACAACTATAAACAATAAATTTCTGTTGATAAATCACCCAGTCTGAGATACTTCGTTAGACAAAGTCCTGACAGCTGACCAGTTGAAAGACATTAACTGTAGCTTTAAAACATACAGAAAAGTTGTAATTGTTCTTGCACTTCTTGAGACTATAATTTACTTACCTTGTTAAGCCACAATTCCTTAAGAACAAAGCGTTCTCCCCAATACAGGACTATAGAATGCACGCAAAAATGTTTAATAAAGGGTAACCAGGTTCGACCCATTGAGTACCCAGTGCTCGCGGCAGTCTCCATTCCCTTACCTTACTCTGCTCCTTGTGGTCCTCTTGCATTTGCACTCATCAAAACAGTCCATAAAAAACAAAATTTAGTGGTCTCTTTTAAGTACTTTGTGTTGCTCAATGTTTTGGTAGCAAGTGACCCTGGCTGGTCCCTGAAGGAGTCTCTTCCCAGGGCTTCCATAATACTACATCCTCTGCTTTAACTCCCTATTACTTCTCAATCTCCAGGACCCAACTGCTACCTTTTCAATCTCTTGGTTTCTCTAAAACAATTTTATGCTCTCTCATGATTTTTTAAAAATATTAACAACTCCTCATCTTACAGCTCAAACCACAACTCCCAAGCCTAACGTTTACTCATTTGAATGTCTCATGCTTAAAATTTTCTTGAAACAAAAACTTAGAAAAGTGTTTAAGATATAATAAGCCCTAGCTAATATTTTTACACAAGTGCTAGTAGGTATTCGGAGAATCTAATAATCCCTTTTTCTGATTGAAGCTTTTAGTGGGTGATGAAGCACACATTAATTACATGCAGATGTTACAAGTAGAAAGTACAAACTTAAGTGGAAAACATAAATAACCTAGAACCCGATTAGATAATCCTCACCCAATGCCCTGAATTCAAACACCCATGAATCCATAGCAATGGGTGGGAGGTGCAGGAGATCCTCCAGGCTGCAGGTAGCGCTGCAGCACCCGCGGGCCGCTGGGTAACAGGCCACCAAGGTCACGTGTTTTGCATTTACCACCCCAGCGTTCACGCGCTCCCCACCTCACGTGACACTCGTCCTGGCGTATGATTGGTCTTCGCGAGGCACGTGAGCAGGGACTGGGTGGGGCAGGGTGGGCGGAGGGGTGGGGCCGGGCCGGGGGCGGAGCTGGAGGGGGCTGGTTCCGCGCGGGGGCCGTTGGCTCCAGACAAATAAACATGGAGTCCATCTTCCACGAGAAAGTGAGTGTCCGCGTTCTGAGGGGAGCCGTCCGCAGAGCGATGGCGGGCGGCTTGGCCGGCCTCCGGGGGCTGGGTGAGGCCCGAAGCGTCCCCATCCCGACCTCGCGGGGCGAAGGGCGCCGCCCGCCTGCCGCGCCCGGGTTTGGGAGCTTCACCGACGCCCCCGCTGCGCCCTCCGCCACTAAAGCACTAGCTCCGGGATCCGAGAGGGAATCAGGTCCGGGCCGGGGCGGCTGCAGGCTGCACCGAGAGGGGTCAGCGTCGGTGTTTCCGTGCCACCTTAGTAGCCTTGATGCCTTGTGTCTCCCGCTCTCCTAGAGCCTCCTCTGGGAAGGCTCCCGCTCCCTTCCCGGCTCCACCCACTCCCTCCGGCCCACCCCTGGCGGAATTAACTTTTCTTGTCTGGCTGCTCCGTTCTATAATGGAATGTCCCAGCGCCTCGGTCTTTGGGGTCTAGTTCAGGTCCTTCTGCACTGATTTGTGAGCCTTCGGAGGGCAGGGACCTTGGCTCGCCATTGTAGGGCCTGACGCTTAGGAAGTGAAGTAGGAAATCCCTGACGCTCCAAAGCAGAGAAGTCGTCACAAGTGTTTTATTACGGGGGTATTAGGGTTTGGTTTTTTTTTGATAATCCCATCATTCCGGATCTGCAGGCCAGCTTTGTTTTTAGGTGTTAGGGGTGGACTGGAATATTTTTGATCTGCCTAGGCTGTTCTTGCCTTAATTCGCCAGTGACCACGCTGTTGGCAATACTGTTTGTGGTATCTTGAGAAACTGGTCTTTTCTCACAGCTATCAAGTCGTTTGGGTGTGAGTGAAACCTTCCTCAGGACAGCTCTGGCATACATCTCACTTTATAATTGGTTGATGTTTGGGAAAGGTGGCTACCGAGGCAATTAATGCGAGCTAGGGATTTTTTAAAAAAGTACTTGGGAATAATTAAGACAAAAATTCACACAACAAAAGAAACGTGGAATAGTGTACATTTGTTATGTAAATCTACATGTTAGATACAATGCTTTTCTTTTTAGAAACCATTTTTGAATGTTTCAGGAGCTAGGAACAGATGGATTTCTGTATGTGGACAAGGAGGACTGTGGTACAGTTGCTAATCTTTTGACACAATTGGCATGATTTATGAATCGTGGGCAGGACAGATTTGCTTATTTGGTTGAAGAGACTGGGTGAAAACTATACATATACATGGTATATTTTTATTTTCATTTTTGGAGGAGAGTCACCGGGAATTGAACACAGGACCTCAAATTTGCCAGGCAGGTGCTGTGCACTTGAGCTATAGCCTGGCTCCCACGTGGTTTTTGGTACTGAGAATCAAACTCAGAACCTTGCATTTGCCAGGCAGGTGCTTATGCCACTGAGCTGTATTCCTATCCCCCGACTTGTTTTTGTAATTTTCAAAAGCATTGGCATAGAATTCAGCATGGAGAACTTTAAACAGTTTATGCTCAATTTCCAGAGACTTGTACATTTTTTTTTTTCAGTTGTTTGGACTGGGTCTCACTGTATAGTTCAGGCTGGCCTTGAACTCACTGTGAGAGTAGGAAAGGTATATTGGGGAATAGGAGTAGTTCCAGAGAGACCGGAGGGGTCCAGGAGGCGGGTTGCCCAATGGCCTCTCGATTTAGATTGAATTATATAGGCAAGGAGGGTACAAGGAGTTACTTAATTGTTTAGGGATCACCTATCACAGGTACTCTGTGGATGTAAAATGGCCAATAAGGACCCAGATTCTCTAGTCCAGTTCTTTCACACAGTACTTAAACAAGGGTCTCAGAAAGAATTGGATAATTTGCAATAACTTGCTCACAATTCAAGATCTTAGTAGGGAATGACTGCACCTCCATTCAGGATCTTCGTAGGGAGCTAGATGCATCCCATGCTGCCTGAGGAAATTCAGAAAATTTGCCCAAAGTCCTGGTTCACTGTCTATTCATAATTTTTGTCAATGTGGCGGTCACCCCCTCATTCTTAGGCTCTTACACTAGCTAGCTGCTTTACTCATAAGCTGACTAAATAAACTGTCTTCTACACCACCACACCAGCACATTTTTAACAGCACTGATTGTTACCTCCTTGGTCACTGTGCTATAGTGCCATTGTTAGATTGTTACCTCCTTGGGATAGAATTCAGTGAAGGGCTTACTGAGCCATGGTATCAAAAGAAGCTAGGCATCAGTGTCATGAAAATCTGTGCCCAAAACCAATCACTTTCTATTATGAGCATGGTTTAGATTATAAAATACTTCAGAAATACATTTACTTTTGTCATGAGCTGGAATATCCTTAGCAGATGAAGACTGTTGTGACAACGTTTTGAGATATTTTAAGAAAATGTGTGTGTAACCGAAGGGCCCACTGTTACTCGTGTACACAATCCATATGAGAATATTTGAGCTTCCCGTGTCATTTTTCCTTTCTTTCCACAACAAGCTCTCAATGCTTGAGCCAGAGACCCTACTTTGGCCCTCAGAAAATTATATAAGTAGAGGGATATTTGCCCACTGAGAGCCTCGCAGCCATTTCCTTTTGGAATACTGGTTTCCACATTTTTCAGATTTGCCACTTAGTACTCTTTATTAAATTAGAATGTAAAAACAGTCTGAGATACTACTTAAATAGATCAGGAGAATTCCGTAGGTAAGCAGGATGGCGTGTGCCTGTAGTCCTAGCTACTCGGATTGGAGTCTGAGGTGGGAATATCATTTGAGCTCAAGAGTTCCAGGCCTACCTGGGCAACATTGTAGGAATTCTTCATATGGTGGTGGTTGAGGGGTGAGGGGAGTTGGATAGTTACCCACACAGAGTTTCTTGAACATAAAAGACACGCTGTTTGTTTAAACAACTTTTCTGTAAATACAGTTTTGCAGGCTGTATGCATCTCTGTCACATTCTCATTTGTGTATATGGGTGTTTTTTCTCCAATTGTCTTAAAATATAAAACCATTTTTAGCTATTGAAGCAGGTTGGCCTGCAGGCTAACGTTTATAACTCCTTCTTAACCCTAAAACTAAATAACTAATGATCAGTAACTGCTGGTTTTGTGAGAGTTGTTCTTTTTCTGCTTCCTGCTTGTTTGCCTTTTTTCTTTCTTTTTTGATTTTACGTCCAGTATTGGCTGATTTAGTGCATTCACTGGGTCATCTGAAATGGTACTTTCAATTTTACCGTGAACTGGGAAGGGTAACCATGAAAACATTGAAAAGCTACTGAGCGTTGATTTTGTGACACTCATTAGCCCTCTTAGTCATCTTTAGGATATTTCAAAAAGCCAAATTTCAAGCAAATGAGTCTTGAGGAAGTGGTGATAGGATACACGATGAAACATTTATCTGTGTTAAATCTCTGCTCTTCTACTTGCTGCTGACATGGTTACCTGTTACCTGTTACCTGGTGCTCTCATTTCTACTTCTGTAAAATAAGGATATGACGTGTCTGCCTCTGACTTAGGAGTGCTCAGAAAGCTACCTGTTAGGTGGGCAGTCAATGCTAACAAAGTGCTGGCCATTGCTCTTACATAGCAGGGAGTAGGGCAGGGCTGTTCATATGCTTAAGGCCTTGCGCTCAATCCCCAGCACCTAAAACAAAATGAAACCTGGCATTCAACCCAGCACTCCGGAGGCTAAGGTAGGAAGATCGCTGTGAGTTTCAGACCAGTCTGGTCTTCATGAGTTCAAAGCCAGCTGTACTATGTAGGGAGAACTTGTCACAAAAAAAAAAAAAAAAAAAAAAAAAAAAAAAAAAAAATGGAGGAGACACAGTTTTCTCTCACTTTTGTGGCTATAACGAGGAGGTGACCTCCAGCTCCAACTCACTCCTTACCCAACCGTGAACACTGCGTGCCCATTTCTGAGAGCACCTTAAGGGTTTACTTGGTTAGATGTAGTTAATTGTGTCTCTAGGGATTTGAAATGGATTCAGATTGGTCCTGAAAACTGGGTAGTGATGTGAATGAGGTACACTTGTGTTTTTATAAAACATCTTGTCAGAACTGGACGTGCAGTTTGTTCATCCTCTGGGCCTCAATTCTTGAAATTCTAACACCATTGAATGTTAACTAGCAAATGAGCTTCCCTTACTCTATGGTAAAAGCTTGATGAGTAAGAAGTAACTGGGGATCTTTTGGGGGTGAATATAAGGCAAGAAAATGCACAATCTCAGGTAGAGTCATAGTACTTAAAAACGTGGTGTAGGTGTTTGTTTTTGTGATGCTGGAGACTGAACCTAGGGCCTTCACACTCAGCTAGTCCCCAGCTGTTTTATTTTGAGACAGAGCTGGGCTTGAATTTGAAAGCCTCCTACCTTAGCCTCTCAGAGTGCTGAGATTTCAGGAGTGCACCATGCCCAGCTATCTTTGTTTTGTTTTGTTTTTAAGACAAACATTGAGAGATTTTTACATCCACATAGTTGTGATTCATTATCATTGCTATATAGTATTTCTGTGTGATTACAACACTGTATGCTTCTGTGATTCAAACTATTCCTTTGGCATTGTATGTCACAATCATACTAATCAAAAACAAATAAATAAAAAGCCAGGCATGGTAGTGCATACCTGTAATCCCAGCACTAGAGAGGCTGAGGCAGGAGGATCACTGAATGCAAGGCCAGTCTGGGCTGTCTAGTGAGTTCAAAGCCAGCCTGAACTACATAGCAACACCCTGTATCACAAAGACAGGAAAAAAAAAAAAGCCCAAGAAACAAAGTAAAAACCAAATGCTAATTTAAAACAAAACTATGCCTTTTGGATGGGAGGTCTCACTGTGCAGTTCAGGCTGGCCTTGAGCTTACTTTGTAGCCCAGGCTGGTCTCGAACTCGCAACAATCCTTCCACCACAGCCTCCCGAGTGCTGGGATTACAGGTGTGAGCCACCACACCCGGCTGGTTTCTAAATCTTTACAAATAGTGCTTTTATGAATGACCTCATATGTTTCTCTTGATGAACATGTTTGTATTATGTTTTTTTTTTAATTTTAAAGATAGTAAAATCCAATAGAACAACAACAAAGCTAGTCAAAACAAAGCAACAGAATTGCTATAGAACTTCAAAGCAGGATACTAGGTTGTTTGTATTATGTGCATAGCTGTGGAACTGCTAATCATAGGGTGGGTATATCTTATGCTTTAGAAGGTAAGAGTTTTCCAAAGTGGTTATGCTAATTTACACTTACTACCATATAATAGTTTGTATGTCTCTAATCCTCTCTACCATTTTAGCCGATCTGGAGTGTGTAGTAGTAATATGTTGTGATTATAATATCTATTCCCTTATGTCTGAAGTTATGTACAGCCTTGTGTATTTTTAGCCATTCAACTGTTCGCTTACTACTTGCTTGTCTTACCTGTTTTTCATGGAGTATAAGTAGAACATTTGTGTATCTCTCTTCTTCATGTTGTATCATGCAGTGGGACTTGCTCTCTGGCAGTGGAAGTATAATAGCACATTAAACAGTAGAAACAGGACTGCCACTGTTGTTGCTGCAACTTGAAGAATAGTTACCTCTCTAGCTCCATGGGACTCATTTGTTACCAAACTATGAAGATAAATTTCTTTGAGCTCCATCTTAGGTTCACCGTGTATCCATACTACCTTTCTGTTCTATTATATGTTACATACTCCATGTCTTTCTACATTTGTGTTCCTAGAAAATTGATTAATCAGAAGTATTTACCTTGCAAGGCGGTGCTCTTTGGGGTCAATGTATACTATTGCTCAGAACAATTTGCATTGTCAGGCAGGTCAAATTAAGAAATAGACCTCATTGGAGGAAGACATTTTAGAGGGCTAGGGTGAGCCAAAGGAAGTGTTCTGTCATCTGTCATAGTCTCACAGAGAGTCAGACCTGCAGTCTCTACTTATCCATCCGTGAATCTCCCTTTCTGTGCAGCACTGGTGAAGTTAGCATTAGGGAAAGCAACAATGGTGGGAAGAGGAGAGTAACAGACTGCTCAGTGCTGGGCAGTCTGGATTTGAGTTCAGAGTCCCAGTTGTATGAAAAAGCCAGCCAGAACCTCTGGTTCTGTGAAAAGTTACACCCACCCTTCCTGAGGAGGAAATGTGGTCCTATGGGAGCTGAGTTGGGCTGCAAACCCTCTTGCTAACTTGTCCAGGAGAAAGCTCTTGGGGTCTGTTTGGGACAGTTCTCATCACACCTCTACATAATCTGTGTACCTAATGTGTAAGGTTCCCTGAAGAGAGCTTCAACTGTAGCTACAAGTCTTAACACAGGACAGAATTTTCTCAGTTTTTAAAATCTGAATGAAATGCTGGGAACATTTAGATTAAGCAGAGATTATCTTGTGAAAAGAATAAATGTTTAGCCAGACATGATGGTCCATGGCTGTAATCTACTCAAGCCTGAGGCAGGAAGATGGTGAGTTTAAGACTGGCCTGAGCAATTTAGATATAGGAAATAGGGAGACAGATGTTTTTCCAATAGGAAGGTGAGGGAAAGGGGATGAAAAAATGGAATTAAAATGTGTTATGTACATATACCAGCTCCCCACAGGAATGCAAACTTGTTTTTATTATTTATTTATTTATGTATTTAAATGGGTACCAGGGATCGAACTCATGACTGCACGCTTGCAAAGCAGGCGCTTATGCCACTGAGCTAACTCCCCAGCCTGGAATACAAACTTGTACTAATAAAAAGCAAAAGAATAAATATCCTAGGAATTAAAACTCTACTTCAGATGTAATACTTGCCATGGAATCTCCAAAGATGAGTTTTTAAGTGAAAATTAGAGAGCCTAGATGTTTTTATAGTTTGTAGTAAAATACAAGATTTGATAGAGAAAGTTATTGTAAGTCACTCTTGAAGTTTTGCTCATATTTGCAGTTTCATCTAGGGTAGAACTATAAAGTTAATGTTAACAAATGCAAATGTATGTACCTGTGTTAATCATGTTTGCCTGAAGCTCAAAAGTTTTGGATTAGTTATATTAAAAAGTTGATCATTAAAGTTGTTAGGAAAAGACACTGTACAAGTGTTTAATAAATGACACTTCAATTTTTTGTTTTGGAAATGTTAGCAAGAAGGATCACTTTGTGCTCAACACTGCCTGAATAATCTGTTGCAAGGAGAATACTTTAGCCCTGTGGAGTTATCCTCAATTGCCCACCAGCTGGATGAGGAAGAAAGGATGAGAATGGCAGAAGGAGGCGTTACTAGTGAAGACTATCGCACGTTTTTACAGGTACAGATTTTAAACTCACTAAATTACATTTTTCAAAAATACATTGCTTAGAAAAAGATGAGCCATTCTTTGTTAATTTAAATATGCACACTAATGACAGTTTTTATCCTTTCCCCTCCCCCTCCTGCCACTACTCCTCAAAATGAACAGCAGCCTTCTGGAAATATGGATGACAGTGGCTTTTTCTCTATTCAAGTAAGTAATCACAAGCATGTAACAAATGCTATCCATGTCTGAGGCACTGTTTAAGCTCAGTTCATGGTGCTGTGGAATATCTTTCCATAGCCCGTTACAGTCATTGTAATGCTGTGACCTTCAGTCTTCCGACAGATTGTGTCTACAGAATATAGTACTGTATGCAAGAGTACTGAATTGTTACACAGACAAACATGAACATTAGGATGATGGAACTTTTGCTTTAGAGTAGGGCTTTTAAGTGCTAGGAATCTTAATTCTTCTATTGTTTTAAAAGTATTTATAAATTATTATTAGTAGTATTATTATTTTGCAGTCCTGGGGATCAAAGTAACTTGATTTTAATAAATCACAGTGTTTTAAGTGCAATACCTTCCATTAAAACAACCTAACAAGATTGGATCCCTTAGTTATAGTTGTACTTTTGATCTTTTTAAGAAATTTATAGCCGCTTCCCTCCCCCTCAGTGCCTCAAATCTCACCTAGGGTCTTCTGTGTGCTAGTGCTAGGGACACACTCTGATGCTGTGTACACTCAGCCTCTACAGCTTTCTTTTAATTCCATAGGAATTACTTATTTCCTGCAGTGCTGCGGATCCAACCTGGGATCTCATGCATGCTAGACAAGCATTCCACCACTGAACTGCACCCCAGCGTGTGGTGGTTTTATGTATGAGCTTGTAAGATTCTTCTATCTGTAGATGTCTCATTCTGACAGTGTGAGATGTGTCCAGAATTCTTTGAGAACTTAAAGGTCGTATTTCTGCAAGTATCTTTGCTTGTATTCTCCTTGTGCTACTGTCCTAGACGCACCAGCATTTCTGTCCAGTGCTTTACTGTGTCCCTGTTAGTGATTGGAGCTGCTGCAACTAGGCTAAGATCAGAAGTCATTTAGGCCAACAGTTGTCATTTGCTTTGCATGTGGCACCCTTGTTGGTTTAGTTCATGTTTACTAATTGTGTTGCATTCACTTTTTGTCCATCCTACTGCCTGGCTCACACGTTTCTTTATTGACTCCATGGAAGATAGTGAATTTTCAGAAATTTCCCTCTTTTTCCATTTGAAGTAACGTAGTTTGTATTTTGTTCTACAAATTACAAACCCATGACCACAGAAGTCTAAAATCTGTGAAACATTATCCCTTATTACTTTAATAGATGTGTTATTACCGACTTTGCAGGTAGTGAGTTGGATATAACTTCTAAAGCAGTGCCCATAGCAGCTATATTATCAGATGTATGTAGTGGATTTGTTTGTTGGTTGGTTGTTTTGAGACAGGGTCTTGCTGTGTGGTTCAGGCTGGCCTTGAGCTCACTATGTAGAGTAGGCTGGCCTCTTAATTCATGGCAATCCCTTTGTGTCAGCCTCTGGAGTGTTGGGATTACAGGTGTGCACCACCTACACCCTGCTATAGTGGACTAGTTTTAAGAACAGTGCCTGGCTGGGCTGGAAGGCACGCATTCCAGAGGCTGAGGTGGGAGGAAGGTGGGAGTTTGTAAATTTAAAGTCAATTTGGGCTGTGTAATAAGACCTTGCCTAAAAAAACTGAAGTGAAACAAAAGACCAGCACCTACTAGAAGGAATTCATATCGATTTTTGAGATACTAGGAATTGGCTAGGAATTGTATGGTTCTCTGGAACATCTAAACCTGGTATAAAAAACAGTCTTGAAATACATGTGTGTGTTTATGAATTTAATCACACTATGTAAACACACTTTTTCCCCTCTCCTACAGTACTGGGAATTGAGTCCTGGGCATACATCCCCAGCCATCTCACAGTCCTATTTTGGCCTCCAGAGTGCTAGAATTTATGGACTTACGTCACCATCCCTTCACAAATTTACATGTGAAGCATAATATTTGTACAACTAATGTTTCGATGCTACTCAAGTTTGGAGTTGATGGTTTATCTCATGAAAAGTTTTGTTGTTGTTGTTATTATTTTAAACAGGTTATAAGCAATGCCTTGAAAGTTTGGGGTTTGGAACTAATCCTGTTCAACAGTCCAGAGTATCAGCGACTCAGGATTGATCCTATGTAAGATTTTTTTCTCCTTCTTTTTCTGAATTTGATTTTTAAGGTTATAATTTCTTAATGAAGAAAAACACATTTTGAATTTGAAAGTGGGAATAGAACCAAAGGCCTCATACATGCTAGGCAAGCACTTTATCATGAAGATACCCCCCAGGACTTGGATGCTGCTGTTTTGCTGTATCCTGTTTCATTCTCATAGCCTTTTCTCTTTATCCCTTTGATGTCTGTGGGAATCTGTCTACCCTCTAAGTTTCCCAACACCCTGTCCTTGGTGTCACACACTGTCCTGAGCACTGCAAAGGGTGCCACTTTGGCATGGTATTACTGAGCTGCTGCAGAAGTCAGAGAGATGTATTGCTTTATTTAGAAAATCTGAGCTGAGCATGGCAGCACATTTCTATAATCCCCGAACTTGGGAGGCTGAGGCAGGAGAATCATTGCGAGTTCGAGACCAACCTGGGCTATAAAGCTAGTTTAAAGCCAGTCTGAACTACAGTGAGACCCTGTCTCAAAAAGACAAAAGAAAAAAAAGAAAAAGAAAATCAATGATAATGTGCCTATCAACCTATCCCAAATTGTTTTGATTTGTTTAATGCTTGCTAGTCAATAAATAAGAGTTTTTTAAAATTAGTTTATGTAAAAAGAATTTAGTTCATGTTTTCTTATGCAGAGTAGTGATGTTCGTTTTGTGGAATTGGTATAGGCATACAAGGTATTGTGGTTATTTTCAATCCCTAAATGAGAATTCTTAGTATTTTAGCTTAATACTGTGTACTTTTTTTCTTTTCTAGAAATGAAAAATCATTTATTTGCAATTATAAAGAACACTGGTTTACAGTTAGAAAATTAGGAAAACAGGTAATTTTTTTCTTCCCTCTTTTTTTCCTCATTCTGCCCTTTTTTGAAATTAAAACATAAGCAATGCTTGCCTTTGAAATGAAATTGACTGATAAATACTATGTGTGGCATGGAGTTCTTTTCATTGTTGTTATTGTTTTGTTTTTTGGTGGTACTGGAGATCAGACCAAGCACTACATGCCTACTAGGTGAGCATCCTGCCATTGAGCTACAGCCTCACATCCTCAGTCTGGATTCAGTCTTGCTGAATAGAAATTTGCCATTTATCATTTTAAGAGAAAATGTCTAACTAGATGCCCTGACACATGGCTGTAGTCCCAGCTACTTAGGCTATGGTGGGAGGATCTCAAGTTTAAGGCCAGTCTGGGCAATATAGCTAGACATTGTCTTTAAAACAAAGAGAGAGATAATGTCATATTCTTTTATATATTTGTAGCAACCATATACAGTTTGTATTCTAATAATCCCAGCACTCTGGAGACTGAGGCAGGGGGATCACATCGAGTTCAAGGCCATGCTGGGCTACATGGTGAGTTCAAGCCTAGCCTGAACTACATAGCTTGCTCAAAAGCAAAAACAAAAAATTCTGTAAATTCTTAGATGATGCAAATATGAAGACTCTTGAGTTTTTAATGTGATAAATATCAGTTAATTTATAGATTTATAGATTGTGTTTAGCACAGTACTGTCACAAGGCCTTAAATCATGTCAAGCATGAATAAACACATTCAACTATGTTGTTCATTTTAGTGTTTAACAAGATTATTGAAATGATTCCAAAATGTAATGTAGATACACTTATGTAGAATCATCTCTGTTAAAAATGAAATGTGTCTTTAGCAGACATTTTTAAGAAGCAGTCATTTAAAACCCTTTTTCTTAGAATCTTCACTCTTAGAGGATTATTGAAAACTAGTTTATAGAATAAACAAGAACTGTTGATAATATACAACAACATGGACATGTCTCAGAATAATTAAGCTGAAAGAAGCCTGATACAAAATGCTACACACTATATTGTACATTTATATAAAAGTCTAGAAAAATAGGAACTCACCTTTAGTGACAGAAGGCAAATTGACCAGTGATTGTGTGAGATGCAGAGGAAGAGGAATGAGAAGGGAGGACCCCAGCACTAGGAATGTGTTCTCTGTCTTGATTGTGTTGTTGCTTCCCCTGGGTGCACACAAATGTTAAAACTTTCAGACTGGGGCTGGAGATTTAGCTCAGTGGCATAAGCACCTGCCTTGCAAGCAGGCAGTCATGAGTTCGATCCCCGATACCGATAAAAAAGAAAAAGACAAAAAAAAAAAAAAACTTTCAGACTGTACTATTGGTAAATAGGTTCTACTTGTAGCATATCAATTATACCTGGATAAAACTGTTTAAAAATGAAATAAGTAAATAAAAAGAGAGCATAAAGCCAAGAAAGTACATTGCATTAAATTAATAGAAGATAATTATAAATAAAATCCTTGTTGTTACCTTTTAAGTCAGGTACCTGAATGAAGCCTCATTTTAAATGATTATTGCTGGGGGTAGATCAGTGGTAGAGCATATATAAGTGCAAAAGTACAAAGCCCTGGGTTCAACTCCTGCTGCGAAAGAACCAAAACCAAAACCTTAAGGTTCTTTCTGAGTTTCAGAGCAAGTTAAGAAGGTATAATATGTAGCTTAGACTAGAGACCAACCTCAGAGGGATTCAGCTAGGGAATAGCAGGGCAGGACACTGCTGAGTGTTTAACCTCTGGTTTTACTTTCAGAAGGGTATGATCCACTGTTGTTTCCTTTTTTATATAAGGTAATATGGAGTTTTAAGATCTGAAAACTTAGATTTCACAGGTTCCTTTGTGTTGATTTGTGGGTGAACTTACATGTTTTTGTTTTGAGACTTTGATATTTTAACTCTTCAAAATTGAATTTTTATGTTTTAACTAATTTTATCTTTGAAAAATACAGCAGATGTCAACTTTTGGTTTATTGTCTTTGGTTTTGACTTTTTTTCCTTAAAGTCACATTTTTTACTAGATATTTCTGTTTGTGGTCCCTGGGTAATGAAACAGTTTACTGTAAAAAAGTATTATCAGCAGTATCAAAATCCAGGAAAATAGTTTTTCATGATATTGATGATAACTTTTGAAACTTTTCGTATCTCATGGATTGTTAGGACTCTTTTGAGATTGTGACAGTGCTGTTAATTAAATACAATGGTGACTTAGTGATTTTGTTAGAATGAGGCAGTTATCATAAACTCTGGACTGTCTGTCATCCCACAATTGAAGTCTGTTGACCAAAATTATCAGTAGTGGGAAAACTATGTAGTTGTTATTTTTCCATATATCAGTATGACTAGTAATGGATTGGTGCTTTTAAAAAAGATTTAATTACATCTATCAAAAAATCCATTTTAAAGAGTAGGGCGTGATGGCACATACCTGTCATCCCAGCGGTCTGGGAGGTGGAGAGAGGAGGATTGCAAGTTTGAACCCAGCTCAGATAACTTAAATTAGCAAGACCTAGTCTTAGAAAAAGGTCTTGGGATGTAGCTCAGTATAAAGGCTCTAGGTTGAAGTTTATGTCTTAAAGGAAACTTTTGTTTTTAAAACAGCATTTAATAATGATAAATCAGCAATATTCTAATTTATTTTTTTAAAAATTACATTTTTAAGTTACTTTTTAAAAAGCTCAGTTTGAGAACCAGAAAGATGAGGAAGGATAATTGCAAGTTTGAAGCCAGCCTAGTCTCCATAAGGAAACCCTGTCTCAAAAAAAAAAGAAAGGAAGAAAGAGAAAATCTGTTGCCATATTCCCAATTGTTTTAGGCCATTTTACTAAGTTTTGATGGACTATATCTATTCTTGATATGTGAAACTTTTATGTTACATATATTGTACACTAATTTAAATATTGACAATTTTTTTTCCAGTGGTTTAACTTGAATTCTCTCTTGACGGGTCCAGAATTAATATCAGATACATACCTTGCACTTTTCTTGGCTCAATTACAACAGGAAGGTAAATAAAGACTGAAAATGTTGTAATGTTATCTTTCCAAGTAGCTAAATAAAACTGGGTCTTTAAATCAAGTATGATGGCACGTGCTGTAATCTCAGTACTCTGGGTGGTAGAAGCAGAAGGATCAGAAGTTTGAGACCAGTCAACAAAATACTGGGTCATTAGATGTGAGTGTGTCAGTGATGTTAACCTGGCAGTGCAGAAGAATCATCACTGCATTTTAGATGGTGAATTTAGGACTGCGATTTGGATGATGGTGTTCAGTGCTAGTTCTCCCTGATACTTGGACATCTGCAGCCCTTCTAAATATTAGCCGTTTCTTCCATATCCCACATACACAGGGCAGAGAGGAGGGTTCTACTCTTGTTCCTTGTGGTACCTTCTAGGATACTTCTTCCCTATGATCTCTGTCTCCCTTGAAATACATGCCCTTGCCATTTTGCAGTCATCTGTGTGCCTCGTCCTTTTTCTTTAGAGCTTTTAGGACCTTGATCATGTTCTCTCTCTCTCCTTTAGTTTCTTATATCACTTTTAATGATTTCTGTATCAATAATCCAATACTTTCTTTCAAAGGTCATTTTCTTTGCTCTTGCTATACTGTACCAATAGCCAAAACCACCTTCCATCCCAAATTTAAATATTTTGTGCACTGGGTGTGGTGGCACATGCTTGTAATCCTAGCACCTGAGAGGCTAAGGCAAGATCATTGCAAGTTCGAGACCAGCCTGGGCTACAAAGTAAGCTCAAGGCCCACCCGAACCACATAGTGACTCTATTTCAAAAAGACAAAAATGATTTTTTTGTTGACTACTACCTCCCATCTTCACTCTGTGTTTTCTGTTTCTGCTATTTTTAACAATTCATCTTCTACCATGGCCCCAAATACTCCCCTTATACCTTTGCTTTTTTTTTTAAACTGTACTTAATTCCTATAACCCATCATTATCATCACTCTGAGGTATCCTTCAACTTCTTTCCTTTTCTTCCCTCTCTATCATATGTTTTGTTTCTGTCTTTGTCTCTCTTGCTGTCTGTCTCTCTGTCTCTGCCTGTCTGTCTCTCTGTCTCTGTCTCTCTCTCTCTCTCCCTCCCTCCCTCTCTCTGTCTCTCTGTCTGTCTCTCTCACTCAGGGCCTCCCAAATACTAGACAGTTACTCTACCACTGAGCTGCATCCCAGCCCCCAGCCCTCTTCCATCATGCTTTAGTGACAAAAATTTGTACCCTAATTTAAAGTCAGAGGTTGGCCTTGGTCATTCCTGTACCAGAGCGGCACAACATAGCTTAAAAATGGCATAAAATATACGGATTCGTTTTACTTTAAATTTGTTACTATAAATTCCAAGTGAAATTTACAGCTCTCCACACCTTTGGCCTCTTCTTTCTCCCCTTTTAACACCTTGCTTATGGTCTTCCTTTATATTCTATTGTAACATAGAAACAAAAGAAAAAACTTCTATCTTTCTGCCAGAAAATCTTTCAACTTGCTTGTATCTGTACTTGCACTTTGAGCCTATTAAAGTAGGTAGACCTTCCCCTGCATCTAACCAAGGTAGTTCCTCTGTGTGTGGGTTGGATTCCAGCTCCTCTCACCTACTTAAGATGTTCCTACGTCAGTCTTTCCATTCTTCTGGGTGATGCACTTCTCTCTTTTTAAAATTCCTATCAGTGGAGAAATAAAATCTTTACCTCCAAAGATTAAAAAGAAAAGGCCTCGCAACTCCTTAGAATTCTAACTGCCTTCCCATTTCAAATTTACTTCTGAGAAGACTGCTAGTGTGCAGTGCCCTGCCCCATGCCCAGTTCTTGGGATTAAATCCAGGGAGCACTGGACTGTATCCCAGCCCTTCTTAAATATTTTTTCTGAAACAAGTTCTTACACAGTTGGCCCAATCGTCCTACGTCAGCCTCTTAAGTTACTAGGATTACAGGTATGCAGCACCACACCTGCCTGTCTTTCGTTCCTGAACTCATTCCAATCACAGAACAAAATGAAGGTGCTTTTAAAAATTTCAGATAAATACAGAAGAAAAGAAATAATGTAAGGACCTCTGCCCTATACACCCTTCACGAAGTATTAACAATTGTCTCATGGTTTGTCATCTTTTATGTACTTTGCCCACTTCCTTCTGCTTATTTTGAAGCAAATACTAGACATCATTTTCTGTATTTTCTTACTAAAAATCTTTAAAAGCAGCCTTAAAAAAACCTGATTATACCTGACAATGCTATAATCACATCTAAAAATTTTTAAATTTTTAATCATGGTGCATTTATTTATTTATTGATTTAGCCATGGTGGTTTCAGTAACATCAAATTCCCAGTCAGTGTTCAAATCTCAAGTATCCCTGCTTGTCTCTTAGAATTTGTGCATTGCAACATGGGTTGATACAAGGTTCAGTGATTGCACTGAATTTGTATGTTTTCTAAGTCTAACTGGAGACCTTCTGCTTCTCTGTATTTTTTCCTTTGTTTACTGGGCAGAGAAAATGGTTCATTTGTCCTGTTTCCCACACTCTTTGTCTTCATTGAGCCCATTGTTTTGAGATCTCTGAGTCCTCTAAAGAAGACTGGTTCTGAGATCTAAGTGCTTGATCAGATTCAGGTTGAATTTATGGGGAGGATTGAAGATTTTACAGATCATGTGGTACTTGATATGTGGTTGTCTTTTTCTGATGTTAGCTTTTTTTTTTTTTTTTTGAAATAGGGTCTTGCTATATAGTTTAGGCTGATCTCAAACTCACAATAACCATCCTGCCTCAGCCTCCCAAGTGCTGGGATTACAGAGATGCAGCACAGTACCTGGCTTTGATCTTAGTTTATAATGATCAACCCCTAGATCTCTTTATTTCTTTAAAGCTTACCAAATAATGATATTAGAATCTTGTCATTCATTCATTAGCCAGAACACTTCTGTACAAATAAACTCTCTTGTTAGGTGCTTGGTTACCCTGAAGTAATGGCTTGTGTAGAAAAACCAGGATAAATGTTTCTTTTCCTTTATTTCTGTGTATGTGTGTTCTGAAGTTTGAACCTAGGGCCTCACACATGCTAAGCATGCTCTCTACCCCTGAGTTAAATTCCAGTTCCCTTTATCAGTTTTTAAAATTAGTTTTACAAATCCTATAAAAGAGACCAAGTAGTATCTTTCTTTTGTTTAAAACATTATTGTTAAAAAGTCAGTTAAAGCATACTTCTATGTGTTTCAGCCCACTGTGCTTATTCATATTAGTACTCAAATTGTGTCATCGTGGACTGTGGGACTATTTTGAATTTAACCCCAAGTATCTGACATGCCACCCAGCCTTTCAAAGGCTTGTAAGGAGATGTTTTAGGCCTATTTGTGTATTTCCTGTACTGGCCTTGTTTGCTCATTTCCGTAAGGATACCTGGTTACTTTTAATAACAGTGTTTAGAGATCACAGCTAGCATCAACACTAACATGCTTATTGTTATGGATTGACCATAGTGTCATTATATCCAATTTGCATGTATGATTATAGTGTTTTTACTTTGTTTTTTTATACTTTTGTCTATACCTAAAACTTCAGTTCTTAACTATATTCCTTTCTTGAAACACCACCTTTTTTTGGCTTCTATGCTGTACTTTTTCTCATACTTTATTTGCTGCTTCTTTCAGATTCCTTTTGTGGGTATTTTTTTTTTTTTTCAGTCTTTGTTGAAGTGACCTAGAGGTTAGTTCTTGGACAGCTCCTTAATTATGTACCATCCCACCAGTTTGAATGTTACCTTGAACTAAATCTATACATTAATAATTCCCAAACTTTATGTTTGCTCAGACATTTATCCTGACACCAGATTCCTATATATTTATTTTGTTTTTTTGACACAGGGTCTCATTATACAGTTCAGACTGACCTTGGACTCATTACATAGCCTAGGTTGTCTTTGAAGTCATGGCAATCCTCCTTCCTCAGCCTCCCAAGAGCTGGGATTACTGGTGTGTGCCACAGTGCCTCATTCTAATTCCTGACTTCAACATCTTCACTTGAAAGTCCAGAAAGACTTGTTTTGTTGGCCTGTGAATACATACTGTCTCAGATTTTCCATTTCAGTAAGGATCACTCATGCTGCACTGTGGTTCCTGTATACGAGTGATGCCAAATGTTTCAGAGCTGTCAGTGACAACAAACAGCCAGCTGTGGCACAGGAGCCATAGTTGTGCCACCACTGCTGTGTATTGATAAAGCAGCCAGATTACTTTTGGTAAAACATATATTGAACATTATGTCACACTCTGAGGCTTTACCAATCAGTGACTTCCCAGCATTCTTTAATAAAGAAGTATTGATGAAAACCTGGGACCTCTAGTGTGTTACCTGAGCCAGGCAGAGTATCCATTCTTTGATGGGCTGCATAGAATACTGTGGTGAGCTGACATACTTATTTGGGGATCTAGAAATAACTTTACAGGGAGAAAACATGTTAAATATCTGAACTCCTGAGTATACTTTGTCCTTTTAAAAAAATTAAATGTATTCTTTTGCGTTTTTCCATGAATGGTCCTTTTGATCTGTTTGGTTATCTTTAATAACAAAAGATACCCAATAACAGTCACCAAAGTTTAGAAAAAATTTGTGTTAGAAAAACTTTAATCTAGGTATAATATCCAGCTACAAGTACTCTGTCTTTCTTAGTTCATATTTATAAAAATAAGCTGGACTAACGAAATTGTTTAAAACGTGAGCCCGTGTGTTGGATAATCTGTCTAGATTTTGGATATTGGCTTCCCAGCTCGTGTTTCAGTGAGACTAGGGTCTGTTTGCAGCTGTTTCCATAGGTGATTCATTTTACCCATATGACACACAACAGCTGGCTCTGCTCACGTCAAGCCTATGAGGAAGGTTCCATTATTTGTCCAACAATTAAAGAAACCAAGACTGATGTCTTAAACAGTTGATAGACTCCATGCAGCACCTGTCACTGTTTCTCATGGTGGCTCAGTGATTCAGCTATTCCAGGCTTACAGGTGGGGAAAGTAAGGCTCTGAGACTTTCAGAATTGGTTTGAGGTCCCCATACTAGTGTATGTAAGAATCATCATTTGGGGTTGGGCATGGCATACGTGCCTGTAATCCTGGCACTTAGAGGACTGAGGGAGGATTGCCACAAGTTCAAGGCTAGCCTGAATCACATGGTGAAACCATATCTCACAGAAACAAACAACAAAAGAATCATCATATAAACTAAGTTCTTTTTGAATCTTCAGTTAACATTTTTTTGCTTGCTATGCTAGGCAGCTTCTCATTCTCATTCATATTTTCTGTTTCATACTTGCTCTCTGGTTCAGTACATTATGTGGATAAAGAAGCCAGAATGTTTTTTGCTACCACTTTTAACCAGTTTTGTCTGTCTGCTATCATTTTAAATCAGTTTTGAATCTCTTACTAGTTGCTTTAGTTTATGTTTGCCTTTTTTAGGTTATTCTATATTTGTTGTTAAGGGTGATCTGCCAGATTGTGAAGCTGACCAACTTCTCCAGATGATCAGGGTCCAACAGATGCATCGACCAAAACTCATTGGAGAAGAGTTAGCACAACTGAAAGAGCAGAGGTAAAAATAAAGCCTGAAATGTGGAATACATGATAATATTTCATTGCAAGAAGTACATTTTTATGCTTACATTGAACATGCAGTCCTTTTAATGTTGGTGATTCTTTTTAAACCTTATCTTTTATTTATTTAATTTGATTTTTTGTGGTACTGTAGATAAAACTCAGGACCTTGAATATGTGCTCTCCTACTGAACTATACTCCTAGTTTCTTGATTTTTCTCCTCTTTTGTTTTTTAATTTTTTCTCCTCTTTTTTAGTACTGGGGGTCAAATCCTGGGTACTCTGCCACCAAGCTTCATCCCAGACCTTTTTATTTTTTATTTTGAGATACACTCTCTCAAATTACTCTAGGTGGCCTTAAACTTGATTAACAGCTCCTGCCTTAGCCTGTCAAGGAGATGAGTCTACACACACGTCTGCACCCAGCTAGGCTTTATGGTTTTTTTGAGCTATTTTGAATTATGTCTCTGTAAACTGGATGTGGTGGTGCACTTCTGTAATCCCAGCATTTGGAGTCAGGAGGATTGCCATGATTTCAAGGGCAGCGTGGGCTACATAGTGAGTTCAAAGCCAGCCTGAACCATATAGTGAGACCACATCTCAAAAAACCATAACACCTCTCTGAATTACTTAACTATATTAACCTAGATTTATGTAACATGGTCTTGTCTTTTCTTTCTTTCTTTTTTTTCTTGTTTTTTGAAACAGGGCCTCACTATGTAGTTCAGGTTGGCCTTGAACTTACTGTGTAGTTCAAGCTGACCTCAAATTTTCATCAGTCCACTTGCCTCAGCCTACAGAGTGCTGGGATTATGGCTGTATGCCACTATACCTGGCTGATAATATAATCCTTATAGTTCTAACCCTATCTGCCAAAAGCATGTTTTTAAATTTACTTAAAATCTTTACAGTACAAGCTGGTTGTGGTGAGGCACTCCTGTAATCTCCACACTCAGGAAACTGAGGCAGGAAGATCACTGCTAGTTTGACACCAGCCTGTGCTACATAGTGAGTTCAAGGCCAACCTGAACTACCTAGCAAGACCCTTTCTCAGAAAAATCCTTTAGTGTACAAATGCTTTTTTGCTATGTCTAAAATTGAAGACTGGGCTGTTGTTAATATGGTTGTTTTTATTCTTTAGAGTCCTTAAAACAGACCTGGAACAAGTCTTAGAAGGAAATGATGGGTCAGGAATGTTAGATGAAGATGAAGAGGATTTGCAGAGGGCACTGGCACTAAGTCGGCAGCAGATTGACATGGAAGATGAAGAAGCAGATCTTCGCAGGGCTATTCAGCTCAGTATGCAAGGTACACACATTGTGATGGGTACTTTATTCATTTTTGATGAGTTGATTCAAATTACTCTTCATTTCTGTAGAAGAGTATTAATAGAAACTTTGACAATTACTGCAGAAGCAGTAGCTATGTACAGTCAGTCTTGTAACACACATAACTATAACAACCTGTATTAGAACTTTTATGCTCAGCTAATATATGTTTATTTCTCTTTATTCTATTTGGTTACAATATTCTACTAACACTATAAGTTGAGGTTAGTCTCTGTGGAACTCAAATGGACCCTTACCTAAACCAGCTATTTTATAAATGAATGCCATTGGACATAGACAGAATATAAATTGATGTGACAAAAACTCATCACCTTTTGGCTGTGAAACTTGATTGTAATCCTAAATATTGAATGTGCTACTCCAAATATTGTAATTTCTTTCTCTGTCTTTCTCACAATGCAAAAGGTTATTTTGTAATCGCATTGAGAGGTTACTGGAGTAAAGACACCAACATATTTTCAAAGTTAAGAGTAGCCAGGGGTCCTAAGTCCAATCCCCCTGAGGATGTACAGACAAAGGCCCTGATCCAAGGCCTCTCCCAGCATTTATTAGGAGGGGGTGGCTCAAGGATGAGTGACAGTGAGGATGGCAGGAACTATGTGAGTAACCTGAGCTGGCTGGCCAGGCAGGGAGAATGACATGCAGAGGGATCAGTCTGTGTAGTTTTATTAAGGTAGCAATTGCTTCCGTTTCTGATATGTAAACATTTGTGCCCTGGAGACTCATAGCCTCTTTATCTTTAGGCTTGCACCTAGTTAACACTCCTGGAGCTGACTGGCTCTACCATCCTGCTGTGCTCATATCTTACAGAGAGCACTATGTGAGGAAACAGGAGTCTGTCTGATGGCTTTAGAGATTACATACCAAGTACCTGGCCAGCCTTATTTGCAATGCTTACAGCCAATTGAAGACAGAAGGAAATAGCATGGCTCTGTATTTATCAGTGTAGGGAAATAAGTCTCAATATAACCTAAGTTGCAGCAGTTGTTCTACATTGAAGGGGAGTCACTCAGATTGTCTCCTACAAAACTCAAGGCTTAAGCCTTCTCTGGGTGGCCCCATCTGTTGTGCACTATAAATCCACCAGTACAGAAGAGCGACAGTATATTCCTGAAGATTGTAGGCAAGGGACAAATGTTGACACATAACTCAAAGTGGCTTATGTAAAAGTGTAAAATGGTTTGTGTAGTTTTTATTCATATGAATTTGCTTCTACTCAACTAGTAAACTTACATATATGAATTTATTAATGTCTAAATACACTTTAGATTCTATTAATAAGAAAATTATTGGGCTAGGGATTTAGCTCAGCGGCATAAGTGCCTGCCTTGCAAGCAGGCAGTCGTGAGTTCGATCCCTGGTACCGATAAAAAAGGAAAAAGACAAAAAAAAAAAAAAGAAAGAAAATTATTTTTATCCTGAACACCTTGTGCCACCAGGTACACTTGAATACTCCATATGGTGTGCAGTCCTGCTTTTGATTAGTAGGGCTCTGTTAGATTTGCCCAGAAATGGATAGAAACCAGCTGTTTAAATCTTAGATATTTTTATATAATGCAGTTTTCTTACTGTGTTATTTCACAATTTATGTAGAATTTCTGGTTAGTAAAATTACCAGTAAGAATAGGGAAACATTTCAATTGTCAGAGTACCCAGGTACCAAGAATAAAGGAATATAGAAAATGGATTTGTTTTATCATCATCTACCCCTTATGCTGCTTCAAGGAATACTGTGGCTCTGAAAGTACTGGCTATTTTTAATGTTAAAGAGCGCACACAACTGTGGTGTTAAATACTGCTCTTACCAGGTTGGTTGTTGGACTTAAATTCTGACAGCTGCTACATCACAGATGGGCATCAGCTTTGGCTGTAGTAGACATGTAGTAGATTTCAAATTACTGTCTGAGATTTCCCCTGAGACTTAATAGTTACAGAATAATAGCCGAATATTTTAAAGAAGAAAACATTTTGAAAGCTTGCTCAAATAAGACTATATCATTGCTAGAATAGCAATGATAAAATAGTTGGGTTTTGTTATATTATTTTCAGGGGGTTCCAGAAATATATCTCAAGATGTTGCACAGACATCAGGCACAGATCTTACATTTGAAGAGCTGCGAAGGAGAAGAGAAGCCTACTTTGAAAAGTAAAGGAGTTGGTACAAATTAAAGTTGCATGTTTAGTATTTGCCTTGCTATTTTTCCTATTTATAAATGATTGGTTGCTACTTGAACTCTGAACATTTGAATATATTTTTAAAGTTTTTACAGCAAGTATGAAATGAATATACTGTAGTTTTAGGGAAAAACCTTGCCTTGATAATGAATAAATTTACTTGAAATAGGATGAAGGAAACTATAAAATTTTGTTTATCAGAAGGAAAATGGAATAAGGGTAACAGAGGAATAAGGCCTATTGATCACTTGCATAAGCTTATTGGCTGACTAACCCTATACTGTTCCTCTATTAGTTAATAGGAAAAACAGCATTTTTGCTTGGGGGACACATTCCCAAAAAGAGGTGGTGGTTCACGGTCCTGTTCATTGCTACTTTAGTGAGGGCCTGCAGACCTGTCAGCTTTGAGCATGGAAGCAAACCATAAATCTGAATCAGCAATTCCTAAAACCATATTGTGCCCAGCTGTGTAAGTGCTTACGAAGATTTCCAACTTCTGAATGAGTCTTCCTTTCCTGTAACTATTACTCACAAGTCTTCTTTCCTTCTTTTTTAAAGAACAATAAAACACTTTAAAAAAATTACAAGATCTATAATCGATATTAGATCTTCTGATGGCAGGTCAAAAGTGAAAGGCCAGTGGCTGAATCTGCCTTGTAATTTACTGTATTTCATCAACTTAAAGATACATCTAGGGGCTGGGGATGTAGTTCAGTGGCATAAGTGCTGGCCTTCCAAGCATGCAGTTATGACAGTTGTGAGTTCAATCCCTGGTACCAAAAAAAAAAAAAAAAAAAATACATCTATTTTCACATGTCAGTATCCCTGAAATTGGATGACATCATGTGATTATAATTGCCAGTATTTTAGTGCTGTCAAAAATATTGGATCATTTTATATCTGATGGTATAATGAACATGTGATTTTTTTTCTTTTTTTCTGTGTTTTTTAAAGCACAACTCAGCTATACAAAGGGAAGTTCACATGAAATGACACCTACTTTTCTGGGCATGTGTGTTTTTGTTTTTTGTTTATCGAGACAGGGTCTCACTATGTTGACATCCTCTTGATATGAGATATTTCCAGTCTTTATTCAATGAAAGATTAATGAATTTAATGATAGTTAAAATAGTGCTTATTAGTACTTTTTAAATTTTAAAATTAACTTTTAAATTTTTAATTAGTATAAATTAGTGTACAAATTTAGAGAAACTAACATAGTGAGCCCCTTTTTATTTGTTACTCAGATTGAATATGTGTCAGCATATGGCCAATCTCACTTTTTATGTTTCCAACTCCCATTCTTTCAGTTTGCCCATGTCCAAGCTTGGATCATTTGTAACAATCAAGATTATCATTTTATTTAATTAATAACTGTTCTAGCAAGTGTCTCCAAAATGCGTGTATGTTAAATATCACCAAATACTTCTGCCATACAATAATAGAGACAATTCATTAACAGTTCTGCATCAAGTATATAGCTAGTGTTAAAAATAACTTAAAAACTACTTAAGTAGATAAACTAATATTCTAGAAAATGTATTTTTTGATGAATTCCATAGCTTTTAAAAAAATCACAAATATACTTCTATCTAATGTCCTTCACTAACTGGTACTAGTATTTGGGCATATTCTCGTTACACAGGCACACAATTAGTATAGATTAGTTAGATTAGTTACACTTATTTTCTCTTGATGAGAAATAGTCTTTATAATAGGCTGCTTGAGACTTCATAAAGTCCATGGATTAGCATGACATATGTAAACTTTTTTGATTTTTGCGGTTGTGATCCGCAGTGAACAGCCCTCATCCTGACTCCATGCTGTATGTCTCTCATCATTCCTTTTAACTATTTTGAAGATGTCTAATACAGCATATAATCAATCTTTTTATTTTTCATCTTTTAGCTTTTTGAGACGGTGTCTTGCTATGTAGTTCAGGCTAGCCTTGAATTCACTGTGTAGCCCAGGCTGGCCTCAAACTCTCAGCATTCCTCCTGTCTCAGCCTCCTGAGTGCTAGGACTTAGTGGTGTGTGCCATTGTGCCTAGCAATGAATATAATCATTCTTAAGGGCTAAATGCAGATTTCTAAATTGTTTTTCCAAATATTTTTATCAAGCTTGAGACATTTTTTTGACCAGAACAAAATGGCCCAAACAGACATATTTGTAGAGAAACTACAAAATTCACATATATACCTAAGGAAAGGAAACCTCTGAAGATGTGAAGTATAAAGTCTAACCCTTTGTATTTAAAAATATTTTTTAGTTTTTTATTTTAAAAATACGAAATTTCCAGCATATTTTAGCTTTCAATAATAGTAAATATAATTTCATTAGCTATAATAAGTTATAACAAGCACACTTAGAAAACAGTTAACTAATATGTTTTAATAAACATATTTCAGTCAGCATTGCACCCTTTTAAAATGTTTGCATAGTGGTATGTTCCTTTCCTTGTTGGATGATTGATTGTGAATTGAACACTGCTTCAGCCTCTGCCTCCTGGTTTGACCTTGAAAATACTGATGAGAACACGGAACAAGCGAATATTTTATATAGTCACATTACTGAGAAGGGTTAAGAACTAACTTATTGGTGTTTGTTTTTAGCATTGGCTCACATTTAAAACGTTAGAGGTCATTTATAGAACAGCTGAGAGACTCTTACTTGCCTTTCAGTAAAATTCTTGACTCGTTACCTAAATGTCTTTCTAGTTTCTGTCCTTGAGCCACTGGCTCTGAATTGTCAAGCTGACTTTTGCTCATACCTACAGAAACTGCTCATGATATTAATTTGTTATTCATAGAGTTTTATTGGTTTTTTCCCTCCCATTGAATGAATATTTAAAGCTTCATAGTTAGTGTAGTAACTACAATATGCATACATAAATCATCACATTGTAGGATTTCTGCTTTTGTAAAAAGTACTGTTAAAAATCTACCTATTATAAATTCATAATCCATGAAGAAGTTATTACATACTATTTTCACAAGTGTGACTTTTTTTGCAGCAGTAATCTTTAGATCTGTTTTTTCTGTGATAAAATGTCAAGCAAAACTACTACCTCATCCACGTCACTGTAAAACGTTCTTTAACTCATGTGTTATGAGCATCAAATTAAGCAATGGACATAAACTATTTTGTAAGCAGGGCATGGAAGCACACGCCTGTAATCCAAGCACTTGGGAGGTGAAGGCAGAAAGATGGCTTTGTGTGCAGAACCATCATGGGCTACATAGTGATTGGAAGGCCAGCCTGAACTACATCTAACCCAAGACCTATCTCACACCAAAAAAAATTTTTAAAAAGATTAGCTTTTTCAGTTTTCATAAATTAAAAGTAGAACAACTCCATGAACATGTAGTTATTTTCTACCAGATAACAAGAATACAAAGTGAAAAGTAGACTGAATGTAATCCCTCTGAAATTGTCATTTACCTCAGTCTTACACTGTGGCAGGTATTCTTGCATGCCAGCTGCTGCCAGTACACAGTGTATCTTCCTTCCTCCTACCATATTTCTGGAGTCAGGGTTCACTAGAAAGAGCACCCTCTTATGTTGTCCATGTATGCACCTTTGACTATTCACTTCGTGTCTTACACTTATGCTATGTCAGGCTGGGGATTTAGCTCAGCGGCATAAGTGCCCGCCTTGCAAGCTCATGGTCATGAGTTCGATCCCCGGTACTGATAAAAAAAAAAAAAAAAAAAAAACAAAAAACACTTATGCTATGTCAACATTCTGGCTTAAGCCAGCGAGGGACGTTGTTATTCCCACTGGTGAATGTTTTTGTCAGTTGCTCACTTTTAAAATTCAAGATTGAGAGGGACTCTGGGGTAAAAAAGTACTATAGTATTAATAGTGTTGCAGGTAGTTGAAAAGGTTGAGTTGCTTTTAAAGCCTTACATACACTGGTTAAGATTGGCTTCTCAGATCATTAGCTGTGTGTAAGGTTTTTTTAGTATTCTGTATTTATATAGTATATAAAATAATACATGTTTTACCTTACATGAAAACAGAAGTAGTACATAGAGTTCCTTATACCCTTTGGTGCCCTTTACCCATTAGTTGGAAACATTTCTGAATCATTTGGTAATAACTTGAATTATTTCTTACTGTATCACAGTACTTCATTGTATGTGTATCTTTCCTGTCCTTTCTGCGCCTTTCTGATCTTTGCTTTATTTTGCATTTCCCCCAGTACTAGTGATTGAACTCAGGGCCTCTCACATGCTTGCCAGATGCTCTAGTGCTGAGCTGTCTCCCTTATCCCTTTTTTTAAAAGTTTTATTTTAAGGCAGACCTCACTAAGTGGTCCAGACTTGCTTAGAGCCTGCCTCAGTCTCCTAAGTAGTTGCAGTTAGAGTTGTGTACTACCATACCCAGCTCACAGTGTATATTTTCTAAGTGCAAAGATATACTCCTGCATGGTTGTTTATTTGTTGAAAGGAGATCTTACTAGGTAGCCCACTTTGGTTTCCAATTCCTATACTTAAGCAGTGCTTCTCCATTAGCCTCCCAAGTACCTGGGACTACAGGCATATGCCATTATACGTAGCTCCATTCCTCCATTTTTACATGATGACTACTTAGCACTTTGGTACTATTAATATTTTATAAAGTAGGTAGTAGTGACCCAGGCCTGTAATTCCAGCACTTGGAAGGCTGAGGCAGAAGAACTGCTTTGAGTTCAAGGCTAGACTACAAAGTGAGAGCAATTTTCAAAAAATATTATGTTTTTTTATTTTTAATTATCATACTAATCATACTATTTTATGGTGTTTATGCCAGTGAGTATTTGTGTTTGTGATACAGTTTATTTTCTATGAGAATAGATGTTCCTGTGGCGTATTTATGCTGAAGTTTTGTTTCTCTAGTGTCCACTTACTTTTGACTCTTTCAGGCAGCAGCGGGCAGATCCATCAGGACAGGCTTCACAGCCACATGAAAGGCCAACCACGAGTTCAGGAGCACTTGGGAATGATCTAGGTACAGCTCTGTGAGCATGTCATGTTTCTTGCATGGACACACAGGCTTCATGTGATATTTTACATTTTTCTTTGCTCTTTAATCCTATTAAAACTTTTGGATGAGTTTATAAACTATTAAATTTCCTTTGAAAAAGGAGCAGGCAAGCAGGAACACAGAATGAATATTTAGTTATAAAATTATAAATACAGTGTTTGCAACTTGAGAATAATACATTCTCCAACAATTCTTGAGATAATATTAGTAGATCAAAAATAAATACATTTTACCACCTGGAAAGCTAAAACTTCTTGAGTATAATAAAATAAAGAGAAATACAGAGTTGCTCACCAAGCCTTGATTTAATAGATCTTAAACTCTGGCTGAGTATTGCCGGTACAATTCTATTGAAAGACAAATTATATCTGACATAGGATTTACAAGTAGAACTCTGTAAAGAATTCTCAAAACTGTCTTGTAAGTGAAAGATATGAAAAAGGAGTTCACCAAATAAGAGAAGGATGAGCCAGGCATGGTGATGCATGCTTGTAGTCCAAGTACCTTGAAGGCTGAGACAGAAGAATCCTTAAGTTCTAGGCTGGCCTGGAGTATGTAGCAAGTTCAAGGCTGGTCTGGAGAGTGAGACCCTGTTTCCAAAGGAGAAAAGAATAGATATAGGAATATATTAGCTAGTGTTTACTCGAGAGACAGATTTAATGTAAGGTATACACATACATGTAAGAATTTACAAGATTGACTTACAGTGGCCACCGCTAGAGTCAGTAAGCCAATAATCAAAGTTTAAAACTTAGTGAATAGTCTCAGTAGCGAAATGGAAAAGCTGTGACAGTACAAAAGGTCTGTCTGTGCACTGGAGATCTAGAGAATCCAGACCAGGCCTGGAGCTCAGTGTTGTGTCCTGTGGGAGTCTGTATCAGGAGGCCGCAGGCTACATGGTCGAGGCTGGGGAGTCTGTGCTGGAAGTCAGGAGACAGTGTCCAAGGACAAGGAGAAGACTGGAGTTCCAGTGAAGACACAGAATTGAGCTTGCTTCTTTATTTTCCGTCAAACCACCCAGGTAATAAGCTGCCCTAGGGTGGCATCAGTAAATCCCATCAGCTACACCCAGAACTATGCTGACCCAATTAGTTGGGCATTTCTTACTCAAATTGACACAGTCAATTAACTGTCACAAGGAATGACAAATAAGGAGATGAAAAGATGCTCAACGTCACTAGTCATTAAGGAAATTACATTAAAACCATAGTGGGTTACCACTACACTTCTATAAGAATGGCTTCATGAAAACATAAACACTGCCACACATTGGCAAAGATCAGAGGAACCGGAACTCAGACACTAATGGGAATGTAAAGTGGTACAGCGACTTTGGAAAACAGTTCGGCCTTCTTTTATAAACTTATCTGTATAGGGGTGGGGATATAGCTCAGTAGCACAGCACCTGCCAGGCAAGCGCAAGGTTGTGAGTTCAATTCCTATATACACTTCAGCATGGCAGGAGACCCACTCTGGGTATATAACCAAGAGAAACAGAAAACTTAGATTAATACAAAAACGTAAGTGCTTCTAGCACTTATGCCTGAAACTGGAAACTGCCTACATGTTGCCTATCATTTGTTGAGTAGATACACAAACTATGGTACTATATCAAAGCAGTAGAATATTAAAAGGAATAAAGTAGTACTTTTTTCTGTTCATCCCTGAAGTGCAGTCAAAAACCCTATTTGAAAATAAGCATAATCATCTCAAAGGTAAAGAGAAGATAGATTGGCCAAGGACCTCAGGCCAGAGGAGTGACATGGCAGTGAGTGGCCTGGATTTTCTTTTTTCCCCTGTATTTCTTAGTCTTGACTCTGAAGAATCCACAGATGCAGATCAAGAGAAAAATCATTACAGAAATGGTTGCAGGGAGTCGGAGAACTTGTGTATAGGCAAACGGGGTTGCCTCACAAGAAGGAGACTTGAACGTAATGAACACTTGTCTGTGGTCATACCACCCTTAATGTACCTGATCTCTAAAATAATGAGCACTGTAGTCCAGTCAGAAACCATAGAATAAACTGCCCCCACCAGCAGAAAATAATGGGAGCATAAATTTATATCTCAGCATGGCAGCAAGAAGATGATCTCTTCCCTTACTTAGCGGGGGTGCCAGAAAAAGCGGAATGGGGAGCTGAAGTATCCAGGAAGTACTAAGGCTCCCTTTTGCATGGCATCATTGGTCCTAGGGATCCTGAACTTCCACCTGGTGATTCTGAGGCCTCTGTCTGGCTCCCAACATGGGTGGCATCAGAGAAGTGGCCTGGAGGAGATTCAGAATTGGCACTGATACCCAGCAACAGTGAAACCACTTTGCTGTGTCTTTGGAGGCTACTTAGGGAACGTTAATAAAGGACTCTTCCCCTCCTAGCCAGGAAGACATGAGTGGAGGTGTAGTGGGGAACCAGAACTCTCACATGTGTTCAGCAGTAAAGATCACCACCAAGCCCCAGTTATCAGAGCCTGGGGGACCCTGGACTTCCATTCCAGTCTCACAGTGGCCAGGCAGGATTGCCCTTTCTCACCAAAGCTGTGACAGAAGGCTTGCCAAAACAGAAGACTTAAGACCACAAGTGTCATCATCTTTAAAGTGCCCAGGATGTAATGGAAATTTTTGCCCTATGAGGAACCAGGAAAATCTCAAGTTGGATGAGAAAAGAGAGTCTGTAGACATCACCTGGATGGCACTGACGTTAGAATTATGTGGTAAGGATTTTCAAAGTAGCCATCACAAAAAAGGCTTCAGTAGTAAGCATTTCAGTGAACATGTTTGTCACAAGTGAAAAAATATCCTTAGCAAAGAAATAGAATATATGAAGAACCACATGAAGTTTAAAACTCAGTGAATAGACTCAGTAGCAAAATAGAATGGGGAAGACAAAAAGTCTGAACTTGAAGAAAGAACAGTGGATACCCATTATAAGCAATAGAAAGAAAACAGATTGGAAGAAATCAATACAGCTTTAGAACCTGTGGTGTTCTAACAGAAATTCTAATGTTTGTGTCATGGGAACCTCTGAGATAAGAAGACTGGCTGAAAAAGTTTTTGAAGACATAGTCATTGAAAACTTGACCAAAGATAGAAACATGAATTGAAGAAGCTGAGTGAATTTCAAATAGGAAAAAACCAAAGAAATCTACACCCAGGCTCATCAGTCTTAAAATCAGCAATAAGTAACCTTCCCTACCACAATTTGAATGAATGCAGATTTCTTATGAGAAGTCGTGGAAGACAGGAAGAAATGAACAATATTTTTCAACTGCTTAAGAAAAAGTCTAAAATGGAAAATTACATATTCTTCAGGAATGAAGAGAAATTTAAGAGAATTTGTCTCCAGCAGACCTATTCTGAAGGATGGCTAAAAGAAGTTCTCTAAATAAACAAAAAAAGATAAATAATTTTGATAATCCAGAAGGAAGAAAGAACAATAGAAATAATAAAATGTGAGTAAACACAACAGGTTTTCTCCTCTTGAATTTTTCAAATTACGTTTGATGGTTGATATAAGAATTATAATTACTTGGTTTTCAGAGTACACATAGAAATTATTGAAGGCAATTCTATTGTAAATAAGAAAGGTAAACTTTCTACATCATTTTTTTTCTTTGAGATGAGCCTTTCTTAATGTTACCTAGGCTGCTTTTCCTAGCTCAGCCTGCCAAGTTGCTGAGACCACAGGCATTCACAGGCGTGCCGACTCTACATCTCATCTGAATTAGAATAATAATTTTGGGGAAAAAATTTGGCTATTTCTTTAAAAGCTGAATACATACCATATGAGTCAGCATTTACATTTCTAGGTGTTTATCCTAGAGAAGTAAAAATGCTCATAGCAACTTTATCCTAATCAAAAACTGGGAACAATCAAATGCCTACTGTAAGTGAATGGTTAAACAAACTATATAGTACTTCCATAATATGGAATACGACTTTCAGGGTTCAGAAAAAAGAGGCCCAGATTGTTGATACATGCAACAACTTACATGCATTGCAGGGCCATCATGCCCTAGCTGAAAAAGGTCTCTGGAAATAACAAACATGTAGTGGTAAAGAATAAGTAGTTGCCAGCGGTTAGAAAAGTGAGTGGGAAAAAATTGTGTGCCTATAATACAAGAGTTGGAAGCAGATCTTTGTGATACTATAAGTTGAGTGTGTGTCTTTTTGTTTGTTTTTGCAGTGCTGGGACCAACACCTCAGCTTTCATATGCACTAGCCCAGGTGCCCTACCTCTGAGCTGTAGAACCACACACAACACTGAGCCAGTGTTAAGGTTGAGATTTGGTCTTGAGCTTTACTTATATCAAATATAACTATGAAGTGAAATACATGTAAGTTTGGGTGAAATAGGGTTGAAAGGAACACACTATCTTTGCAACCTCCTGTGAACTGACAATTATTTTAAAATAAAAACTTTCTAAAAAGTATAAATTGTTAATAAACATGCATTTTACTAAATGAAAGGGTTCAAATTCAAAAGGCTACATACTTATTACTGTAAGATTCCATTATAGGACTTGCAGGAAAAGGAAAAACTGTACAATAGAGAATATGGCTCATGGTTTTTTTTTTTCCCCACTGAGACTTGGTGGTGGTATTCAACTCTGCAGCTATCAAAATTATAAAACTATTGAAGAATAAATTTATGTGAACTTTAAAAAATCAAATGAAAACTAATATTCAAATAGAAGTATGTTTCCTCTGAGTTTATCTTTTGATGACTGAGATTTTTCCAGAAATTTCTAAGAAGTATGTGTGCTCTATTTCTCTACAGGTGATTCTGTGAGTGAAGAAGACATGCTTCAGGCAGCTGTGACCATGTCTTTAGAAACTGTTACAAATAATTTGAAAACAGAAGGGAAAAAATAGTATCTTTTAAAATCATTTACATAATCATACTTTCCAACATTGTCATTTGTGATTACAGCATAGGGTCCATTTTGGTAATGTGTCAAAGAGAGCATTGTTCATCAGAGAAAACTTTTAGGCGGCTTGCAAACAAAATGAGCAAGTAGAAAATGTATCAGTTGTAGGACTAAATAATGATCCTCAAAAAACTAGCCAAAAGGGCATTCAGCAATTAAAGAAATTTAAATAGTCTTCTAAACGTTGCTTTTTCTTTTTTGAGTGTGCAATATCTAATGTGTCTAAAATTAGGGCATTTTCTTGGCTGTTTTTTGCAGATCACCTAATTTGCTCTTGCTATCACACTTGTCCCATACAGTTTTACTTTTGTCTTCTGTTATAATTTGGCTCACTTTGAACATCTAATAATTGCTTTTATTTCTCACTAACCAAATTAACCTTTCAGGAAAGTATCTCTTACCTGTCTAAATGATTCTGGAAGGATAAACCTTTCTTGCCTCCCAACTGTGTGTGTCATGCACAGTGGTGTTTTCTGTGATCACAATTTCTCTACTACCTGGTTTTCATTATTTTTCTACAATTGTTTTGAAAGGTGATAATCTTATAAGAGATTTTGCTTTTTCTAAGCCCTGTACAATGGGATCATTATTTCCTGACTTCGGTCCATTCCTACACTCTGAAATCAGCTCTGCACGAATATTTTGAGAGTAAATGAGACTTTTTAAAAAACATACAAGCATTTGTTTTCCCGGATGCTTTGTATCTTTTCAGTTACGTCACTTTACAACTTTGTTGTAACCGTTTTCCTGCACCTTATTTCTTCCTCCATTGAGAAGAGTAGGAGAAGCATAGTGTGCAAGCAGATTTCCTTCTCTAGAAGACTTAACATACATACCCACCATGAATGTATGGTAAATGCAGTTTGGCCTTCAGTTTTAGTGACAGTTTATTTTGGGTTTTTTTTTTTTTTTTCTTTTGTGACTAGAGCTTTGCGTTATATTTACAATGGAGTCATGGATTGTAGATTCCTACTTCACATTTTCTCTTAGCTATAACTTTCCAGGAATGGTAATTTGGAACATGGAGATAATGTACTAATAAAAATATATTTAAGTGTATACTGTTATTTGACAGCTGCATCATGTTTAAGTAGCTTAAGATTTATAGAAGTCACAGTAATTATGGCTATGTAAATAAGAAAGTCCTAGCCGGGAATGGTGGTGCACGCCTGTAATCCCAGCACTCGGGAGGCTGAGGCAGGAGGATTGCCGCAAGTTCCAGGCTAACCTGGACTACATAGTCCAGACCAGCCTGAACTACATAGCAAGACCCTGTCTCAAAAAAACACAAAAAACAAAAAACGAAGAAAGAAAGAAAGAAACTCCATAGTTTTGATAAACATATTCTTTAACTGAGATGCAGTTTCTTGCTTGGTCAATATACCATCTGTCCCTAAAACGGGTAATTTAGATTCTGTTTCCTGCTTCTTATCCCCTTTTGTAGCCCCTTTTAATGTTGACTTGTTCATTAGTTAAACTTCAAGAAGAAATTTCAGGCAACAATTTAAGAAAAGTTAAGTATGGTATATTACCCTACTGCTTTGTAGCTAAATATTTTATCAGGGAAAATTTTGATGTAGGATTTATTGGTAAAAGAAAAAATATTTTTTATTTATTATGAAATATCTTTTTCTTGGATAGAACATTTTTTTTTTTTTACACAGTTGTCTTGCTGTGTAGTTCAGGCTGACTTTGAACTCATTATATATATCCCAGGTTGGCACTGAACTCATGGTGATTCTCCTGCCTTAGCCTCCTGAGTGCTAGAATTACAGGCATGGGCTACCATGCCTGGCCCTACAACAGAATTTTGAAGTCATTATTTTGTGCTAGTTAGTTTTTTAAAATGTCCCTTATATAAAATTTGCTTTATTTTAAAATCTGAAGTTTTCTTTTAACAATAAAAAATGTTGCAGAATTATATAAAACTTTAGAACTACAAGGGATATCCATGAGAGTTTAGGAATACTCCCTCAAGATTTTCAAAGCTGAATATTTTAAGACTGAATATTTACACAATTGTCTCTGGTGTGCTGGTCATATTTTCCATGACTATTTGGCCTTTACCTTTTCCCATGAATTGATTGCATTAAACTTTTCATACACTTGAATTGGTGAGCTACCTAAGATACAAATAAGAAAACCAGTATGCATTTAAAGTTTAACCTTGGGGTTTATAAAGTTCATATATTACACGCCCTAGAAATATGGCGTGTTGACCTTCACGTTAGGGACTTTTTAAAGCAGAGCTGAGCATACACTGGATATGTTAGATTGTGTTTTTTTAGTTCGTTGTAAAATTGTTGTATTTGGCAGACAGATCCACAGTCACCATTGACCTGCCATCTTGTTTGAATTGGCCTAAACTTATCTGAACATTTGTATTCCACTTCTTTTTCTTCTTTTTTGTGTTTTGTTTTGTTTGAGATGGGTCTTGCTGTGTAGTTCAGCCAAGCCTTGATCTCACTGTGTATTCAGATTGGCCTTGAACTATCAGTGATTCTCTTTCCTCGGCCTCCCGAGTGCTGGGGTTACTCCATTTCTTTCTTGATGAGCCAGTATGAAAAGATGCCAGAGCTTATAACCTTAACTGAAAAAATTTTTAAGTTATACAAAGCTATAATTCATACATCAGGAACTACTGTTTAATGTAAACCACCTGCAAGGAAGTCAGGAAGAGGTAGATTCACAATAACTGTCCTGCTAAAAATTTCATAAAGATTTCCATTTTGTTTTACCAATTGGGAACACTTTAATGTTTAATATTTAAACTAATGGTATCATTTTTCTAATGTATAATTTGTATTACCAGGATAAAATATGTACAGTGGTGATTCTAGTGTTACAAGTAAAGTTTAAGCCAACTTTGGAAATACCACTTTCATATTTTCAGGTATCATGGACTTAGTAAGTAGTTATTTATGTTTTAAAAATTCAGAGTTAACCTCTGATCTGAAACAATGTACTTTTTATAGTAATTAACATACAAATATTTCAGTAATGAAAATTGAAGTAGTTGCTGCAGGTAAAGTATATTAAATTCTAAGATCTTGGCCAAATAATTTACAAATCACAGAATATTTTGCTTAAGAAGGTGCTTTTGTTTTAAAACTTGATTTTTCTTAATTAAAGGCTTTATTCATAATGCCAAAGTTAATGAAGAAAGCTCAAAAGTAGTTGAGTGGTATTACAGGCAAAACTACCAGTAGTCTGTATTGTTCCATTTGATATCAAATTGAACAAAATGAATTTTACTGTAGTCAGAACTGAAGTCACATTTTGAATGTCTTTATGTTTGATACTGTTTTTAAAATCATGCTAGTGCCAAGAGTTACTAAATTCTTAAGACTGGCCCAGTAAACTGCAAATCTGAAAATTGATTTCATTGTATAAACAAAATACGGTAATTTAAAAATCACAGATTTAAAAATCTTGATGTTTTAAATTTTAAGAAGATTCAGTAATATTGAGACCACGTATTAAAAACTTCATCTGTCAAGGGAGGGTATATAGCTCAGTGATGGAGTTCTTGCCTGGCATCACTAAAGAAAAAAAGCCAAAAGCAACACAGCTTTATCTGCAGTTGAAGAGGCCTTGGGCCAATATTTTCAAAATGAATTGTGTCTGAGACCTAACAAGTATGGATATATGATAGAGTGACCTTAATTAAGAGAAACCAGATTGGATCAACTAGTTGTTTCAACAGTGTAATTTTTCAAAGTAAAAGCTCTCCTCACTCATAGTCCCTTTATAACTTGCATCTTTTGCTAAAGAAATGAACTGGCTTTGTATTTTTTAAAGTCTTATATGTGTTCTATATATGTGTGTTCTCTTTCATGAATAAAAAGATAGTGACATGGCTAGTTTTTAAAATTTGATTAATTTGAAGAATTCTTTTGCTATTTTTATCTTTTCCAAACAGTCTGGCATTTTAAGAATTAATATAATAGTACAAGTTCTAAATGTATGGCAATTGGCATGTTTAATAATAGTGTATCAGTATTATTTTTAGACCGGATACATAGACAAAGCAGTGGGAAGCATTAATGAAATGTATGTTAAGATTCCTTATTGTTTAGGAAGCACTCTGTTGTCTCTTACATAGTTTAAAGGTGAATGTTCCCTGGAATTTTTAATGTTTTTTTTTTCAAAAAATTAAATTTGAACTTGTAATTATCTAATTTCTATAACACTGGACTACTGGGAATTACTTTTTAAAAATTATTGTTATTCTGTGTAAACTTTTTGAAGTTCACGTACAAGAACACATGAAAGAAAAGACATTGTCTTGGCCATGATAGAGTGCACTGTGGCAGTGCTGTTTGCTCAGGACCCAACCCTGCAGCCCTTCGCGTTGTCCACACACAGCCTTCCTGTCTCATGCTCCAAAAGCTGGGCTTCCAAAGCACTGTTGAATGCTGAGGATTCTGTTGTTGATGTGGGTATTCAATGAGTTGTATTTTAAATATCAAAGACATTATAAAAATAAAGAGAGAATGTTTGCTTTTTTATTTTCTGTCTTACTGATGTGTGTTGATTCATAACCAGCCTGTTCCAAGGGAGGGGGCCAGCCACATCTGTAGGATCCAAGCGCTTCTAAAAGCACACTCACTTTCGGCCACACTCAACCCTGCTGAGTCAGACCCACAGTGGTAAGTTGGAGTAGCCCTGGTACAGAGTGCTCTCAGCCAGCTCAGTGGCGGATGGAGCAGGCTGGGAGCTCACTGGTACTCTGCCAGCAGCTGTGATTACTAGAAGCCAAGGGATCCACATTCTTTTTAAAGTCTTGACTTATGTTAGCTCAATTATTTTTTTAACCTTGAAGGCCAAAAGCACATTGGTAACTTTTTATTTTTTGAGTTGGTTTTATTAGGTAACAACCGAACCTGGCCTCGGGAGGCTAAGATTACAGGCATGTGCCACCGTTCCCCACAAGTAATGTTTTATTTTGTTTTGTTTTGGAGTCCTGGAGGTTAAACTCAGGGCATTCTCACTGAACAACACCCCCAACACTTTTTAAATTTTGTTAGAAAAAAATTTCAGATAGGGTCTTTGTTGCTGTGTTTGCTTGTATACCACTCATGGTGAACCTTTAGAGCTTTCAGCTGTACAGACAGCCTGCTGTGCCATGCACACCATAGGTTCACCACCCCTGACACACACAGTGGTCCCATAGGATTAATATACAACCCTGGTCTGCTGTAGGTGATAATGTCAGGGTCTGTATAAATACACTCGATGCTCACACATGGACAAAACTGCAGGCTTCCCTATCTCCAGGCGGTTTGTGACATTCCTTGCCTTCTTCCCTTTGTCTTTTTGCTGACCCTGTCCCTAGACTTCATTGGCCATCCTCAGCTATGAGGATTCTTGCACACTGGGCTGCCACCATTGGTTTACATAATTCTTGCCTAAGGTGCTTCTCTCAGTGCTGAGTTATCTATGCCAGGGACCTCAGGTTCCCTGTCTCACAGGTGCCTCTTCGGTCAGTCATTCAACAGTTAGTGCACTTACCATGTGTCATATGTGGTCTCAGTTCCTAGAACAGCCATGAATAAAAGCATTTAGAATGGGGATACTCTATCAGTGCTTTGCATTCTGGTTGGCCATGACTCTCATGAAACATTTGCATTAGTGAACTGGACTTCGTAAGGTGGTAAGAGCTGTGCTTGTTCTCTAAGTTAAGAAACCTTGATGGGATAGAATGCTGGAAGAGAGGGTCACAAGGCAGCCATACAAAGTTGCCACTATCCGTACCAGATGAAGCAGCCAGCACAGTGCTGGGAGTTGGAGAAACTTTGAGGAATAGGAAGCCAATGAGGTTTAGCAGGTAGTGAACAAAAGATGAAATAGAGATGTAAGCAGTCTTGTAAGGTTTTTTATTTTGGTACTCTAAAGCAATCTAGTGCTCTTGGTGCTGGACATTGACTCCAGGGCCTTGCCAGTGCTAAGCTTACATTCTACCACTGAGCCATCCCCCCAGATCAAGTTGAAAAAACATTTTTCTTCAGTACTGGAAATTAAACTTGGGGCCCTCTACCACTGTGATATATCCCCAGCCCTCTTTGATGTTTTATTTTGAGACAAGGTCTTACTAAATTGTCTAGGTTAGGCTAGAACTTGCAACCCTACTGTCAGCCTTTTGAGTAGTTGAGATCATAGATGTGCTATCACACCTAGCTTTAAAATTTTTTTTAAAAAATGTCTAGTATCTACTTTTCTACAAATTCATGCCACTATTCACTTCATGCAGCCCAAAGGACTGGTGGAATTCTTTTCACATCTTTTCTTAGTATTTGTTACAGAGATCAATGGACTTCATTCTGGCAGATTCATACATGCATGTACTTTGGTCATTTTTTATCACATTTTGTGTACAGGGAGTTCAATGTGGATCATGTATTTTGATCATACCCTCTTTCCCCTTATTCCTTTCCTCTTTTCTTGGTACCAGGGATCAAACTCATGACCTTGCGCTTGCCAGATAGGCATTTGTGCCACTGAGCTAAACCCCCAGCTCCTTTTTTCTTTCCTACTTTTGTCATCTTTCATATATTCCACATATTAAGGCAAACATACGCTACTTACCTTTCTGAGTCTAGTATATTTCACTCAACATGATAATCTCTAGATCCATCTATTTTCCTCAAATGATGGCTGAGTAATACTCTATTAGTACAGCGTACTGACTTTAACTCATTTGGGTGTATTCCAAGATATGGCATAGCTGGGTCACACGGTGATTCTATTTTTACTTTTTAATTTTTACTAATACCTGTATGCAGTAATAATGATTGTATTGATTGTGGGAAGCTTGTGCAGGTACATCAAGGAACTTCCATACTTGTTTTTGTAGTGGCTGCTCTTTTACTTTCCCACCAACATCAAAGATTTACATAAAACGTTTCCGATCAGAATTTTAGGCAAGACTTCCCCATTCCTTACTTATACATTTCCTTTTCCTTCCTGCTAAATTTATGCATTTTTCATCACTATCAGACAACTATAATTCAGCTTTGACACTTAATGAGAAGAATATCTAGCAGTACCTACGAAATGAAAGCAACAAGTATCCTGGAAGGTAGGGGTGAGGTGCGCACTAGAATCAGGATTTCGATTAAAAATCCCTGAAAGAAACAGATTCCTTAGAGAAGAGGCATTCATCAATAAAAAATATTTTAAATAATTTATAGAACTGAAAGACACAGTTTTTAAAAACACTAAGCACCTAGCATATTAATGAAACAAAAATTTACCCACAATAAAGCACATCATTATTAATTTTGAGCATCACTGATACACAGAAGATCTGACCAGCTTTCTAGAAGAAAAACAAGGCCAGAAAATAACCAGACATTAGAGCAGGGAAAGGGTAAAAAGGACTAAGTCTAAATAGTTGATAGAATTCTTGATGTTTGCTTGAAAACAGAAGTACGAGTATGTTTCACAATTCTAGTAGGTTTCACCACAGTGCTTTTAGTGATTCAGCAGTAACACAAGATTACGCAAATTTAAAAAGTGGAATCTCTTCAGGAAGAATGAAAGATGAAAACTAAAGATACAATCAGTGCATCCGTTGGCTAGGAAGCAGTGAGCAAGACTTAGGTAATCGTTCGTTCCTGGGTTTCGGCACCAAAAAAAAAGACTTCGGTAATCACATAACATAGACACTATGTACTGATTTTAGAAATAGTCATGGTATCACTATATCATCGTGCAGAAAAGGAAGGAAAGGGAGGGGCATGGAGAATATAAGAACATGAAATCTTTTATTTTTCACAATGGAGACACTAATGCCCAAATTTAATGAGAAAATCGCAATTATAAGCATAACACTTTAAAATTTAGAGGGAAATATCAAACTAATATTTTAAAGTTTACTCCAAATATGAATATTTGCTTTACATTTGCATAGATAAAAACTACTACTTTGATAGTTTTCTCAGAACTGATTTCTTTAAAGGGGCATTTTTAGTACCATGGCTGGAAAGACAAAATCCAGTGTGCAGCTGATAGTATTCTGGACTTTTTTTTCTTGCTATCTATTGAACTTTCCTACGTTCACAATTTCAACTGGGGGGTCTAAATCATAGGGGCTCCACTCAGTGTGGAGTATTTGACTTGGGTTGCTCTTGCTGCTCGCTGAGGGATGATGAATCCCCATATTTGCTGCAGGGTTATTTGCCAGGAAAAGGAAAATGTGTCTTTAGCTGAAACACTATAAAATTTCTTTTTATTATAAACATTTCTAAAAATGTAAAAACAAAAGACTAGTTTAATGAACCTACGTACTCATCATTCAATTTCAATAATGATCAATTCCTGACCATTCACATCCTACCCTCATTATTTTGAAGTACATCATACACATCATGTCATGTTTTTATCGGGAAACTTTAAGTTTCTTGAGGTGTAATCCATCTCACAGGGAAAAAATTCCTTTTAAGGAACTAGTAAGGTATAGTTTTATTGCTAATTACTTAATAAATGATGTAAATATGTTCACGTTTTTTCTTAATCATAGTATCTTTTTTTTTTGTCTTTTTGAGACAGGGTCTCTCACTATGCAGTTCAAGCTGGCCTCGAGCTCACTTTGTAGCCAGCCCAGGCTGGTCTTGAACTCGAGCTCCTCCTATCTCAGCCTTCTGAGTGCTGGGATTATAGGAGTGTGCCACCACACCTGGCCCCCACAATCATAGTGTTTTTGTGGCACAACATGAATGAATGGAAATAAAACTAGAGATAGTATGTATTGGAAATCTGAGCTCAATTACAATAGAGAAACTTTCAGTTATCCAATTAGGAACCCTGTTAGGTCCTAAATGCATGTCACTCGCCATCCCACTGTGCATAAAAAGCCAGAACTATCGAGCTTTCTGTGATCTGCTCCCGCTACTCCCTTCTGGGTCCACACTGCTTACAGCCCTCCCTCAGCACATTCTCTTCTAGCCATCATTGGCTTACCGCAAATCTAACTTGACAAGAATTCTCCTGTCATGGGGCCTTTGCATCAACTGTTTTCTTCTACCTTGAGTGTTACTTCCCATATCTGTATATCTCACTCTTTTATTTCTTTCAAGTCTCAGATAAGATTATTTTATCTGGGCCGGGGGGGGGGGATATAGCTCAGTAGCACAGTGCCTGCCTGGCAAATGTGAGGTCCTTAATTCAGTTCCCAGCATACACACACACACACACACACACACATCCCAAAAACTGTCAGTGGGGTCTTTTCTGATTATCCCTTGAGTCTACAATATTACAAATATCTCCTCTTTCCATATCATTATCCTATTTTATTTCCCATTCCACACAGCAGTCATCACCACCTAACATGTATTACATTTTATCATCTATAGTCTCCCAGTAGGACTCAAGTTTCATGAAGCCATGGACTTTTAGTGGTTTTTTTGTTTTTTGTTTTTTTTTTTTGCCTCCTGCTGAATTCCCACTGCCCAGAGTAATGGCAGACACATTAATAATTTGCTGATTATTTATATGGCACATTTAAAAAAAAAAACTTCAAAAACAAATAGATATCATATACTGTGCACTGATCCAAGCTCTTACAATATTGCCTAATCCTCAGGAAGTACCATTATTATCATTCTCCATTATTATAAACCACAAACAGATGAATACAGAGGTAACGATACCTACTGAAAGTCATACAGCTAATAAGTGACAGACCTAGTCAGGCTCCAAAGCCTGCATAACTAGCTTTTGGGCTTTGCGTAAATTTACAGAAAGCATTTAATAAACACTGCAGAATGAGAAGCAGTTTGTTGTTGCTGTTGTTGAAACAGGGTCTTACCATGTAATTGAGGTTGTCCTTGAATGCACTAGGTAGCCCAGGCTGGCCTCGAACTCACACTGATCCACCTGCCTCAGCTTTTTAAGTGCCTGGATTACAAGTGTGCATCACCATGCTTCGATTTTTTTTCCTTCATTTCTAATTTTGTTTTAAAACCACTCACATTTCAGGGAGAACTATTACTGTCTGGTGGCATGACATTCCAAATATTTGGAGGCATTCCCAATATTGGGTTCACTAGCAGGGCAATCTACAATAGCCCATCCTGTGAATAAAATCCAAAGAGAAAGATGTCAGCATTTTTACTGCTATGGTGAAAAAACTACAGACCTACTGGATCTTTTTCAAAACAAAAACGTGGTAGTCTCCTTGGGGAGGTGCTGGGTCCACGCACCATTGCACCATTTGTTTGAAACTCCTGAGACCTATTACAACACTTCTTCCTTTAAGAGAGGCAGTAGAGGTGCAGGACACTCTGGTGTGTTAAAAGCCCGTGTGTGGGATGAGGGAGCTGTGGGCACTGGCACAGCTACTTCCACTGATCTGATAGGAGTGGCTTTTTACTTTTGCTGTTGTTGGTTTAAAGATCTCCCTAAATTGCCCAGGCATCCTGCCTCAGCCTCCACGATAGCTTATAGTAGAGGCGTGCGCCACCACGCCTGGCAGGCATTTTACATCAGTACAGAAGTTCTGTATCAAATCGACCTGCTGGCCCTTAAGAAGTCATTTTGTCTTTATAACTTCAAGGACACGTCTGCTTCAGGAATTAAAGCTCACCGTACGTCAGTTAAAGTACGCAAAGTTTCAACTGAGAATTAGAAAACCATCTAAAGGTAATCATAAATGTGCTTCCAGCCCAATGCTTCAACTTGCAATCCGTCCTATATAGCTTTGTAGTCTCAGGTCCTCCTACTATATGCGTCTGGCAAGCGCAGCTCAGCAGAGTAGGGGATGCAGTGATGCGGGTTCTTTTGAGGTTGCTTCCTCGCGATGAAACCACCTGGCTAAGCCTCCTTGCAACGCTGCCCTCTAGAGCATAGTCCGGATTAAAACACTGTTTCAACAATGCAGTGACGGTCCGCAGGGTTCCTGGGGCACCCCAAGCTTCAGGTGGCAGTCATCCAGCGTCGCAGCGGGCCCAGAGGCTCTTTTCCGGGTGCACCTCTCGCGTCCAAACCCAACAGGCTACGTGGAGGAGGCCGACCGCCGCGTTCTGTCCTCCGCGATCCCAACCTCCCTTGCGCCAATGACAGGTCCGGCTGCCTCGCTGAGCACTTCTACCCCACCGCGGCGCCTCTCTATGATCTGCGGCCGGTTTTAAGGCTGGTGTCATGGCGGCGAGCGTCGAGTTGGCAGGGCCAGCCCTCGGAACCGGGGGAAGTTACTAAAGCTGAGGGAGAAGTGGCCGGCCTGGAGGGCGGAAAGGCGTGAGAATGAGCAGAGGCCCAGCGAGTGTGGCTGTATCACCAGAAGCGGGAGCCCGGTGAAGCTCTGGATCGGGCCTTGGCGTTTTCAATTGACCCGTTTGGGGTTCCAAGCCGGAGTACGTTGATCGGGACTCCGTTCCGCAACGGCTCAGAACAGTCGGCGGGGGCGTCTGGCCGCGCTGGGCGCTTTTCTCTGAGCTGACTAGGTGGTTCCCGAAACCCGCAGCGATGTCGTCCTGGCTTGGAGGCTTGGGCTCCGGCTTGGGCCAATCGCTGGGTCAAGTGGGGGGCAGCCTGGCTTCCCTCACTGGCCAGATCTCAAACTTCACCAAGGATATGCTGATGGAGGGCACCGAGGAAGTGGAAGGTAACAGCTGGCGGGGTGTGCGTGCGTGTGTGTGTGTGCGCGCGCGTAAGTGTGTGTGTGGGGGAGGGGGGTTGATTCCTGGGACCCTGGGGACGCCCCTTTGGTTCCCATCTCCTTCCTCCAGGAGACACCAGCTGATTCAGAACTCTGCTCTTTTTCTGTATGCTCCTCCTTTTGTCTCCTCCACCAGTTTTTTGTGCTGAAAGCCCACTGGGGCCTTGGGGAGGAATTCTTCCTCTCGTGGAAGACAGTTTATCCCAAAGAGGATGAAAAGTGTTGAGCAGAGTTTCCTTTTGCTTGATTCCGCCCATCCTACTCCTTGATTTTGCCCGCAGTCTGGGAGCAGATCTGATTTTTTGATCATTTTCTTCTACTTTGACAGAGTTAAAACAATCAAGATAGTTACTGTTTTACTTTCTTATGTTTTTGTAACAACTGAAATAGCTCAATTTTAAAAGATTTGGTAACTCTTGCCCCTAATATCTTGAATATATTATCAGTGAAACATAGCTATGTTTTTCTATTCAGTTTTTTTATAGTTTTGCACCTTGTGATGACACGTTGCTGCTTTCCAGCTGAAAGTGGTTTGTGTGTGTGTGTGTGTGTGTGTGTGTGTGTGTAATTGTGTGTGTAATTGTGTGTTTCTCCCATATTTTGACATTAGAATAGGGAAGATACTCCATTCCTTGGGGATCCTTAGCAGTCTTCCCTTTTTGTTGTTCTGGTTGGTGGGGATTGAACCTAACACCTTGGCACTGAACTGCATTCTTGCCCTTTACATTTTTTAAAAAAACTTTTGGGCAGGATTCGCTTAGTTGTCCAGGTTAAGATCATTTACAGTCGTCCTACCTCATCCTTTCAGAGTGCTAGCACTACAGCTGTGGGCCATACACCACCAGACTCTTTTTTTTTTTTTGGTACTGGGAATCGAACTCATGACTGCGTGCTTGCCAGGCAGGCACTTATGCTGCTGAGGTAAATCCCTGGCCCTACCATACTCATTTTTGAAGTTGTTTTGTTTTACTGTTGAATTTTTACCTAGAATTACATATACTCAGTGGTGATGGGCGAGCTGGGGTTTGAACCAGGGCCTCATGCATGCTAAGCATTCATTCTACCACTAAGCTACACTCCTAGGATCCCCCCCTCTTTTAAATCATGATTTGTTGTCTTTTTTTCCCACCTCTATAGTCCAAGCTAGCCTGGTGCTCATTTGGTAGCCCAGGCTGGCCTCAAATGTGCAGTCCTCCTGCCTCAGCCTTCTGAAAGTGCTTGCAGCTAGAATTTCAGTGTGGTGACTGTCTGGAAGGAGGAAGACTCGGGAGCCGCCAGAACTCCCTTGAGTGCGCAGGTTTCCTTGGGGGAGGGGAGCATCTGATGGGGCAGGTTTGGGATGAGAACTCAAGGCCTTCTGCGTGTGTTCAGGAAAGGTCACAGCGTCTTGAGGGCAGGCAGCAGCATAGGAGGAGCGATCACTGTGGGGAAATGACGAGGCTCCCCGTGTGTCCCAGAGCGGGGAGCAGCTCTCTGTCCTGCTCACCTAACACCAGAAACTAGGCATCCCCCACCCGTATGTGGGGCAGGTGTGGGGTGCAGTTCACTGGCTTATTCCTCCTTGTTCTTCTGGCACTCGCCTTTCTTACCTTTTCTCTTACCTTCTTTTCCTCCTTCCTCCCAGTACTGGGGATTGAACCTAAGGCTTTACCACTGCTCTGCATCCCTGCTCAGTTCTTTCTTTTCCTTTGCCTTTTCTCTCTATTTTTTTTTTTTTTGAGATAAAGTCTCATTAAATCACCAAGTTGCCCAGAGTAGGCCCAAACTTGTGATCCTTCTGCCTCAGCCTCCCACATTAAAGCCTTGTGGCATCACACCTGGCTCCCATAGTCTGAATCTTAATGATTTTGCTAAGTACTCAGCTTCCTCAACAAGACCTTTTGTCATCTTCGTGTTTTCTCATTTATTTATTTATCTATTTACTTGGTTCTGGGAATCCAACTCAGGACCTAGTGCTTGCCAGGCAGGTTCTGTGCTGCTGAGCTAAATCCCTGACCTTGCTCTCTTTTATTTATTTATTTTTTTCATCTGTTTCCAGTTGGTCAGAATTGTCTTTTCCTCTATTACTCTTCTTTTTCTTTTGTTTTCTTTTGGTTGTTTTTTGAAACAGTCTCACTCAGCAGTCCAAGCTGACCTTGCGCTCATAGTTATTTCCCTGCCTCAGCTTCCTGAGTGCTGGGATAACAGGTGCACTCCATTACGCCTAGAGGTCATCACAGCTTTATAATCTCTCCCAGGGACAGTTTCTGTTTTGTGTCCCATTTTTGTTTCAGTCTATTTTTTTTTTTTTTTTTGTACTGCTAGATACTGTTCAAAAATAATACTCTTAAAAGTGTCTTGCTCTGTTACTTACAGGGTAAAATCCAAATCTCTTAGCTTTGGAAGGTGAAGGACCTTCCCATCTGGCTTCACTCTGCCTTTTGTGGTTGCGATACTAATTGCCATGTCTACACACCTTCATGTACACCTGTTGAAGAGCTCCTGCACGTGGAACTTAGGGACCCTTATAACTCAAACCTCTGCAGGGGAAGCCTTTCCTTCTCTTTCTAACTGCACTTTTCCCCAGAAACAATTTTCCTATACAGTCCTGCTCACCTGTGATGATGCAGCTGCTCTAAACTGCCATACAGGTGCATAGACAGCTGATGATCTGAGTTCCTAGCAGAAGTGTGTGGCTGTCTCCCTGACAGCCTGTGCTGATGAGCTATACTTCATCTTTTTCCTTGAAGCAAAGGATGGAGACCACATATTTTTTGCTCCTTATATTACTAGTGTGTGATGTCCTCCTTGATACATAATAGATGCTCAGTAAAATTTGTGAGTGGATGATCAGATCTCCCCTTGAGCTACTTAATACTTTTATCCTGCTTCCTTTGTATACAGTAGGACTTGCTTCATACCTGTTTTGTTGGTTTTATAAATCATTAAAGAATAGAATAACATTCATTTATTCATTCAACAAGAATTTAGAGTGTCTACTTTCCCCAGAAATGTAATATACAAGAAAACAGTTGCAAAATAGCAGAGTTGATAGAACTGGAAAATCATCCATACTTAGAATATTAGAAGATTGCTATTCTACCAAATGCCATACTTATTGACTTAGACATTGTTGAGAGCGTGGGCTTTTAAATTACATAGACATGAATGGAAACTCCATTTCCATGCATTACATGTTGTATCATTAGGAAATTATTAAATATTAGCCTCCAAAAAGCCCAATTTCCTTCTCTGTTAAGAAAAGTGGGGAGGGTTGGAAGGTGATAGGCACAGTGCTTGCCAAGCAAGTGCAAGGTCCTGAGTTCAATTTCTGGTGCACTCCCCACCAAAAAAGGGGAGTGGGCCGGATGATTGTGCCAATTGTGAGTTTAAGAGCATTAAATGAATTGGTGAATGTAAAATGTCTAGATCTGTGCCTAGCAAATAGTAAGCATTAAAATCTGGTAGGTATTTTTTCTCTCATTGAGAAAGTCAGAATTTCTTGGCTGCCATAATATCTCCCCTTTACTTACAAAGTCCAGGCCACGTATCCGGGTAAAGTTATACATCTGTGTGAAGCTAGGTGAGAGAGGATGGGGGAGGGGTGGTGCATACGCTTTAAAATTCCTGCTGGACACAGCTGCTGCCTTTAACAGCTGTTTTCTTAAACAGATCCAAAGATACTTAGTCCTCTGAAGAGTAGCTATTAGGATTCTTTCAGAGTTTCAAGCAAGATATACAAACAGTTGCCGAAGCAGCCCTACCTGATGATTGTCAAACAAGGAGAGCGTTTGTCACTGTAATTTACAGTTGTGCTGCTTGTATTTGTTTAAAATTAAACTTTAGTTACAAGAAATGTTTTTATAGTGTTAAAGGGCTTTGAGTAATAAAAAATAAAAAGTAAAACAGCAGAGCCCCCTCCCTCCCATCTGCCTTGGGGACATTGATTCCTGACAGATTCAGTGCTGCTATTTTGGCCAGTGGGGCTGTCACCACTTTTGAATGGAAATGTGTAAAACCAGATCAGTCTCATCCCCATGTATGAGGATTCTGTTTGTGTTGCTTTAGGTGTCTCTTCAGCGTTTTTTGTTTTTCTTCCTTGTTTACAGGTCATTCATTATTGGGTAGTGTTGGATAGTGGAAGTTATAAATAAGGCACTAAGCCCCAGTTGAACAAATTTCTTCTAAAACTACCGCATAAGTTAATGATGACATTTGCAAAAATCTCCAATTTCATACAAGAAAAATATTAATGAAAACTGCCAAAGAGTAAAGATAGAGGACATAAATTTCCTACCAGCCTAGTGTTCAATTTACATTCAGTGAACTATATTTGTCTTAATATGCCTGGGTAGGCCTGGGAGACACAGCTCAGTGGGAATGTCTGCCTTGCATTCACAAGGCTGGGTTTAAACTCTAGCACTGCCAAAGAACAAAAAAGGCCATTTGCCTGCTTGTTCATACAGTATTGCTCAAATAGTCAATATATGCTGTTTCTTTCATAACAGATTTATCTAATTCTGGAAGAAAGGAAATTGAAGCCATCCACGCAGTCTTAAAATCAGAGGTAAGGAATATTAAAGACGACTTTCAAAATTAGATTTTTTTCTTTGAGGCTATGAAAGTTACTCACTTTCAGTTTTCTCTTTTTTAAAAAACACTTTTTGAAAGCTGGATGTGGTGGCACACTCCTATAATCCCAGCCCTTGGGAGGCTAAGGCAAGTTTATTAATTATATGAAGTGTATATGAAGAATATTAAGTGTGAACAGACCAAAAAACCCCAAACAAACAAACAAACTCACCTTTTTGTGGCAGTGGGGATTGAACTCAGAACCTTTGCACTGCACTACATCCTTATGCCTTCTTTCTTTCTTTCTTTCTTTTGAGGTGGGGTCTTGCTATGCAGCCCAGGCTGGTCTTAAACTTGCAATAATCTTCCTGCCTCAGCCTCCCAAGTGTTGATTACAGGAGTGCACTACCACATCCATCTTATGTTTCAATTCCAAACAAGGCCTTACTAAGTTATATAGGCAGGCTTTGAACTTTTGGGGTTTTTTTTCCAGTTTTTTAAAAATTAATTGGTATGTTTTAGATACACATAAGGAGCACATTCATCATGGTAGCTTTACTTGTATGTAATGTATCTCATTTCTTCTTTTTTCTCTATTCCCCTCTCCTCTCTTCAACCCCTTTTAAACTCCTTATTTATAAAAGGTTTGTTTCTGTTTTTCCTTATATTTTTTTCTTTTCCCATCCTTCATTTCCCCTTCCCCCTCCTGTGTTCTCATTCCCATTTGAATGTTTTTTTCTGTTTCCCAGTGTGTATTGTGCATTTGGGTCCTTATTTACCCTTTTAGATTCTCCTACCAGAGAAACTGTGATATTTAAACATGTGTGTCCACTTTATTTCACTTACAGTGTGTTCTCGAAGTGCGTCCATTTACCCAGAAATGTTTCAAGTTTATCCTTCTTTATGACAGACTGGTACTCCATTGTATTAAAAAAATCCCACGTTTTCTTTATCCATTCCTGGGAGATGGGCATGTGGGCTGTTTCCAGGTTTTAGCTATTACAAGCTATGGCGCTGTAAACATGAGTGTGGGGATACCGCGGAGGTGTGGCACTTTTAACTTTTTGGGACGATATCGAGAAGGGGATAACGGGGTCAAATGCAGCCTCTAATTTTAGTTTTTGAGGAGTTTCCACATTGGTTACACCAGGCTACCTTCCCACGAGCGGTGGAGAGGGTTTTGACTCCCCACAGCCCCGTGAGCATTTGTTACTGGTTAATAGTGGCCCCAGCTTCTGACCCTTCCCTCGGCCTCCTGGACCGCGGGACTGTAGGTGCGCAGCCGCGCGCTGCTTGGCCCTCTCTTCCTCAGTGCACCGCTACTGTCTTCCTGTTCATCTGTTTGGGTTTGTGTTGTTGTGTTTTAGCTTGGAGAAGCCTCCCGTAGATTAAAAGTACATTTACATGTCATTGCAGTTTACTGTTTTTTTGTATTCCTGTCTCTCTTTCTGTGTACTGGAAGTAGGAAGATTAACAAATGTAGGAGTAACAGTGGCCAAAATTTACCATTACAGAGGGTTTACTGTGATCTTACAATATGCTAAATTGCAGTATATTTATTAACTATATGAAGTATATATGAAGAATATCAAATATATATGAAGAATAAGATTGTTTAATACACTTTTAAATTTCCTAACATTAAAAAATAACATTTGAATACAAAGAAGAGTATAAGAATAACAAATATTATAAGAATAGAAAATTAATTTTTACTGTTTTATTTAATATGAGTGTCATTGTGAATAGTTTTAGGCATATGGACTAAAACATATTGTTTAAAAGAACTGGGGAAAGCTCAAAAAGTATTCACAGGAAAATCATGAAGACGTTTCATGAAAGCGTTTCAAAGTGGGAGGCGTTAGGAAGGACAGTGAAACTCCTCTGGTGAGCCCTGGGTAAGAAGGGTGAGAGAACACCTGATGTTAGTAGCCTGCAAGGACTGGCCTAAGCGTGCTTCCTCTCTGTGTAAGCAAATACTTGCTGACAGTGTCGCTAGGCTTTGGTCTAGAACATTATGGGACATTGTGGAATTTAAAAGTGCAGGGACCTCTCCAGAGGAACTGTGTTAGCATTATAGCCTAGAAGAAAGCAGGTTAGCCGCATTTGGACACCTTGGCAGTAATTACAAGGTAGGTAGGCGCACTGGGGACGTCTGACCTGATAGTTCCTCTCTGTAAGACTGAGGTAGGATATCCCTGGGAAAGTACTCACTGGTGCAGGGCCACCCAGAGGAGCTAAACAGCCGAAGTATGTGTGTTGGCATTACCCCAGGGGAGTTCTCCAGTGTGCACTCAGGGAAGTAAAGAGCGTTAACCTGCGCAGAGAATGTCTGCTTTGAATTCTTTGTGTCGCATTTGAGAGGGGAGATAGAAATCTTCTGTGCTATCAGGCTCAATTTTGTGAACACCTCTTACAGCATTATCACTGTACCGTGGCAAGTATGATTCCAGTGTTTAGAAATAATTATTTTTGGTAAAACATATCCCTAAATGCAAGCCAACTTCCTCATTTGGTGCTTATCCAAAGTACTTTGAGGTACTTAAATACTAGAGGAAAACAAAGGTTTTCTTTTTTTGACTCTTTGAGACAGAGTTTCACTATGCAGTTCAGGCTGGCCTTGAACTTCCTTGGTAGGGCAGGCTGTCCTCAAACTCCCAGTGATCATCCTACCTCAGCCTCGACAGCTGCGATTACAGGTGTATACCCCATGCCTGGTCTTTTTGTTTGTTTATTTATTTATTTATTGTTGGGACAGGGTCTTGCTAGATAGCCCAGCCTAACCTCAAACTCACAGCGATCCTCCTGTCTCAGCCTCCCAAGTGCTGGCACTACAGGTGTGTACACCACGCCTGCTAAAGATTTTGTTTTCTAAGGTAATTTTAAGTGTAGGTGACTCTCACCTTATGTACAGACTTCATGTATTCACCACTGGGGTGAACCTTGGGCTCACGGGCCATGGCCAGGTGTCTGTTTTCCTTGAGAGCTCTGAAAGGTTTGCTGTCCCTGCATCTAACCCTTTATGTGACTGCCCTGTTGAAGACTCACTGCCGTAAGAGAATGAGGTGATCCTTCCACTGTTTATTTTATTTAGAAGGTTTGGGTATGGAAAGGCAATATGTTTTTCAGAGGAAATTAGGTTTGTCATGGATGTTGTTGTGTATAAGTGACTAAATTAGTTAGAATTTTTTAGAAGCAGGTAACCGCAATCAACCTAACTTAATTCTCTGTAAGGCAAAAAATAGTCATCACATTTACCATCTTGATCCAGTGGCTTCCTTTTAATTTTTTTAGATTGTCGTTTTACAAATTATAGGTATGAATAAAGTGATGGTGAAAAGTTGTATCAAAAATGTTAATAATTTAAATATAGCAAATTCAAATTTTAGTACATATTTGGACTTTTGTTTTGAAAACATGTAAAGCTGGGTGCAGTGGTGCATGCCTGTAGTCCCAGGTTCCCAGGAGCCGGAGGCAGGGAGCCTGCTTGAGCCGAGGCGTTCCAGGCCACAGTAGGCAACATAGTGACACCTTATCTTAAAACAGGCATACTGTATATTCATAATTCTTATTACAGATGAGAGCATATCTATCTCATAAATACTGATTCCAGATTTTAGATACCTGCCTAACAGGTTTGGGTTATTACTACTTCTGACCTTGTGCTTACTAGGCAGGCACTTATGCCACTGAGCTAAATCCCCAACCCAATTTGTGTTTTTTTTTTTAAACTGATACTCTTGAGAACTTTGCCTACTAATGATTTTGTTTGACAAAGTGGCTATCAGCTTTGCTCCATAATTACAAAGCATTTTTCTTAGGTTTATAAATACCAATTAGAATGATTATTCCATTAAACTTCTTTTCATTTCTATGTCATCTATTTCCTTACAGTCACCTTTGTATGTGGACATACCTTGAATCACATCAAGTAAATGTTGGCTCACAAGTGTCATATAATGAAAGAAGTGTGACATACTCACGTAGCAAAATGGGATGGTCAGGGCTTTGTCAGCCTCTTGTAGAATAAGGTATTTTCTTGTTGAATGAATGATTAATTGATGTGAAAGTCATATTTCCTTTATGTGCTCAGAAATAAATTGTTTACTTGTCAGTTCCTGAGTTTTAGAAAATAATCTAAGATATTGCCACATAACGACTCGTGGAGATTTGCTTCTGCACTTTCAGCATAACTGTTGAATGATGGAGTCCTACTTTCCATCTCTTTGCTTCACATTTACCTTTTAAATGTTTGTCTGTCTGTCTGTTTGTTTGTTTGTTTGTTTGTTTGTTTGTTTTGGCTGCTGATGGTTGGGGGGTACTTCTCACATAATGTATAGATCCTCTACCACTAAGCTATGTACTCAGCCTCCCTCCTCCCCCTCCGCTGAGACAGGTGCTCCCTAAGTTACCCAGGCTGGGCTTCAACATCTGATCCTTCTGCCTCAGTCTCCTGAGCAGGTGGGATTACAGATGAGTGCCACTGCCTGGCTGAGTCATCTTACAGTTATGAAATGTCTCCTTCTGTACGGAAAACGAAGAATCCTTAATTTCCAGCTGTGTTCAGTGAAAGCAATAAAGAAGAGGACCATGATAAATATGTTGTATCCAGGCTTGTGCGGCCTTTTTAAAAGAGATGCAGTATGTACATTAGCCAGAGAGCTGGTTATTTCACTATTGCATGTTGTCAGTGATTCTGTTGAGTCTTCTATTTCCTTATTAGCATTGTCTTTTAGCATAGCTGGGGATATTTAATAAATACTGATAAAATAATCCTCAGGATGATTAAAAAAAGTAAAATCTTTTAAAATCCAAAAAAAAAAGAAAGAAAAACCTCAGATCACTACAACCCCATAATTGTTTGTAGTTTTATAAAATGGTCCAGTATCTTTTATGATAATTGCAAGAGCGAATAAGGTTTGTTTGTTTGTTTGTTTGAGACAAGGTCTTGCTTGCAGAGTGGCCTTAAACTTGCTTTGTGGCCCACAGAGGCCT